TGTAATTTATTTGCGAGTACATTTTACTAACAACCACTACAGAAGTTCGAGTTCACTCCTGAGGGCATTGCCAAGCGTGCTGTCGCCACCGTCGACTTCTGGAAGAACGTCCCCAACATCCGGTCACCGATCAACCGTGCTTTCCAGCAGCTTTTGTAAGGGGAACAGGAATAAAGATTTGGCTTTGATGATGCGCCGAAAGGCGATTTTCTCGGATTTAGGAATGGGGCAACTAGATAGATCGTGTCCGTTCAAGGATTGGGTGAATAGTATCATAAAATAAAGTACTTGTGATCCACTACCTTGCTCATTATTCATCCTGCCCGTTTTGTGATGCCTTATCCTCTGTGATTACAGCTGCAACGAGCAGCCTGGCGCTTTTCATGTGCGAATTATCGTGTCGTCTTGACGGCTTCGAGATATGCCAGGCCGAATTAGCCCTGTGGCAGCTTTTGTCGCTCTGCAACCTCCCTAGTAATATTTCTCCCCAGTTTTGCATTCTCGTTTCCAGGCACCCGGAGTCTTCTTCAGCCAGCCGTACTGAATTACGCCCCCCATCACGCCATGCCCCTGACCCTGGAGCTCCTCACTCAATCCCGTCATCTTCCCGCCTCTGCTCCGCAACCCACTCCGTCTGAAACACCCGCGCCAGCCTCTCCAGCCGCCCGGCCGCCCTCCTCGCCTCCGATGCATCGTCCGCGCCCGGCGCCACCACGACGCCTATCAGCATGGGCGGATGGTTCGCGCCGTCGTCTTCGTCGTCCTCGTCATCCTCGTCGTCGATGACCGCGCTGCCCAGCACCTGTCTCGAGCTGCCTTCTGCCCCGCGGCTCGATGTCCCGTTGACGGCACTTGCGCCCGCCTCCGGAGTATGTGCGCCGCCGCTGCCGCCGCCGCCGCCGCCTTCCGTGGGCGTGACCGCCGTGTCGAGGCTCCCGTCGCTGTCGCTGCCGCGCCGCCCGCGCCCCGTGGGGCCGAGCGCCAGGCTCATGGGGCACATGAAGCTCTGCAGGACCAGCGGGCCGCCCCCGCCATCGCCGTGGTCGTCTGTAGGGGCCACGGGGCCGTGCTCGACGACCACGCGCAGGGGGCTGCCCATGTCGAGGCGCTTGGCGGCGTCGTAGGCCGTGAGGGCGGTGGTGGAGAGGGCGCTCAGCGCGGCGAGCTGCTGCTGCTGCTGCTGCTGCTTTTGCTTCTGCTGCTGGGACTGGGACTGGGAGGACGAGCTGTGGGAGGTGGTCGGGTTGCCGGAGGAGATGATCGGGGTGAGGGCGCGGTCGGTGAGGTGTAGCGCCAGGCGGGGGTGTTGTGCGGGGAGGCTGGCCATTGTTGGGCCGGTGGTGGACGGTGATGTCGAGGAGACAGAGTGTTTATAGCGCCGCAAGATGCAAGGACATCTGAACCGATAATAGAAATCAGGAGGTATCGTGGCTTTCGAATTATGAGCTGATGAGAGGGAAATTCGCTCGTGGTAGCATAGGTAGGGCTACACCTGCGTCGGCGGGAGGGGGTTCGGGTCGGCACCGTATCTCGATGGCGGGGTCGCCGTACAGTCGATGCGATAAGGTGTTTCCGTCGAGAAAAGGCCTGTAGGCGTTGTGCCCCTTGAATCCAAAGCTTATGAAGTGATCAATTGCCCTGCTACGACCATCCTGAAGAGAGTGACAGAGCAGTAAAAGCTGCAGGCGTCTCGTGGCCTCAGCGAGCCTCTCAACAGGCTACAATGACGAAATCCGAGAAGCTCATGGTGGATTTGCCGCTAGCGACGGTCATCCCACAATTGGGGGGCTGATAGCACTCACCAATGGCGCGCCCCTGCGGCTGGCTTGGACGGACCATCCCTGCCAGACCTACAGGCACTAAAATGCCAGCTATGCTTTCGAGGCTCGTCACGCTTCCAAGCTGGCCCCTGCGATCCTTCATACCAGAGGAATCATACCCGCAAGCTTTCTCACCAGACATTGAACTGAACGCGCCATCCTGAATTGCCAACTGTCAAATACAGCTCCCGCTGTTCAGAATCATTGATTAGTTGCACACAAACGCGCCAACATGCCCGAAGACGAAAAGGCGAAGAAGGAGAAGCTCGCTGCGGCGAGGAAGAAGGTCGAGCAGATGAAGAAGCAAAAGGCCAAGCAGGCTGCCGCAAAGAAGGACACATCTGCCGACGCGAAGGCCGAGACGCCCGAGAGCAGCAGCGCAGTGGCCGATGAGCCTTCTGCTGCCGACGAAAAGCCGCCCGTGAACGATGCCCCCGAGGAGGCGGAGGCAGAGCCGGAACCGACGCCCGCGTCGCCGTCCGCCGGCCCGTCTTTATCACAACAGTCCAAGACGAGGTCCAAGTCCTTCCGCGCTGGATCCATCTCCGCGCCGGGCCCTCTGTCGCCGGGATTGACGATCCCAGAGGGCGATACTGCGCCAGAGATCTACCGCAAGCAGGTTGCGCGGATAGAAGAGCTCGAGAAGGAGGTCAAGCGCCTGGTCGCTGCTGAGACGAGATGGCGGAAGATGGAAGAGGAGCTGGCCGATCTCAGGGAGGCAGAGGGCAAGGCGTCCGGCGGTTCTGAGGTCGAGAAGCTGGTACGGACTTGGTCAAACACGGATATCTCTTTGAGTCGGCGACTAACACGTCTATAGAAGAACGAGCTTGCAGCTCTTCAACGCCAAAACTCGCAGCTCCACGCACAGGTCTCCCGCAGCAGCGCGACTCGGCATGGATCCTCGCCGTCCATCTCCATGAGCAGCCCTCCCAGCTCCGAGCTCGAGGCACAGCTTCAGTCAAAATCCAACACCATCGAGACCATGGAGCTGGAGATGTCTCGCCTGCGCGCACAAGTGGAACGGCTTGCCATCTCGACGAGCGGTGCTGGCGACTCGGAGCAGGTCACCGCGCTAGAGGAGAAGCTCGCCCGCTCAGAGAAGGCCGCCGCGCTCGCGCAGCGCGAGCTAGCCGACTTGAAGGGCAACCTGGAGCGCACATCGGCCAAAGCAGTCAAGGAGAGCAGTGAGCGTGTCAGTGCGGAGACGAAGCTGAGGACGCTGGAGCGCGAGCGCGAGGAGGTGGGCACTGCGCGGGACGAGCTACAGAAGAAGGCGGAGGGCCTCGAGAAGAAGGTTGCGACGTTGACGACGCTGCACAAGGAGCAAGACGCGAGGATGCAAACGCTCCGAAAGGACAAGGAGAAGGCAGACAAGGAGCTGGCAGATCTAAGAAGCGAGGTCGTCAAGCTGCGCAAGAGCGACGCCCATGACCGTGGTGGCACAGATGACGACCATCTGGATGAGCTTGAGAATGAAGAGCGGCTACGGCTGGAAAAGAAGGTCCGGGAGCTGGAAACGGAGAACCACGATCTTAGACGCGGTATCTGGCACGAGCGGAGAAAGGAGATGCAAGTTGGTCCGGACGATACCAGTCCCAGTGGCCAATTCACAGATGTTGATCTCGGCGGTGGCTTGCTATCGCCAAGTCTCAGGAAAGGAGGCGGTGGAATTACGGATTTCTTCACTAGCGGACTCAATGCCCTAGCTGGTGGTGGGCCCAGTCACGGAAGTGACCACGAGGGCTTGCTTGAGGACGACGACATGGAGTTCGACGAGGAGGCATTCCGCAAAGCTCAGGAGGAGGATGCTAAGAAGCGCATTGAACGCATCAAGGAAATCAAGAGAGGTCTCAAGAGCTGGGAGGGTTACAGATTGGATCTTGTGGAGTCAAGACATGGAAGTAGTGAAGGCTTTGGAGAGATATTCGAGGTTTAGGGGGCTTAGTTGTGGCAGTCATCGAAGACAGAGCATGGCCGTTAATCATGGTGACTGATACCAGGGATCAACTGTGTATAATACCGCAAGAGACGTTAGTTGGATGAGACATTGATTGTCTGACGATAGACTACCAAAAAATGATGAAGTTCAATCTGGTCACACGCAGTAAAGAAATTCACCTCGGAGGAAGTGTCATTTCCGAGCTTCGGGTGTGGCAATAACCAGTAATTTCGCGCACACCCTGTGCAGAATACGTTGTCCCATTTAATTAGCTTACCTACCTGCTGGAGCATGCCGTAAAGTGCGGCAGTAGCGCTTGGGAGAGCTACCTCTAGCCCCGCGCCGAAACGCGAGCGGTACACGTAGCTAAATACACCTACCACAGTAATCACTCAGCTCCCCTCCCGTGCGCAAATTTTATTTTGCACCGGCTCGTGTTCACACCACCTCTCACTCTCATCGCTTGCGCAAACATAACAAGAGGCAATTCTCTTGCCGAGCGCGGGACGAGCATCGCTAAACTCATCTCTATTCCAGAGTAAGTCATAGATCATATGTAATGTATATGAAGATGGAGCTAAGACATCTCGGCAGATCAACATCAACGGTGCTGTGGGGAAGCAAATAGGTGGAAGTGAGACCCGTATCGAAGGGCGAGGAAAGCGCACCATCGCAGTCCGTAAAATGGACCGCGTTTCGCAGCATCAGATGCAGCAGCTTGGCCAGCAACCGCTGCCGGGCACACCGCAGCAGCAACAGCAACAGGCTGGCGAGCGGCAGGTTACTATCGACGCGCGCCGCTTCGAGCGGCTCGAGTCCAATGTCGCCAAGCTGCTGGAGTTGACCCAGCTCATGCTCAACCGGCAGCAGGAGCTCAACGACCGGGCGCAGGCGCGCGTGGACACGCTGCAGCAGGAGGTCGCGTACGCCGAGGAGCGACTGCAGCTTGCGCTCGAGGGGTCCGAGGAGGAGGACGACGACGACGACCGCGAGCCGCCCGACATGGCGTACCCGCCGCCGGGGATGCAGTTCCGGCCCAACTTCGGGGCCAAGAAGCCGCTCGAGGGCCTGCTGGACAACCTGAACCTGTGGGCCAAGGAGCACGGCTACAAGTGCGCGACGCTGCGCAGCACCCAGAAACCGGGTGAGCGCGTGCGCGTGGCCATCCGCTGCGCCCTCGGCGGCGAGGCCCGCTACAAGACGACCGACGAGAACGGCGAGACGCTCATCCGCACCAAGACGGGCCAGCTGCGCAAGCCGTACCGCAAGCGCACCAGCAAGAAGACCGGCTGCCAGTTCGGCTTCATCCTCGGCGAGACGGGCCAGAACACAAACATCTTTGAGGTGAGGTATCACCCTAATGGATGTCACCCGCACAACCATGAGCCCATGGACTTTTAAGGAGAGTGGAGCTTCTGTCTCTTACGTGGTCCATCCTAGAGGAGAAGGGGGTGAGAGGACGGGTATGTGGAGTATTCCATCTTTGGCAGGTTGTTTTTGCTATTATTTGTCCCGCAAAGTGATTGATCTAAAGTCACTCGGGAGTTGTTCTCGAATGGTATGCACGTGTTCTCGCGGCGGCGTTCTAAGGAGGCGTCATCTTGCATGAGATGGACTAGGCACCAGGAATTGATCTCGGTCGTTCGTATCTCTACAGTCGCCATTGGGTTAGGCTGGCTTAGTGTTTCTGATTGTCGAGGATCAATGCGAGACAAGATCACACATCATAGTGTAATTCAAAGTGATCTTGATATTTACTAAGCTCATGCGCTAGTAGTCTATTACAAGTATTTCGTCGCCTCGCTGGGCCTATGCCTGCAGATGAGAGGATATCGTAAGACGTAAGAACATCAAGGCGGCGAGAACCGCACTAGAGGCCAAGTCTTGGGTGGGGGAGATTTCTCATCCAGTCGACAAGACATCTGGAATCAACCAAAGGGGGGGATACCTTAACCCCCTGTGCGCCGTCATGCACAAATGCGATATTGCCATACCAAAAACGCCGCTCAAATCCAAAGCAATAAAAGTTGCTACAATCGCTTCAGTAGCCCCTAACTCCTCGTCCATGCATCGTCATCGTGACCATGTACCTATGCCTGTACACCGAAAAGGCGCAGAGAGGGGTATTCCGAGCTAAAACAGGGGAAACAAAGAAGTATTTGAGAATGGACGATGGCCTTCGACCATTAATCAGAAAAAGATTGCAAAGTTTGATGTTTATACATCCGGGTTCACAGGCATGTTGCAGTACAACAGCCCATTCGCCATCGGAATAGACTCCTGGGGATGGGTGGACCAGGGCATGGAACGCACAAAAGACCCAGCCATCGGAGGGGCAGTGCCGGGCCGAACCTGCGCAGTTGGTGAGGGAAGAACAGTAATTCCTTCTAAAGACGCTCCGGATGTCAAGGCCTGCTTGGAGAGGGGCAAGGCATTATGCCTTGGGGGAGAGATGTAATAGGCTGCCGGAGTCGTCTGTCCCTGCGTCGTGCCATCCTATAGCAAATTCGCGGTAGGGCCGAGGCGCAGTGCTTCTTGCTCTTGTCGGAGTTGTTGAATCTGTTGCATCATGACTGTAGTTTGGCGATTCTGGTTGTCCACCTGCTTTCGAAGCTCCTCATTCTCACGACGCACACGCTTAACCTCTTCTCGCAGATCCACGAGTTCCTCCCCTTCGCCCCGCTTCCGCTTTCCTCCAGTAGTCGCAGGCGTATCAAGGCTCACTGCATCATCGGTCTCCTCGCCGCCAGAAGGGTTGCCGTTACCCGTATGTACACGCCGCAGGTGTTCAGCCAGATTCTCCTGGCGAGAGAAGCCCTTGCCGCTATGCCGCTTGCAGTTGGGGTGAGGGCAATGCAGTGGATTCTTCGGGCCACCATGCTTGCCGTGAACTTCACGCTCATGTCGCAAAAGACCGCCTGAGTACGTAAATCCAGGAAGCTTCTCACAGCCATCCGCGGTGCATTTGTAAGGACGGTCATGCTTGTCCATGTGCTTGCTAGAATATGAAAGTCAGCATATTATCAACAACAGCTAGGAAACAAGCATCCTACCTCCACTCGCATTTTCGCTGAAACTCCCTGACATCTTCAGTGCAGTTTGGGTTGCTGCAGAAGAACTTTCCGTCCATTGTCCTAGTTACCGGACGGTCTGGCTTTGGGATGGGCTTAATGCGCGGAGCAGGAGCAAGCGATGGGGTTTGCGCAGGTAAAGGAGAGTCCTCCTTCACTGGGGCTGGGGGGCCAAGATCAAGTCGAGGTTCGGTATCGGCGAAAGGGGATGTGACGTCGCCGCCCACTGTGTAAGTGCCAGCGGCGACTGCAGCGAGGTCGGCGACATCTGGATCGGAAAAGCGATCGAGGGAGACGGTCGTATGATCATGTTCACCGACAGGCGCATAAGCACCGTCGTGGATGAAGTTCCGTGGCTCGTAGGAGACGCTCATCTTGTCGACCAAGGTCGCGAAGCGCGACACTTAGCGGGGTGTGTGTAGAATATGCGGGTTAAGCGTAATAGGAGACCAGTTATGACGAGGCTGTGAGGGACTCGATACTCGGGTCGACGAGGCTCGGGATCCCTATGACAGCTGGGGATTTTGGTTGGAAGGTAGGAAACAGAATTCGGGTGCTCGAGGCACGCAAGTTCGACAGCTTTATGGCGAAGTGGGCTGAAAGTGAGTGTTCAGAGGCTGGACCTGGCAGCAGCATGGGATGTCAGAGCCTGAAATCTGTGGACGAAAATGCAGGCAACAAAGCTAAGCCACAATAGGGACACGCAGGGGGCTTTGTCATCAGTCGAGAAGTCGCGACCGAACAAGCCGGGCAATGGGCGGCGGCTGGAACAATGGGTTCTTCCAGGGCCGACACCCTCCAAGCCTTGAAAACTATGTCACGTGCAAATGACAAAGCCAAGGCCTGGAGCCCCGCCCCACTCGCCCCCGGTGCGAAGAAGCCTGGTTGCTGTCTGCCTGCAGATTGGATTGGATGGAAGCTGGGGAACTCACTTCTGAGTGGATGGGTGGTCTGCCAGTGCCAGTCGATGCTCTTTGGTCTTGTCTCTCTCTTTCTTCTTAACCCATCATAACAAGAACAGCTGGTGCAGCTGTCGAGGCGGCTGCAGCTTCTATTAGTACAATTCCGAGACTAGGCAGAGAACTCGAGATGCTCCTCGGCAGGGCTCGAGGCAAGGATATAAGGAACGCAGGCAATCGATGGGTGACTCACCTCTGCTCAGACCAGCCTATCCAGGCAGGGCTGCCAACCACAAAGAGGCAAATCCGCTGTTGCACACCACTCAAACGCGATTATGACACGCTCCGGCTAGGCTCTCCGGTCAGTAGTCACAATATCTAGGACCAACCACCATTAGGCTACACTGCCATCTCCAGGTGTAGTCCTCTCCGAGATTCCACTGAAGCCACTTGTTCCAGCGGCGTGAGGCCACCACCAGCCATCTGAAGAACTTCGTCTTGCAAGGCACTTGCCATACAATTCCAAGACCATGAGCCTCTTGCCACAAGTCAGGGCACCTTTCACATAAAACAAGACATCCATGAAGTGTCCGCCAGAGCTTTCCACCGTTCGCCATGCAAAAAGAGATGGGATATTGCAATAAGATTCATGGTCAAATGCATTTGCGTCATCAGACCGAACCTTGAAAATCAAATCCATCCTGTTAATGGAGTCACCGCTAGCATGATCGAAGCCCTCCTAGTTTCAAGAGGAGTGTATGCGTCCCAACTTGGCTTCAAGCTGAGATCACGCAGATAAAGCACTTGCCGTGTCCTCTGGTCGGCCAGGCTGTGTTCTTGCCTGCAAGCGGTTGATGAGCTCAGAAATGCCAGTTTCTGTTGTTGTCATTGTAACCGCCTTGTGCGCCTTTGCTCGAATTGGGCGTTCAGTCAGACGCAGCAGAAACGATCCTACACCTGGGTGACTGAGTAATAGCCCTATATGCGTCGGTGCTCAAGCTGGAGGTAGAACTTGCGCTAGTGCGAAGCAATCCTCACCCATGCCAACACATGAAGGCAACAACCTCTCCCGGGTCTTGGCGTCCTCTGGCAGCGAAAATTAGAAATATGCGACTATCGAATCTGCCTAATAGCTGGTACTTGCACACTTGGAAGCGTGACACGGTGACCAAGGTGAGTCAGGTGCACTCCGAGAATAGCAAGATCGCCTAGTTCAAGATGGCCGATATCGCGTAGTAGATTGGGTGATTGAAGACAGCTCCTGCGGTGAAGAAGCTCAGTAGGAAGAGAAGCCGTCTGTCGTATACAGCCAAACTAGGTCTTGCGACTTCGTGGTGAGCTTCTGGATACCAGATATGGCCATAGAGGACAATTTTCCTTCTCATGAGACCATTCAGGCAGTTCAACCAAGCGTGACGATGCATTTCTGACATCGTCGCAAGCAATTGAATGGCATGTTTTGGTGGTTATTGATTCGGCCAGCTGAGGACACGGTACCAATAGCAAACGGGAAGAGGAAGCAAGAGATAATGGGTCCAAGACAGTTGATAAGACTTTCATCATATACGAGGCAGAACAGCCAAATCGTCACTGATGCTCAAATGAACATTGCAGTTAATGCCAGGCGAACCCTCTCTTCATCGTTGCAATTGATCGAACGAAAGGGAAAAGAGGCTGGTCTTTGTCGCAAACGATGCAGGAAGATTTTTGAAATGACGATGGGGTTGCTAATCTGGAGGGGAAAGAGGGGAGACACAACCCAGGCACCTCTGCATCTTGTGTCCCGAAATATGAGGTTGAAACTCCATCCAGAATTGCAACCTTGCAGCCTCAGGCTTGTGCATCTCCATTCCTTCAAATCCCTTTCCCGTACCTGCACTTATCCGCAAGAACACGGCGCCAGTGATCCAATACCCCAAGAATTGACAGCTTAGATGTCTAGGTATGGTAAAGTTCAACTCAATGCAGGCCATTTAAGCTCGTGAAGTGTCATGATCTGCAAAAATCCAAAGCACAATGCACCTCCCAAAAAATGATCTGCCAATTTCTTGAGGTAGAGTTTGAGCAAGCATGTTGCTGCCTACTCTTGGCTTCACATCTCAGAACACTACGCGGTGATTTCCACATCCAGACGTTTATCACTTATGATAATATCCGCCGCCTCATATTTGTGTCTTCACGTAATGACTGTGCGTTGCAACCGTGGGTATGTTTTCGATGTATCCTGAGTTTCACCGGGAACCACGGGCCGACTTGTGTGAACCCATCCTGGGGCAGAAGGCTATCCTGTCAAGACCATACTCGTTGTCTTGATATAAGTTATTTTTCCATACTTTTCTTTACGAAGGAAAACCTTCAAACGCACCTCACAAAAATCTAACATTTTCGCAATTCGAGCACACCGCCACGGCAATGGCGGATATACCAGAGGTAGTATCAGTTCTTCAAAGATGGTCAATAGACACAATCATGAGCCGTTTGGCACGAAGCTCACCAGACGGCTGGGATGATATCGTCGAGGAAACAGGCGTCAAGCACACCACGTTGAGTCGCAATCCTCTATCTTCAACCGGAGACCTCGACAGGCTTCCCAATGAGACGCTGTTGCGGGTGATAGAGGAGCTCGCGTTCGACCTTCCCAGTCTCTGCAGTCTTTGGGCTGTATCACTCCGCACAAAAGAGTTGGTTGAATCAATGCCGATGGCTGGAGACCTCTTCAAGCATGCGTCTCAAACACTTGTCGTTTTAAAAAAGACGAATCTGACGAGAAATCTTAACGTTGAGGACCTTTATTCTACCTTACAGTCTGAAAATTGCGCGAGTTGTCACCAATCCGGCGCTTTCCTCTTCCTTCCGACCTGTGAACGTGCCTGCCTCAACTGCTTGCACCGCGCCAGACGCTTTCGCGTGATGCCTGCGGACGATGCGCAGGCCATCTACAGGGTCCCTCAGAAGAGAATGAAAATGGTTCCCACTATGCTACCAATGCACGTCAGGAAAGCTTCTGGACGCCGCAAAAAAGTCGTCAGTGTCGAGCTTGTCCGCCGGATCGGTCTCTTATGTGAAGATTGGCGTGGAATAGATTCTCGAGTGCTGAGACGCGATGAGTTAGATGCCAAGGATCGCGAGTTCCTCTGGCGGGTGGAATTGGGCGATGCCTCAATCAAGCAGAAGGAGCTCGTTGCCCCAAGTAGTGTTTACTATGTCGGACCTTCGATGAGATTTCCACATATGCATCCTGATCGCACCGTGGATGCCGAATACTGGTGCGAGGGATGTAGGTTCATGAACAAGAAATTAAATGCCGTGTCGAAGCCTCATCATGAGCTGATAATTGACGACATGGGATGGAGAGAATGGAAGAGCTGGTCAAAGCGTGAGCTCCTTAAGCATGTTGCCACATGCAGAGGAGTGCAAGAGTTTTTGAGACAGCAACACTTCACGAGATAGAGGCATCAAGAACCAACTTGCCTGTAATTCGAGAGCTTTCACAGGCATGAAGTCATTGGAAACAAACACTCCTCAAGGCTCAAATAAAAGGTCTTTTCCGAACCTCTACACAAAACTAGCAGACTTCCCTTCGCTGTGATGCAAAATACATGATACAGTTGTCATCCTCATTGGCGACACTAATCCAGTGCACACTCGAGAGTTTAGGAGGGCTATCATCGGCTTCAAGAGATGACTCTTTCGATGACATATCCGTGTGCGGCGTTATTTAGGGGCTACAGTGGGGTTAATGTCATAACAACGAGCGCCCCAGTGCGCTAAAAGTGGTTGGAGTACAACTTTCAGCGTTATGATCGCTAAAAGGATGGGAAGGTTTTGTTGAACCGCCTTAGCAGCTCAACCTAAGAGAGCCTTACGTAAATGGAATAGCTTTCCTCCTGGGGCCTCGGGTTTCTGAGAATTTTCCTCTTATCTACTACTACTACCCTTCTTTGGATATTATCATCCCCTTCACTTTCCACTCTTACCTCAAGGGGTTTCTTTCACATACTTTCTCCATCATCGCTTCCAGTCTTCGGACGGTATCACAATCTCTAGGATACAACATCACCGATTAAAAAGCCCGAGTTCGGTAGCTTGAAAAGACTATTAGCACGCACCTCCATTGCTTCTTAGTCGAAGTATGGCTCACCAAGATGTAGAGACTCCAGTTGGGGATGCCAAGTTCCTAGCAGAGACCAATGCTACTTCTCATGATCCAGAACGCCAGGTGGCAGGCCTGGGTGATCAAGAAGACTACCCTGTCGAACGGGTCGAAGCCGTATACAGGTGCGTTGAACACTCCTCTCTCTCTCTAGCTCATGCTAAGTAACTCAGGAAACTTGATCTTCGCATCATCCCAGGTAAGAATACATATCATTTATACAGCTACTTCCAGCTAATTAACTTGACAGCTTTCTGGGTGCTGTACTTCTTATGTTCCGCCATCCGTTCAAACATTGGCCTAGCGCAAACTATGAACAAATCCGCCGGCCATGACTTGATGAGTGTGCTACATCTGACTGCCAAGGATACTTCGACGGCTTTGACGTTGTTCTATGTGGCCTACGTTCTGTTCGACTGTCCCTCAAACTTGGTCATGAGCAGGCTCAGCCCCCGGGTCTGGATGGCTCGCATCGTCTTTGCTGTCGGTGTCATTGGTACCTGCTTTACCGCCGTCAAGGCAGCATGGAGTGTCAAGTACGCACCTTTTCGAAGTTAAAGCTGTGATTTGACCATACTGACAGCAAGCAGACTACTACGGTTTCTCCTCGGAGTGGTGATCGCTGGTATGTGGCCTGGTATGGCTTACTACCTAACACTCTTCTATCCCCCATCAAGAACTGGAAAGCGCATTGGCATGTACTTTTCGGCAGCCCAGATCTCAGCAGCGGTTGTCGGCCTTGTATCAGCTGGCTTTCAGAAGATGGACGGGTTAGGCGGGCTGGTAGGATTCCAATGGATGTTTATGATCTATGGTCTATTGGCTGTAATACTGGGTGTGGTCCTACTATGGTGGTTGCCTGACCGGCCACTCGTACCGGGACAGGAGCGGACCAAAAGCGGATTCATGAAATGGCTTCCAGCAACTCCTGAAGCCCTCAAGGGAGAGGATGCCATCGTTCACTACCACGATTTGAAGAGAGTGTATCACCCTCGCCCCTGGACACTCAAGGACCTTGGCTATGTCCTGATTGACTGGCGGCTATGGCCCCTAACATTGATGTACTTTGGCGTTGTTGGTGTCGGAATCGGTACCCAACTCTATGGCAATGTCATCATTGCTTCCATCAATTCAAGCTTCACTGGGATTCAGATCAGTCTGCTTTTCGCTCCTATCTGGCTAGTAAGTCAGTGTCCAATATAGGAACATACTTGTTACTGACACTTGAACGCAGATGGATTTCGCTGCCATCCTTCTCGTCACGCCAATTTCTGATCGATTCCATCACTATCGCCCTTTCTTCTTCTCCGCAGCGGTCTGCATCCAAATTGCAGGGTTACTGACAGTCACCTTTGCATTGTCGAACCCGTGGGCCAGATACGGTGGACTTCTCATGATCGGCTTCGGACTGGGCCCTACGGTCCCCATCTGCATGACGTGGACAAACGAGATCTTCCAAAGACGCCATGGTGAAGTCGGCGTTGCTGCTGCGTCTGCCCTTGTTTCCGGGCTCGGCAACCTCGGCAGTGTGACAACGACGTACGCTCTTTACACAGGCTGGCCAGAGGACTCTGCACCGGGGCCACACAAATACCGGAAGAGCAACCTAGTCATGATCGGAATACTTTGCATCAGCATTCTAAGCAGCTTCGTCATGACTGTTTTGCTCAAATTTTTCGGAAATAAGCCAAGTCACAAGATCATTAGTAGCGGAAGTTCTGCCGTCGACTCTGTTGATGATTTCCAGGACGGCGCAGCTCGTCGTGAGCTCCAGCAACGCGGCTTTGGCCGAATGTGGTGGAACAGGAAGTAGACCTGCACCACTAGGATCTACTAAGGGCGTACAAAATCAGAGGAGCCTGATTCTTGATGTTCAACATATCGAACCAGGATGTGTGGTCGAAACACTTCACTTCTTAGCAGCAGTCGCTGCCCGGGCAGCTCAACCTGCCATTGAACGCTTAACTTATATACGATTTTCGCCCGGCTATTAAGCCACTATTTGATCATCTCGCATTTTACAAACGCATATACCCCATTTAGCGTTTTAATATGCTTTTCATCCGAGGGCAGGCATCATCTTCGATTCACTCACAGGCGACAGGTGGGCGGTTCGACTGAGGCCAGCTTCCTCGACGGCGACAGTGCTGTTACGCCATCGCTGGGAAACGGCGTATTGGACTGGAGTGCGGTTTGCCGGCGACAATGCTTCTGCGCTATCGCTTTTTGGCCCGCCTCATGGGAGTAACCAAAAGTTACAAAAACAGGACATGGAGGGGAAAACAGGAGGTTGTCAGGTTATAGACGCATGGCATCGGGAGTGGTTTTTTTATATCAGTGGTTATTTTGCATTTTTCTATGATACCCCATCTGCGTTTTTTCACGCTGTCTTTCGAGGTCTTCGCCACTCGACAGCGACAATGCTTCTGCGCTATCGCTGGGACGGCGTGTTGGACCGAGACCTGTGCCGGCGACAATGCTTCTGCGCTATCGTTGGGCCAGGCTCGTGGGCGTCGAACCTTTGGCTTTTATATCTAGGCTCTAGTGGACGTCTGAGGAGGAAGATGAGAAGGGGATTGACTGGTCATTCATTTAAAGTAGTCACATACAAATTTGAGTCAATATGCCCCTTGAATGTTTAGTAGCTCGTCGCACTTGTTCATCGTAGTACACCTCTTCCGGTGAAAGCCTCCAAACAGCTGTTGAGCCTGGCTCTCATGAGTAGAACATATATGTATTTCGACGTCGTGGGTTTATGGATGACGCTGAAATGGGGGGGAATGCGGGAGACGGAAGAGATCCAGGCCTGTGATGGCTACCAAGTATACAATTCTTTAGCGATTCGTGTAGGAGCGAGCTCGCTGTGCTTGCCGTGTTCACTATCTGTTGATTACCTACTTCTTGCCCTTTGAACAACAAAAAGAATATGATTACTACTAGGTAGATAATTTGAAAGCCTTGGGCTTATTGCCATCAATCAATGAGACCAGTCTAGCTTGCCCCTGACAACGATCCCTTAGCAACGTTGCGGGAATCAGGTGTCCGCAATAAACTCCTCGTCTGTCGAGAAGGGATGTGTCATGTTAGAATTTGCAAGCCAAGAATCCCACTGGTCCCAACTAATAGTATGCGTAGCACTGTCGTCCCCACAATCTTGATCCAGCATGAAATCTAGAGTGAAATCAAAATCGATCATGTGGTCGATCTGACCATCATTAAAACCGAACGCAAACTCGGTTGGTTGAGGGCCAACAAAAGCCTCCTGTGAGCCAAGAGCTGGACCTGCTTGCGAAGTTATACCTCCAGTAACATTATTGACTGTATTACCTGCCTTCGCTCTCGGCCGCGCGCCATTGATGAAATTACTCGCTACATCATTGCTGAACGGATAGTTAGTCTGAAGATGAACGCCATTCGCTAGTCGTTCTTCCCTACTAGCTTTGGCATCCTCGTGTTGTTGGCGTAGTTGTGCGATGAAGCGTGGTATTGGCGGGAGACTCATGTTCTTGTTTCGCAGCGCGGATTCACGGTTGGTGTATGCTTTCAAGCAAAGCCCGCCTACCGCTACATGAATTTGTTTTCTCATATCGGAGATGAGGTCCGGGTTGCACTCATAGACGTTTTCTATATGTTTCCATGCTTTATCGGCACCTGCTTTGAGTGGATCGGCTCGCACGGTGTCGAGAATATGAATGATAGCATGCCATTGCTGAAAGTATGGTGCATACCACGCAAATTTCCTTAGAAATGGGTTGGACTGCAGCATGTTATGCTGCTCGAGAAGATTGATACAGATGTCCCAGACCATTTGACGCTGAGAAGGTGGCGTTTGCTCTCTGCTACCCCATCTTCTCGGGTGATGCGACATAAAGCGAATGACGTTAATGGAACTTCGTGCCATCAACATCGTCACGAGATGCAATGGCTGTGAGGGGTCACAGTAGCGTAAGTACTTGGCTTCGAGGAGCTCTTCAAATTCTCTGAAAGATTGATCCGTCTCTTCAGAGTCATTCTCCAGCTTTTGAGGGTCCCATGGACTGGATGTCTTTCCTTGTCGGTGAAGATCTGCAACACGGTGTGATACATAATTGAGAAGCTCACACTTCCATGAGACGAAGGCTGTATCTGTCAACTTGCCCGACTCGGAGGTAAGTGAAGTCATACCCGGATAAAGCTGATCATCGTTGACGTTGGTTGGCCAATTTGTGTACTTGGCACCTGTGTGAAGATCTTGAAATTTGCCAATGCCGCAAAGCTCAGCTGTACGAAAGTCGTGCATCTTGAGTTGCCACCAGACACGTCGCCTCATCTCGGTCTCGAAGGGAGATAGGCCCAGATACACTCCATCGCGCTCTAGTCTCATGCCTTGGGCAATACGGAGGGCCACACCTGTCAAAGACCAAATAGCGCGGGGTTGATATATGTCGCGTATTGTCAAAAGATGAATGATGAATGCTTGGAGAACAACAAGGCTAGTAGTTCCTAGCATATTGGCCCGATGCAATGATCTTTTGGTGGCGGATATATATCGTGTCAGGAGGGGCCTACGAGACTCATTCAGGCGTTGTAGGGACTCCTCATCCGTTAGGGACATGACCGCTGCACTATAGATAGCAAACATCAGTGCCTCAAGTTCCCTTGGTATTGCCCCTGTATTTTTTGCCGCTTTCTCGATTGCTGGTCCCAAGGTAGGGACATGGACCACTTTTGTTAATGGATCGATATTTTCCGCAAAAATCTGCCATAGCTGGAGTATGCGTTGCGGTGGTGGATGGACGCCCTTGTTGTTATGCCTAGGCTGATCATCGATAACAAAGCCCGAATAGTCATCATAAGCGTCTGGGTCATTCGCATTATTTGACGTCTCTTCCAAGACATTATGAGGATCATGCAGCTGAAGGAAGACGGTATTAGTGAACATGTCACCATACTCAGTCAACTTGACCTCACAACACTCACCTCTTCTACTATTCTCGTCCATAAAATGCTATTTTAAAGATCAACGTCAAATATATAGGTGTAACTTAAGCCTGACTTACTTATCGACGAATTTTAGGCGTCCTGGAAACTGTACCACTTGTGCCCTATTGACAGATCGCGTGGCGTCGACCTCAATAGCCGGGCGGTCATCCGACGATGTTTCATTCGGTATCACATTGACTATGTTGCTAGAATTATGGCGTAATTCGGAGTCGGGAGCGTGCTGTACTAGATCTGGGTCGATGCCTTTCTCTCGAAGTAGTGCTTCATACTGTTTCACCTGATCGGCCAGGACTTGAGTTTTGAGGCGTCTGTTCCTATTTCGAGGAGGATGCGAGGGGTTATAGACGCATTCAACGCTGTGTCTAACACATGCGTTACAAGGCGTCTGACGATCACACCTTCATAAGCAGATCAGTAACCGTACGAAACCAGCACTATATCTTGCAAGGTGCCCTGCAGTATGGCTTGATATCTTTGAAGGACCACGGGAATACTGGAAAATCAGATACAGCATGCAGCGCATCTTGACTGAAAAGAGCTAAATGGTTTAAGAGTCAAAACACTAAAAATAAACATACTTCACTTTACGCTGGGCACATCGTATGCAGGAATAGGCAGGTCTGCTCGGAAGCTGTGTTGCACAAGATGCTATCGTCGCCATCACACAGAATCAGGGAAAACCTGTGGTGAAGAGTTGAGGAAAGTAAAAGATAACCGCAAAGCCTGATTTGTTTCCGTCAGATATGTGCTGTTGAAAAGGTTACGATTTAATCCCAAGGAAGAGATGGAAGATATGCTCGGCACGGTGCGAAGTCCGATTCATGTGGCCATAGGAACTCTGATTGGTGGGCCTGACTCGGCCCCGACAATTTTGGAAACCCCGAGGTTGTTAAAGTGGCTGATCACAGTGTGATCGTGATATAACTAAGCATAGCACTGTGTCATTCCCGTTCCCGAATACGTGTGCCATCATTACTGTCTGTGATTGTTACTACCATTTTCGTGTTGACTACCTAATTATAGCGTTGCTTTACTCGTTATGGCACGGGAATCATTATACAAGGGCCATTGATAGCGTGATCGGCTTCCAAAGTTTATATTGAAAATGATAGTCACATAATCATATAATTCACTAGTGAACATGATTTATTTATATGTCCCGATTACAATTGTCACGAGTCTGAAGTTTTGGACGATTCATTGAAACAATCATCGATCATTACAATGGCCTTCTTCCTTCAACATAGGTTCTTCCTTATTTAACTTGTACTTATAAATCCAGATTTGGGAAGGTAAGGCGGGAGCCCGCTTAGTTTTGTCTCAGGTCTTGCCACTTAGTAGGCGATTCGGGTTCGGCTGAAGTAGGCTCGGGCGACCTACGCACTTTTGTATTGTCCGAAGTTTCCTGTATGACACCAACCCGAAAATTTGCCAAACTGCATATATTTCGGGAAAGGCTCTCAAAACTACGAACCTACATCATGGGGTCTTATTATTATAAGTACGATTGTCTTCTCTCTCTGCTCATAGCGAAATTGTCTTATTGTATTCACACGATGACTTGTAAGTCTCGAGTTGCTGAAATTATACAATTACTATCAACACGGAAAGCATTCACCCCAAACATTTCGATTAATTCTCATAAATTTCAGCATCAAGTATTTTCAACTATGTCATCACAGCCAAGAATCGCTATTGTGGGCGGAGGGCCTGCTGGATTAACGCTGGGTCTCCTGCTCAACAAGCATCGAATCCCATTCACTATCTTTGAAGTTCGCCAGCAACCCACCGAGGAAGAACTGGCTAAACCATCTGGCATGCTTGACCTTCATGAAGAAACCGGGCTTGGAGTCATCAAAAAATGCGGATTGTACGATCAGTTTGTTCCACTCACTGGAGAATGTAGTGAGGACTTTGTTGTTGCAGAGAGGAATGGCAAAGTTCTTTGCTCAGTGGGAGGAGAAGGCACACGTCCAGAAATTTCCCGCAACAACTTGACGAAGCTCTTGCTTGGCGGTATCCCAGCGGGAGGCGTCAAGTGGAACCACAGACTCCTCTCCGCTGCCAAAACGTTGACTTCCGGTGATAACAAAACCGAGCTGGATTTCGGTATAAACGGTAAGCAACAATTTGATCTGGTAGTTGGCGCGGACGGTGCGTGGTCTCGAGTCCGCAAGCTACTCACGGACACGGAGCCCCATTACACCGGCATGCAGAATATTACAATAACGATCAGGAACATCACGAAGAAGTATCCCCACCTGGCCGAGCTGATCGGCAGTGGCTCATTCACCGTGCTCGGCAACAAACACGCAGTCATTTCACAAAGGGGGCCAATGGACTCTGCTCGGGTCTATATATGGCTTACAATGCCTGACAAGGCGAACGCCACTAACTTCGGCCTCGTTGGCACACCGGCCACGGTTGCTAAAGACAAGTTGCTCGGAGACGACGTGTTGCTTGGCACATTTGGCGACAAGATAAAGGAGCTGGTGGCCACCGCATGCGACGAAGAGACGGCAGATAACCCGGGTGCGAACCTGGACATCAAAGCACTACACACACTGCCACATGGGAACTCCTGGGATCACAGAGCTGGTATAACACTTGTCGGTGATGCGGCTCACCTGATGCTCCCGAACGGAGAGGGCGTCAATATTGCCATGTATGACTCGCTGTTGTTGTCGCAAGCTATCATCAAGGCATACGGGAGGGCTGGGAAAGATATTGAATCGTTTAACAACATATTGAACCCATTGTTGAAGGAGTTTGAGGTGGGTATGATGGAACGTGCAAAGGAAGCAGGCAAGGATACGGATATTTTGATTGGTAATATGTTCGGGACAGACGATGCAGCATTTGACCTAGTCAGTTTCTTCCAAAGTGTGCAGCAACAGCAGGGCAGTAAGGAACAGTAATGAGAAATGTAGTCATATACAGAGACTAAAGGACTTGAGAGAGCGAAGAGGTCTACGTCTACAGCGCAGAGAGCAGCGATATTTATAAACACTATTAAGGAGATTGTGCAACTGTAGGAACGTAATACAGCAAGTTCGTAAGGATTCCTGGAACAGATGGCACAACAACCATTTCTACTACAGCCAGGGGATAACCGACATTCGTGTTTAGGTTAATAAAAGGAAAGATAAGAAAATTTGGCAAAAAAATGGGAACGGTGAGGCTCGAACTCACGACCTTCAGATTACCCTCAGATTATGAAGTCATATGAAAATATGAGACTGACGCGACTACCGACTGCGCTACGCTCCCAGTTGTCACTTTTCTCTCAGATTGAAAATCAAGAAAATTTCTCAGATTCTCCTCAGAATTTAGCCTTTCCTGAGACCCCACACGGAAGTGGAACAACCTCCAAACCGCCTACTAAAAAAAGTTCAAGCAGAAAATTAGCTGTACAGCTACAGGGTCGAGGACATTGCCCAATTATTGCGAGCACTTTGTTAGGAGGAAAAACCTGACACGAGGACCTTGATATCCCCTGTACCTCCTAGTTTTTATTTGAATATTATTTCTAGTATTTCTTGTAGGACATTGCCTTGATTTCTACACACAATGGCCTCCGACGACGAGAAGAGGGTGAAGGCCAAGAAGGAGAAGAAGGAGAAGCGCCGATCCGAGACCGACGGCGTGCACAAGTCGAAGAAGGACAAGAAGGAGAAGAAGGCCAAGGACGACAAGCTCAAGAAGAAGATTGCGACCGCTCTCGAGGAGCAGCTCGAGGCGGACGCCGCCAGCGCCAGCGCCATCGTGAAGAAGAGCAAGAAGGCCGCCGCCGACATCGAGTCCGAGGACGACCACCCCGGCTCCGACTTTGAGGAGATCAAGAACGCCGCGATCGAGACTGCGCTCGTCTACTTTGCGCTGCCGATTGCCGACGCAAAGGGCCACAAGAAGATCTACAAGACGATCAAGAAGGGTATGTCTACGACTCTTACCTATCTCTACTCACAAATGCACAATATAGCTAATGTCATTGTCGTACAGCACGAAAAGCCGGCGCCCTCCAGCGTGGCGTCAAGGAAGTCAACAAGGCCCTGCGCAAGACCCCTCTCAAGACGCCCTCAAGCGCGTCCTCCGTGCCGGGAATCGCCATCATTGCCGGCGATATCTCACCCGACGAGGTCATTATGCACCTGCCGCTGTACTGTGAGGAGCATAACGTCCCCTACCTGTTCGTCACCTCGCGGCTGGAGCTCGGCACCGCCGCCAAGACGAAGCGCCCTACCAGTGTTGTCTTCCTGACGGAGAAGGGCCGCGAGCGCAAGCCCAAGGCGGGCGAGGACTCCAAGATGAAGGAGGACGATGACGAGGAGGATGCTGGTGACTATGCCGAGGCCTACAAGGAGCTTCTGAAGCTGGCACAGAAGGAGTACACCAAGCAGATGAAGGATGTGCTAAGAAACTAAAGGCCTGAAGGGGGAGGGCCGGGGGTTTGGCGGAAGCGGAAGTGCTGCTGGAATCACCTCTGTCGGTGATGTCTGAGCTTCCTAAATTCTGGGTCTATAAAAGGATACCATTTCACGGTGGCGCAACTGTGAGGATCGGCGTTTCAAGGATTCTTGTTTGATGTAGGCTGCCTTCTTGCGGACAGATCTCGCATTCAGGGTACATAAAAATGGATTGGCATAATTGTAATGGTTGACCAAAATTCCCTCGCAGCAACTGAGTAAGCGTTCCTCTGTTGTGACGAGAGAAATTGACATTGCAACGAGCTAGCGTACATGGCCGACTGATAGACTGAGACATTTTGATGGTTTCACAAGATTCGGGCCGTCACAATGCAGGGAGCTGACAATACGAGATTTTCTTTTGAATTAATCTCTGCCTATGGATGGGTTTCTTTTGAGATAAGATACACGGCAATGAAACCTGAGCACAGTCCTAGCCCTTTCCATCCCGCAAACGGCCAAAAAGATGGTATCATTCCCTTACATTCCAGCTAACTCCTTTACTCGAAGGGATTGGTGCGGGTGCCCCACCAGGTCAGGAACAAGGCGAGGCCGACAGTCTCGAAGACCTTTGCGACGGCATTGACGCCAACAACCTCGAGGGGTCGCTTCTCAGTGAAGACTTGGCTGAGGTACTATAAATAGAGTAAGTATTGTGCTGGGGACATGGTTGGAATGATCTCAACTTACGGCAGGAGCAGAGGTAGCAGCGAAGATGAGACCGCCGAGGTAGGCAGCTCCCTTGTAGCTCAGGGTGCCAGTGGCATTGATCAGAGCTCCAACGCCATAGCTCTGGAGAGCGGATCCGACAAGAGTAGTGCCCCAGGCGACAGCGGCAGAGGTGGCCTCCTTGGAGCGAGCGAACTCCTCGGTGGTGTTTGAGGACTTGGCTCGCTGGTAAGTAGCGCCGAAGAGGGGGGTGAGAACTGATAGAGCTGTTAGTAGCTGGAACCGAATTACATTGGAATGGTGTCATGTTTACTCACCAGCAAGCTCAGCAGACTGGTTGAAGATGGTGCCGAGGGCAATAGCCGAGGGCTTGACGGGAGGAAGATCTGAGATGAGGAAGTCAGTATAATAATCTCAGGATGAATGTGAATCAGCTCCGTTCTCAAGCTTCGTGACAGAATCCAGCTCTGTTGCCCGTTCCTGTCGCCTAGGCAATTTTTCTTTTTTTTAAAAAAAAAGCTGGCTGGCGAACAAGGGCCGCGACCTGAAAATGAGGTCATGATGGGGAGGCGCAAACTCACAGTGCAGAGACATGGTAATGATGGGAGTGCTTGTTTGTGATGATGAGAGAGCTTCTTAAAGATTGGTGAAGACGAGGGACGTTGATTTTCAATTGATCACAGATGCGATTCGTTGGTAATAAAAGAGAAGAAGGTTTGAGGAGAAGCGGGATGGCAGGCTTTTATGTCACGCACGTTGGGGTTCAGTTCATGCTAGCACGGAATGTCTCGAGTGTTACGTGCTTGCATCGTAAGGTGCAATGGCAGTGGAAAGCTACCTGCTCGTACCTACGTAAGGGACCCATGAGGCAATGGGCTAAGCCACTTCAGGCCCAGTTACGCACATAATGGGTGCTGTGGCTTCTCTGGACCAGCCGAGCCAGCAGGACAGCAGGGCAGAAAGGGCAGATGGCTGGAGGGGGCGAGCAGTAGACGAGACGAGCTTTCCCCAGAAACCAACCTTTCGTCACTTGCATGACATCATGGACTATTCTGCTCTAACGTGCGGGAAGGAGCAGGGGATATTCTGCTGGGGCAGGTGCAGGTGTGGGTACGTACCCAAATGCAGCTGTTAAAGTAAGCGTTAGCGGCCCTTGGCGGCGGGGATCAAGCTGCCTGGCAGCTGGCTGCCAGGCTACATCGGAGCAGCTTCTCCAGAGATCGATCGTCCCAACAGCCCCCACTGACAGCGGAATTCGACGGCTCTCCCATGATGAAATCTGGCCCTGAACAAATCATGGATCATGCCCTGGACCGACGAAAGCAGTGGCCCATCACGCTTTGCTGCTACTGAATACTAGGCTGAGACAGCGATCGTTAAGCTGACTCTAATGGCACGTGGTGAGGACGTCTTGGTGACTGAAAAAATGCAATAAGATGCCCCCTGGCGGTCTCTACCCGTCGAATCCCTATCCTAGTCTACATACGTACAGTAATGCCGTACACTCGAACTCCTGGAGTCTTGGATGCTCGCTCGAACACCACACGAAGCCGGTCCCCTGGCTCGCCTCAACGCCCTGAATCCATTACTGCTAAAGGTGTTGAATCTGCTTTTGTACTCTATCACCCAATTCAAGCCATGTGCTGGCCGTCCTCGCCGCCCCGTAAGGCGAGAAGAGCTCGAACATCAGACACGTATTGTAGACCTTCCAATAGAGGAATCAGGTGCATCAGATCATTGTCTGTAGGATCATTGATCCAACCCTGTATCGGAATCGCATTGTCTAATTGTCCATGTTAGCACCGGGAATAGAGATTTATTTCTGCAGCAATAGGTGCTTACCTTGGTGGAACATGTAGCTGAGCGGGCTGTTATCCAGGATCATGACTTTGCTCAAGTCTGGCTCGATAGAGCTTAGGTCCTTGATGAAGGCTCCATGGCGGAAAGTACAATGCTGTCGGTAGTATCTCCCTGAGAAGTATTTCCTTTCCGATTCCAGAAAGTCTATGACCGGGTCGGCATACTCCTGCACCGAAGCTGTGAAGACAACAAGATTGTACCATTTGGACACCTTTCAAAAAAGTCAGTCTTTGCTTTTACACTAGTCGCAGGTTTCCATTGTCTAAGCACTCACCCTGCGCAAGAAGTCATCGCAGTGTGGCCTCTTGTGTACATAGTACAGAATGGGATGTTGCGGTCCAATCGACGCCTGTCCTCCAACAGCAACATAAGTCGTGCTAAGCCGCACTTCTACCATGTGTCCAGTACTCATCCTTCCACCTTTAGACATGCTGTGAATCAGGGTTTCGTCCAGATCCAGGATCAGGGTTTTTTGGGGTGTTTCTGGGTTCAGTTCGAGATTGATATATGAAGGTTGCCGGCGAGGGATGAGTGGCCTCGGCGGAGCCGGTGTCTTGGGATATTTTGTCAAAGCTCCCACCGGGGACGTAGGAGATTTCAGTTGTGCTGATATGTCACCAGTTGCGGCGCCTTCGCCACCTCCAGACCGAGCACTGGCAGACTGTGCCTTTCTATGTTTCCGCTGCCGTAGTCCTTCATCATTATGTAGTTTTATTCTGATAGATCGTCGCGCAGGAGCAATTTCTTCCGAGTCTTGTAGAGACTTCGTCCGTGAGTGTCGCTGGCCTGAACTCCGGCCAATACCCTTCCCTTTGTCGCCGATGTCCGACTCGGACTCAGAGGACAGTCCGGATGAGGAGGAACCCGATGATATAAATGGACGTGTGGATAGGGTATGGTTGCCAGAACTATGGAATCCAGTGGTAGAAGAGTTGACGTTCTTCTCATTGAGGGCGGCATTTTCCTGGTAGTCTTCAGCCATCTTCCGCGTGTTCCCGTGATACACGCCAAAGAGCTTCTTCAGCTGTAGAAACGGGGCGAAATGCCCATTATCGTCATACAGGCAGGCTATCAAATATACACCAGGGGCGGCTAAGGTGGACAGTACCCAACGGATAGAGTTGATGAAGGCGTTGGCTATGCGCTTAGGGATAAGTTGCCAGGTTGGCGACCGGGCACCCATTTCCTTCGATTCGCCACTGGGGAGTAAAGGCGTTCTCTCGTCAAGAGTCCTCCCGTGTACGTTGCCGTCCTGACTATCACCGTGGTAGTCGTCCGGCTCGGCCGAGTAAGCGTTCTTCTCGCCGGCGGCAAAGGCGGATGCGCGCTCGTGTTCGCGTTCCTCCTCGGACGTGACTGTGAAGCTCATCGACCCTATTGAATTTGATCGCGATGGCGCAGGGCTAGATGTGGGAGAGACTCGGGAGGATATGATGTTGAGGGAGTTCATCGTTTCGTCGGCGTCGAGAGAGCCATGAAGAATCGTCGCGCCAGCACAGAGAATCCCTAATTACGTGTTGTTATGCGGTTTCGATGATTCGCCAGCCCGACTGGATTATGCCAACAAGACCATCAGGCATAGGCAATCTGATATCGCAGTCGTCCAAGGGGCCGGTCTAAGCGCACCGGAAGGCGGCGATTGTGGATGATGATGGTGGTGTCTTCGGGAAAGCGAGCGACAGTCGGTAGTTCGTTGGGAGGTTGACGTAACTAATGGGTAAAATGCAACGGCGCCCGTCTTCCCTCGGCTGGCAAATTGGCACTGCAGACAGAAGCCGGGAAGGGAAATGCGCGGGGTTTTGATATCAGCAATCGGCCGCAGACAATGGAGGTGATCAATGAGGAGTCTGCAGCATCCTTCGTCTATGAAGGGCGGGAGATAGGTGCATGTATGGACGGTGCAGTCTGTATGGACGAGCAACAGATCAGAGAGAGTTGAGTGGCCTGAGAATTTGTTGGAGCTCATCCGACAGCCCTGGAGGACTCGATCCCCCAACTCTCGCCCGAATAGGCCTCGGAGCAGTGCCACACTAATCAGCCGCTAGTACTGACACTAACACGCAGGCAATGGGCAATGCTGCAATGCCCTGCAGCATTTTATTGCTGATGCTTCTGCTTCGAGACAAGGGCGCTCTCAAAGGGGAAATCTGCTGCTGTCATAGCGGCTTCGTTGCTTCACGTGCTGGTTCCGACTGACTGAGAATCGAGCGGGGGTTATTTCAAGGTTCCTTGTCCAAGCCAGCCAAAACATTTCATTCAGAACTGAAGTTGTCATTATCGAAATCTCTCAGAATGAAACCATTGAGAATATTGTAAATGTCTCCGAGTTATTACTGTTCGTATATCTTTCGCCCAGATAGGAGCGGTATAACTGTTCAATTATGACAGTCGTTCGGCTTTGAGCAAGTACCTAGCTAGGTACCACGGAGTTTCTCTCTCTTTACGGCAGGATGGTCACCATAGGATAATTCAACCTATTTTCTATCGACCACCTCATATCTCTTTAAACTATGAAATCTAGTTACCATACCCACATATTATTATTACCATTTCACTCTACAACTGGCAGAGGGGGCCTTGATAAACCAGTTTCTTTGGTGGTTGGTGCTCTCAAGTGATGGGCCTTGTTCCCATGGCCAGCTGTTGGTGATTGGCTATAACCCCCGCGATGCATCTTACCTACCTCTGGGCTGGCTATGCTCAGCCTCTTCGGAAGAGTCCTGCTTCCATAACTTTCCCTCAGGCTGATCATATTTCAATGATCAACTGTTTCATTTTGGTCTTCGTCTTTGAGTAAATCGGCAGCATTTCGCGGACACAGCTGAACTGAAGGATGAGGCTACTCAAAACAAAATCACTACGCTTCATAACTTTCCCTGACAGCGAAATACCGCCATATGCCATCCTCTCGCATACATGGGGTAATGAGGAGGTCACTTTCCAAGACATCGAACTACAGAGAGACTACAAACAGAAGACTGGCTGGTCGAAAATAGTAGGCTTCGCGAGGAAAGCACGCAATGATCGCTACAAGTATATATGGGTGGACACTTGTTGTATCGACAAGTCTAGCAGTGCTGAGCTAAGCGAGGCTATCAACTCCATGTATCGTTGGTATAGGGGCGCAGCACATTGCTATGTCTATCTTGACGATGTTCAAGATGTAAACATGGCACACGAAGATAAGGCATTAGAGAAACTACAACGGTGTCGGTGGTTTACCCGCGGCTGGACACTTCAGGAACTCCTCGCTCCCTCGAAAGTGATCTTCTGCGATTCAAACTGGAATATATTTGGATGGATTGACGGCTTTGAGAGCACAAATCTTGTTGATCATCTTGCACATATAACGGGGATACCGGCGGATTGCATCAAAGACATCAATATTGCGATGAGACAAAGCGTTTCCTTCAAGATGAGCTGGGCTGCAAAGCGACAAACAAGTCGAATCGAAGATGAAGCATACTGCCTCCTCGGGCTATTTGGAGTCAATATGCCTTTGTTATACGGCGAGGGCCGGCGTGCATTTCGCCGTCTCCAAGAAGAAATTCTTAAAGAATCGGAAGATCACACTTTATTGACTTGGCGCTATCATCATCTTGGCCCTCAACGTAGGGATTGGGAAGACCTGGCAAGCCAACCGGCAGATTTCGCGGACTACGCGGCTTGTACTCCTCAGGTCTGGCAACGCATGCAACAGGTAGCCCGTACAAATCAGCTTTTTGCTCCGTGGTCGATGACAAGTCGGGGCCTGCGTGTAGAGCTTCCTTGTATACCACTCCCCCAGTTCCGGGATATTGCATACTTTGTTCTGTTTGTGTGTTGTTCTGAGTCACACCGAATGGCAGTGCTCCCTCTACGCAAGGAAGACAATATGTACTTCAGGACATGGTGTCCTACACTCCTGGAAGTTCCAACAGCCTATCTAAGGGCAGTTTCCCTGAAGAAGATGGCGGTTTTTATCTCTAGAACCGGACCTTTTCGCTTCATTAAACCTCAAAATGTTACTTTGCTGTACTGGCAAGTGTTGAAGGACGAAGGATATGAACTTCATGAAAGACATCCTTTGAAGAAATTCAACTGGAATCTATATTCTGCGAACATAATCAACTTTGAAACGCCAGCAGCAGGTTTCTGGACTTTCGCGAAACCCGGCTCGAGCACCATCATTCTCGTCTGTGTAGTGGAAGATAATAAAAGTATCTGGAGATTATTCGAGGCCCCTAGACCAGATTATGGGCTCTTTGACTTGCTCATGAGTTTAGGTGGAAAGACAACAATATCTGTCGAGGACTTGCAAAATACCGGCCGGGAATCTTTCGCCATTGACGAATATAAAACATTGAAGATCGTTCCCACCAAATTGGGCAGTGGTCGTGATATGCAACTTAGATTGCAGGACAAGCAAGATAAATCGCCAACACACTGATCCTGATATTTTTAGCATCACGAGTAAGCCAGCATTGACATTTCGGAAAACGGAAATCACATTTTCATTCATCAGGTTTGATCGGTGACATCTTCTAATCAAGAGTTGTCACCAGAAGCTGAATACGAGATTGCCACAAGCCGCAATTCCGCCCCCTGACACGAGCAGGTGCACAATTGTGGCTATGTGGGCGAGGCGCTTACTGACCATGCCCCTTTCAAAAGCGTCTCACTGCCCGTGAAATAACCAGACACTTGAAACACTTTCAACGACATCGCGAAAACAAAATTTCGTCAATCAGGAACTCTTGCCAAGATGGCGCTCTCGTCCCGTTCGCGAAACGTCGTGAGACGTTGCTTGCTGGCAATTACATACCTTTGCACGGCCTTCGCCATCGTCTCCGTCGTCTTCACATTAGCGGCGGGCACGATGCAGGTAGATGGGGAGTATGCGACAGGTGGCCCAGGTGGTCTTCTTCTATCTGCCATTTCGGTCGTTCGAGTAAGTCTCCTCACAACGACTGACCGCATGCACACAACTAACAAGGATCACAGTTCAAAGGCATCATCCCAGCAGACAAGTCCACACCCGGCAACTACCTCGTCACGCTACACTGGTTCCTCAACGCCTTCGGGTGGGAATATCCCACCGCCTCATGGGACCAGTCAAGCGGCATCATTTACAACATGAACGGCCTGACCCCCGGCGGCGCCATCACCCTGCCGCGCGACCTCGTGGCCGTCGCGCAGCGCCTCAAGCTGCCGGCCACCGACTACGCCTGCCTCCCGACCGACCGCCAGACGATGACGGGCTGGTGCGACAACGCCTTCTTCGCCGCGTGGGCCGCCTCCCCGTTGCAGCGGGTCGCGCCGATGACGAGCGCCAGGTTCGGCACCGAGCTGCCGCTGTGGGCGTACTACTTTGCCGTGTCGGCGCTGCTGGCCGTGCTCGTGCAGGAGGCCATGTTCCGGTGGTGGCCGGACGCGCTGCGGTGCCGGTGTCCGCGGTTCATGGGGGGCTGGTGTCCGTGCTTGAAGGAGGGCGAGGAGGTCTCGGCCGCGGTGTGTGATCGGATACGGCTGTGGATGTACGGGATCGTGGCTTTTGTGTATTCTGCTGCGCCGGTGTCCTTGGGCTTGCGGGGGCTGGCTATTCTGCAACATCTGGATCATGTGGGTGTTCCCGACATGCATGCTCATATAGGATCTGGCTTCCTGGTGTTGAGTGCGGCTACATTTGGTGCAATTGTGCTTGCAGGGGCTTGTGTTGGGGTTATGATGTGTGTTGGATATAACAGGTCTTGGATGGACGAGTAGATAATCATCACTGTCTCCAGACCCGACTCGGATGATAAGGCAAAGTAGACACCATAGGTTTGGAAAACACCACTTGACAATGATGATTGAAATTCGCGAATAGAGTAACTCTATTTTGTGGATTTTGTCTAACGGCTTAGCCGTCTTGTTCTATTTGCAATGCAAAGCAAGACTTTTCTAGCCAGACATCGACACCTAGGGTTAGTAGGTGCCATGCAGCTGATATCTACTTACGTGTATTTTTTTTTTTTTTACGTGTCCCAGGGCTGCTTCGCGTCCCTCCAGATGGTGTCCTCTCGGTTGGGGCCGATGCCGATCACGCTGACGGGAACACCAGTGAAGTCTTCGATGAACTTGACGTAATCCTGGGCGGCCTTAGGCAAGTCGTCGAAGTTCTTGGTTCCGGTAGTTGAGGTCTTCCAGCCTGGCAGTTGCTTGTAGACCACCTCGACCTTCTCAAGCTCGTCCGCACTCGCCGGGAAATCATCCAGAATCTCACCGGAGGCAGGATCCTTATAAGCCACAGCAACCTCGATTGTCTCGAAATCATCGAACTACTATGATAAAGTGCCGGTCCGCAGTAGCTAGGTGTAGTGTGATTGTTAGTGGCCAGCATTGAACAAGGCACGTCGCCTAGCACTCAGACTACTGTGTAATAACACCTCCCTAAGTGGAGGCTCCCCCCCCCCAGAATTGTACCCTTCAACCACCCGAAGTCGCCCTGGACCGAATCCATCCACCTCCAGGGCTCCAGGGCTGGCATGGAGGGGTAGCGACTGCGATAACGATAACGTTAAGCATCTCTGGCACGCCTCAGGCCTGACCGCCCTGTAAATACAGCGACATGACTGTGTCGACCTACCGGTAGTTTACCTTAGGCCGTGCATGTTCATGCCTTAAGGATGTGTGTGTTTGTAGAATAGTCCCATACATGCCCGTGCAGAATGCAGAATGCCCTAGGCGATGCAGGCCATCCTGGTCAGTTGATCGGATTCTCAGCAGGGAGGCAAGAAGACCCTTCCTTACTGCGTACGTTATGTTGTCCGGCTGTCACGCGAGAGGGTTGGCACCTGGGCAGTGTGCACAATGACCGAATGCCTGCCCGCATGCGGGCAGCTCACCTTGGTAGGCTGGAACAGTGGAGCTCAGCAACCCCCCCCTCTCTCCTCCTATCGATAACACCAACTCTTACCGATGCCGCCATAGCCACCCAGTAACATACCGGTAGCACTGAGTTACAGTGCCACTGCATCCGCCTACCGAAGCTCTGCTTCAGGTCACAAGCACCCTTGACTTGGTCTTCCTCCCCGTGGCCCAGGGCCGGCCTCCATCCACGTCAACTACCTACCAATACACACGAACACCCAATAACCTCTCTCTCCTCAGTCCCATCTCCTGCATTCGCCCTTCCTCCTTCTAGGTGCGGTTCACCATTGGTTCTGGGCTGCGTGCAGCCACTGATAGAGCCGCGATATACGCTTTCTTGATAGCTACCTTACTTACCTTACCTTACCTTAACTTTACCCTCAACTGGGCTTATCCACCTGCGATCCAAGAGGCAACCCGTGCCCTGCCCTGCCGTGCCATCTCCGTCCTCATCGGCTGTTTCTCTAACCATGAGCTTCCCCGCATACCTCTCCGGCTTGCACCATTACACGACGGCGCGCGTTTCGACAACCTCCGATCGCCGCTGAACCGAGCGTGCGAACATCGTCGGTTGCCTGCCCCCTCGCGGGGTTGCCCGACCGAGAGTGAAGTGCCTTACTCGAGCCGAACACTACAAGGTTACCCACCATGGCGATGTTCTTCAAGTCATTCCGGAACTCGGCCATGGTCAGGCGGCTGGTGCTGTATGGCCTATCCAAGTTGGATCTGTTCGAGGAGCATGCTCTCGACCTCGAGAACTTCGAACTTGCTTGGGGTCGGAACACTGTCATCGAGTTCAAGGATGTTGGGATGAAGGTCCAGGTATGTGTCAAGTCACCGTCTTGGGTATTGCAAGGACGTAGTTGGCTAACATGGTGCCCGCAGAAACTCGCGAAAGTCTTGAACCTTCCAGCCTCCTTTACCATCGAGAAAGCCAAAGTGCTTATACTTCGAGTGACAATACCTGTGGACTTCTACACCAGCGCCATCACAGCAGAAGTGGATGGCGTTGAGGTCAGACTTAAAGTCTCATCCCAAGAAGGGCCCAAGTCCGAGGCAAAGAAGGGGAAACAGCATTCGTCTGAGGATACCGAAATCATACCGAATGCCGGCGATCTCGCCCAGTCTTTCCTACAGACACAACCGTCAAGGGACAGGAAGGAGCTCGAGGATGCCCTTGCAGCAGAGACGCAAGACCTGGGTGCATCGATTGCTATGAGCGAAGATGGGAGCGATGACGGCCTGGCGTATGGAACAGGCCAGGAGCTGTCGCTCCCTGCATTCCTCACCGACTTCCTATATGGCATCGCGGATCGCTTTCAACTCAGGATAAGGGACGTCACTTTTCAGTTGGATATCGAGGTGCCGGTAGAACCCAATAGCACAAACGGCGACCTCGTTACTTTCCAGCTAGCTGTCGAGAGTATTGATGTCGAGGGCGTTACTTTGCAGGAGCAAGCCGAGGACGGCACACCTAGAATCATTCCCAAGGAGGGCAAGCGGAATGTCTCCCTCAACAAGATTCGGGCCTTTTTAATTTCTGAGGCCAATGTGTTCACATCCTTGGCTAGGTCGCCCTCTGTACCATCATCCTCTACTTCTCACTCCCCTGTCTTATCTGAGAGGCAACCGCCATCAAGAGAACCTTCTTTCATGGCGCAGAGCATGTATGGTGGATCCATGGCAGACTCGGACGATCTATCCCAGAGCTCATACCCACTGCAAGATAGCGAGGACGCTTTCAATATTCCGTACGAAATGGATGAAACCAACCTGGAGAACGAAGATGAGCAACCCCTATCTTCGTTCTCTACCCCCAGAGCATCTGTATATCAAGATTTCGCGGGCCATTACGAGGGACCACATGCACAGTCTGCCGTGATCGGAGACGAGGAGCCCCTATGGCAGTCGATGGAACGAGAAGCTCAATCCGAACCGGCATTACCGTACCGCGACCGTGAACCGCAGGACTCACCTTTACGGCCTGATCAACTTCAAAGCTCTCGCTCGTCAACGTCCTCCAGTGGTGGGTCGGGGCCAGCTCCTGCCGAAGACCTAACTCTGTCGCACGTCTATAGTCACGAAGAGGCTGAGAGTATGTATATGAGCGCGTTTTCACATGCGGCATCGGATCAAAGCCGCACTGGCAGTATGCCCGGGAGCTGGGATCCTAGTCCGGATGCTTCTCCGAAGGCAAAACGTGCAGCCACATCACCGATGTTAGCACAAGCAGATCCTCATATTGATCTCCCGGAACTAAGTCAAGATCGACTTCCCGAGTCTCCCTCAGATATCAACGCCACAGCTACCGAAGAAGAACATCCGGAGGAGAATATCGAACCCATCTCTCCCGAAAAGAGCGAGCCGATGGTCGAGTCCACTGAGCCTGCCGCTGCAGCGCCTCAAGATGAAGTACCTACGCCAAAGGGGCCAACGCGACTGGTCAAAGAGGTGTTTTCACTCAAGTCTATATCTATTTATATCCCATCTCTTCATAAGCATCTTCAGGTTTTCCAACCTGATACTGGGGTCTCTGGTACTTCTGATGCCTCTGTGCTCGGGAAGTCTATTGGGCCTAATGTTCCTGGGGCGTTCTCTGTATATGCTCCTTCCTCGACGAGTCCCGGTCAGAAACCCAGTATTCCTATGATAAAAGATGAACATCTTGACAAGTCTATCGAAGTCTCCCTCGAACCGTTGGAGATTCGATTCGAAGCATCGATTGGGTTTCTTTTAAGCATTGTTGTCTCAAAACTTTTAGAGAGCCTGAAACCCCAGAGCACTACTGGCGAAAAGGAGAAGGAGACCGCGACTTCCAATATATCCACCTCGACCATGCCCGAACTCAAAGTCTCGGCTAAGCAAATCTCAATCTTATTCTTGGAAAAATTGGCTGGTGTCGCCGATACGCCTGAGCGAATATTTAGTTCCGGAAATATCAATTTTGGGCCCGACGTTCTCCTGAGAACAGTAATTGACAATCTAAGTGCATCAGTAACTCAGTCAGGAGGTGTGAAAGACACATCTGTGGACATCGAGAAGTTTCGGTTTGGGTATGCTGATAGCGACATCCTGTCTTTCGATCGCCGTATCCAGATGCGCGCTTCTGTCAGAGACGCTTTCCCTACTGCCGGTGCGGATCTGTCATTCAAAGTATCGCAGTCCGAAGCAACGACCAGGTGCAACGTGACCACTTTGCCACTACGCGTACATGTGGACTTGCAACGACTCGACGAGACCTTTAGCTGGTTTGGCGGCTTAAGCAGTTTCCTACAAATGGGCTCCTCTATAACCTCCAATGCACCACAAAAACCCAAGTCACCTGTACAACCTGCAAAACCGCGAGGTGTGCGTTTCGATGCACCAATAAATCCGGAAGACCGTTCAGCTACATCAGAAAACAAAATTGATTTAAGAGTCGGTGGCTTCCAGCTCGAACTAGCTGGGAGGGACTGTGGCGTGTCTTTGCACACCAGCGCCGTCAAGTTAGTCAGTCGAGAAGAAGGCGTTGGGATAGGTATCAGTAAGATCAATCTATCTGGCCCGTACCGCAGAAATTACCGAGGAGATGCACCAATCAACGTCGAAGTCACAGACACCCGTCTCGAGTACCTCATGACACCCAAAGACAAGGATCTTGACAGACTTCTAGCTCTCATCACTCCATCGAAAGGAAAGTTTGATGAAAATGACGATGAGATCATGGTCGACACCCTTCTACGGCAAAGGAGAAAAGGGGCCGTATTGCGAATCAAATTCGACAATGTAAGCGGACGACTCATCAAACTCCAACAGCTCGATTGTCTGCCAGGGCTCGCAGAAGAGGTTGCGCGCCTTGGAACTGTTGCGAAGTATCTCCCGGAGGATGACCGACCCGGCCTTCTTACTCTCGGGCTTGTTCGGACATTCAATCTATCCGTGGATATTGGCGGTAGATTTGGAGTGGTTAATGCGTTTTCAAGTGAATTTGAGCTTGCGCAGATTACGGTTCCTTCGCTGATTGCATTTGGAGTACAATCAATTTCAGTCAACCGCAATAAGATTGAAGAGTTGGTTAGTACGTCGAATTATTCCAGCACGGGGCTTTTAAATCAGACTCCTGTACTCATGGTACGGATGATTGGAGACGAAATCGAGCCTGTCATCAAGGTGAAAATGAGCAACTTGAACGTCGAATACCGAGTACCTACAGTCATGGACATATTAGGACTCGCTGAAGATGCTACACCTCAGGACTTCGAGGCTAGTCTGGCAGCCTCGGTCGCGAATTTGGGCGAACAGGCACATACTGCTTTGACAGGGAAGCAATCTCAAGTGACTAAAGAGCTATCGAAAGCCAAGACCTCTTCAGGTAAACCTACGAGCGTTGATTTAGGCTTCCGAGATTGCCTCATTGGACTTAATCCCCTCGGCCAGACATCCAAGCTTCTGCTGGTTCTAACAGATGCCCGGCTGGATGTCACACTGCCAAAGGATGAGAATGTCAACGCTGTGGGTCATCTCAAAAAGGCTTCAATTCTGTTGATCGATGACGTATCCCTTGCCGAGTCGAAACAAGAATCAGATCTGCCAAGGCATAGAACTTCTGATGCTCAGAGACCAGCAGATCTGATCTCTAGTCTTACTTCTAAGGGCTACGTCAATATCTGCCAGATATCTTCCGCAAGGGCCGTGGTGCAAGTTGTCAGCAATGATCACGGTGACAAGCATATTGACGTGGAACTCCGTGATGATCTCTTGGTGCTGGAGACTTGCGCCGATTCAACTCAAACACTGATATCATTAGCCAATGCTCTAAAGCCGCCTACTCCCCCTAGTAAGGAAGTCAAGTATAAGACCGAGGTCATGCCTGTCCAAGATCTACTCGCCTCGATAACCGCTGATGCATTTGGGAAAGCTGAAGGCGACTATGATTTCGATAATGACTTCGCTATTGCGCAAGAGTTAGGCGGTGACGAAGACTCCTTCGAGATTGAGGACGACAGTCCAGCGAACCTGTCTGTTGACTCACAGTTCTACCAAGAGGAGCCTGCAGTGGCGGAGAATCTGTTCGACGCCACTTCCTCGTCCATAATATCTCAGCAGACTACCACGCAAGACACCAATGACGGTGTCTTGTTGACAAATTTCAATAGTAGTGCTGGAATAGAAGATGATGGATCCGACCTAGATATCCAGGAGAACTACTTCGGAACCGGCTCGGTGCTTGAGGGAACAGCTCATCGATGGAACTCGGCCAAGAATGCGTATGACAGCTCCAACGATAAAAAGATACGCAAGAGCCCGTTGAAAGTCTGCGTTCGTGATATGCACATCATCTGGCATCTTTTCGATGGTTATGATTGGCAGCAAACCAGAGATGTCATTACGAAGACTGTCCAAGAAGTTGAGATTAAGGCACATGAGAGACGTGTCCGTGGTGATAGAAGGCAATCCTTCGAGCAAGAATTCGAGGAAGAGGAGACAGTCATTGGGGACTTCCTTTTCAATTCGATTTACATCGGCATCCCAGCCAATCATGATCCAAGGGAGCTCACTCAGGCCATCAACCAGCAGCTAGATAGGCGGTCGGATACCGAATCCATTGCCACAACAGCTGTCACGGCTACGCCAAGCCGTGCTGGAGGCGGTTTCCGATCAAGGGCAAAGAAATTGAGACTCAATAGAAGTCGACAACACAAGATCACTTTCGAGCTCCAAGGTGTCAATGTTGATCTTGTTACTTTCCCTCCGGAATCTGGGGAGACAGAGGCATCTATTGATGTCCGTGTTCGGAATTTCGAAATCTTGGACAATGTGCCAACCTCGACCTGGAGGAAATTCGCGACGTACGATCAAGATGCCGGCGAGAGAGAAATGGGCACTAGCATGCTACATTTAGAGATCCTAAACACACGACCAGTGCGAGAACTTGCAGCTTCTGATATCGTGCTAAGAGTCACTGTCCTGCCTCTACGCTTGCATGTTGATCAAGACGCACTTGATTTCATTACGCGATTTTTCGAGTTCAAGGATGACAGCACTCCGGCGCATACCTCCCCAAGCGACGTGCCGTTTATTCAAAGAGCGGAAGTCAACTCAATTCCTGTTCAACTTGACTTCAAGCCCAAGCGGGTAGATTACGCGGGTCTCCGTTCAGGCCATACAACGGAGTTCATGAATTTCTTGATTTTGGACGGCTCACGGATGGTACTCCGTCACACCATCATCTATGGCGTTTCCGGCTTCGACAGGCTGGGGAAGACACTCAATGACATCTGGATGCCCGATGTGAAACGCACGCAACTTCCAGGAGTTCTTGCTGGCCTGGCACCTGTCCGGTCTCTTGTCAATGTTGGCAGTGGCTTCCGAGACCTTGTCGAAATCCCTATCCGGGAGTACAAGCGCGATGGTCGCATCGTCCGTAGTATTGGACGGGGTGCCGCCGCTTTTGCTAAGACCACCGGCACGGAAATTGTCAAGCTTGGAGCTAAAGTTGCTGTGGGAACGCAATACGTGCTGCAAGGTGCCGAAGGCTTGCTTGTCAAGAATCCACAGGGCGAGCCGACCTCTATCACTTCAGGCTGGGAGGAGGAGGACATGGAGCCTGAGGAGAGAAAGCAGATCAGTCTCTATGCAGACCAGCCAACGGGCGTGGTGCAGGGACTGCGTCATGCGTACTCGAGTCTAGCTAGAGATCTGAACGTGGCGAGAGATGCTATCATTGCGGTGCCCGCAGAAGTCATGGAGAGCCAGAGTGCTCAGGGGGCAGCAAAGGCGGTGCTGAAGAGAGCGCCGACGATCATCTTCCGACCTGCAATTGGAGCTACAAAGGCTATCGGGCAGACCCTTATGGGTGCGACGAACGCACTGGATCCGCAGAATATTCGACGAATGGAAGACGTAAGTGCTTACTACAATCTCCTATGTTTGATGAGTCAAGGCTAATCGCTTTACAGAAATACAAGTCAGGTCCAGGACGATGAGTCTTGGAAGGAACCGACTCATACTAGAGTTATTTTGAAGAGGAGTTAGACTCAATGAACAAAGAAGGCCAAACCCCTGAAACACATAGGTTGCTGAACCGAATGAGTAAGAGTTCCACGGTCTCAGGCGCAATCATTATTACCCAGTACAGCATATACTACTAGCGCTCCGGACAGGAGGCAGATTTTTTTTTAACGAAGCATTTCATTTGTTGACCTGGCCATGACTGATTCCCCTGAAAGGCTGCATCTATAGGCGTCTATGGGGCACAGCGATAGACATGGCATCGAGATTGTCACATCATTTTTTGGGATGGAGGAATTTCCAAGGAGTTTGAATATAGCAGCATGCATCGCATACCTCCCACACAGATGGCAGAATGAAATTGAATGGATACATATGTTTAGACTCCTTGCCGTGATTCATTCCGTCCTTGTGTTATGCCCTGATAAATCTGTACGTCTGATATTATTCGGTTTGAATAATAGGACAGATAAGTGGGAAATAGCTTTGATAAAATCTCACATCTCTATGTCTTATAAGAGATTGCTGTCGGCAGACTTGGTCATGATTTATCGAATGTGAATCATGACACTATTCCCAAGATGCTATTCACACTGAACTACATCTTGGAACGACGTGTAGCCCGATAGCCACAGGCTAATTCAGCCGCCATTGGTTATCTATAGGCTGCATGATTTAGCGCGCACGCCATGCGGCACATTGGCGCTGCCAATCCCTCGGGTGCTCATCCATTCGGCGATGATTGCTCGAGTCGTGGAACAGCGGCGATCGCGGAAGCTAGATTGCCTAGTTCCAGACCCTGCAACTAGCCGGACCCAGGGGCTGGTTTGCAACGTCTTTCGGCTACGCTGCGCTCTTTTCGTATATTAAGCCTCCAGTGGATCATGGGATCATAGATGTCGTAGTACGATTCTGCTGATCCAGCTACAGCTTCCCTCAAACCACCGCTGCGCAATTCATAGTCCCAAGCTTCTTTGTCACCGGCAGTGAAAACTATTACAAGCTTCTACCGCCATGGCAGATGGTAAGCGGGCCGTGGACTCCAGCAAAGGCAAGTCATATATGGCACGACGTGAAGTGAACTCGATGACTAACAACGGCATGTAGTCTGGACCACGCTCATCACCAACACAGCGTATCTGTCCGGCCTTCTGACGCTGGACTACTCGCTTAAAAAGGTCAAATCCGCCTATCCCCTTGTGGCGCTGTACACGGACACCTTCCCGGCAGAAGGTCTCGCGGCGCTCGCATCCCGGGGCATACCCGCGCAGCACATCCGGTATTTGCTGCCGACCAAGTCGCACAAGGACTACAGCAGCGATCCGCGCTTCTATGACTGCTGGAGCAAGCTGACGCCCTTCAGCCTGACCCAGTATGACCGCGTGGTGCAGCTGGACTCAGACATGCTGGCCCTGCGCAACATGGACGAGCTGATGGAGCTGGAGCTCGACGCCCCGGCCGCCGCGGCGCAGGGAGGCCCCGACAGCAAGCGCGTCTTCGCCGCCGGCCACGCCTGCGTCTGCAACCCGCTCAAGAAGCCGCACTACCCCAAGGACTGGATCCCGGCGCACTGCGCCTTCACGCACCAGCACCCGGACCCGGACCGCGCGCAGACCGAGGGCGCCGACCCGGCCGTCGGCCCGCTGGGCTTTATGAACGGCGGCCTGCAGGTCGTCAACCCCAGCGCCGAGGTCTTCCAGCAGATTGTCGACTACATGGACGGCAACGCGGCGAGCATGGACTTTGCCGACCAGAGCCTGCTGTCGACGCTGTTCCGCGGGCGCTGGGTCCCGCTGCCGTACGTGTACAATGCTCTCAAGACACTGCGCTGGGAGAATGTTCATGCGCCCATCTGGAGAGATTCTGAGGTCAAGAATATCCATTACATTCTGACTCCGAATCCGTGGGACGAGCTGGATGCGGAGGGTAACAGCACGAGTAAAGATGAGACGCACCGGTGGTGGGCTGACGTCAACAAGGAGAGGAAGCTGAGTGAGAGGACACAGGGGCTACCTGATGACGGTTTTTGAGAATGACTTTGGGAGATCAAGAGCATAGTTACTGTTTTTTTAAGGAAATTGCAAAACGCAGCACATCGCATCGCATAGGTGGAGTTAATTATGGAAAGGAGTCCAAATGGATGTGAAAAATATGTTGAGACCGATTTCAAGATTAGCACTCGAGAATCATGTAATGATTCCAAATTGACTAGGCCGCCGACATCAACCTTCCCCCACCCCCAAAAAAGCTATGTGAATCTGCAAATAGAGAATCAATTACGAGCTCTTCGTCTAATTCTCAAGCAGACTAACTTAAGAGCAAGAACTTTCTACTATAACAGTTATCGATGATCTCATTAATTATACTCACGCATTCCCATGGACATGGTTTGAAACTTTCCTAAACTCTCTCCCTGTAATTCTCATGCTCTTCACAGGCAAGTTGGTATACTAGCTTCAATTTAAAACGCACCATTTCGTTTATTCCTATTGAATGATTCATACATGACAAAAGGTATTCCCGAAAGAATGATACGTGAATCGTGAAAGTGTGAAGTGAAATGAGTAAAACCAATGCAGAGACATCCACTGTACGCCTTCGACCGCTATTCATATATGCGTGAATATCGTAGCCCATTCTTACAAACCGCAAACGCAAACGCTCAATCAACTATCTCTTGGGAACTAACACTGCTTCCAGAACTACTGGACTCTTCTCCGCCGAAGAAATTCGGATCCACCACACCATTGTGATAGATCTTACAGCTGCTACACGAGAACCACCACTCGAGGAAGCCCTTAAGTGGGACGTCGAGCCAGTCTGGTGCGACATCTACGACATCCGCAGTACTCTCCAAGTCATCCTTCGCTTTATCCTCTCCACCTTCGGCTCCTTCCTCCGCTTCTGTCACTTCTTTGACTTCTTCATCTCCATCTTCCTTTTCCTTCCGTTCTGGCTTCTTCGGTTGGCTCAATGCCTTGTCTTGGTCTGTCATGTCCAATTTCACTTCCGCGACATAAAACCAGGCCCTCTTTTTGACACCGATATTCAGTGTCGCAGCATGTTCGACGCGCAGCGTCTCAGTGGCCCAGTCGAAGCGGAAGATTCCAACACGTTCGTGATGCCCGTCGGCGTACTCCAGGAGCATGCCCACGACTGTCTTCTGAAGGCAATCGGGATCCTCACAAAGGGTGATTTCAAATACGGTGTCAAGGCTGCAAGACGAATAGTAGTATGGCAGGCGGATACCTGTGTCAGTTGGTCGCTGAGTTTGTGCAAGCTGGGAAGTTGGATATGCTAGCGCTCGTGGTATGTTCATCCGTCCAGCAGCCATCTAAGACAGTCAGCGTCAATGTATAACCTTAAGGAATGCAGATACTGCGACATTGTCCATTAATGACTCCTTAGCAAACTCGACATAGTTACCATGTTTATTTTTACCGTAGGGGGGCTATAATTTGAAGCAAAAGGGGAAAGTTGGCGGGAGGTCACTTACAAAGTTGATCTGCTCCAGCCACGGATTTGACTCCACGACATTGAAATACACGCGTGTAGGCCCGGGCGGCAATGTAATAACTCTTCCATAAGTTCTGAGTGCTAATTGCTGATCAGGGGTTTCATGTTTGGCGAAGAGCATGTCTCGTCCGCGACTTGTGGCGAACTAAGATAGATCAACAAGTAGCTCGTGATGGTTAGCTGCCAGGATGAACCTACTGTAAGACCCCCAAGTGAATGAGGAGGCCCAGGAATTCCAAAGCTCCGAGTTCCAATTTCAGTGAGTAGTTCCCCCTTTGCAATAGGCATATACAGCCATACAAGGGTCCCGCTATTCGGCCTATTTTCAAACGCGTTGTAGAATTCGAGATCAGTTTCGCCCTTGAAGTGCGTGTGGATATATAAAACGCCCATTCCCGCAGAGCATACAGAGTATCCAATAATGTTGTCTTCATTGCATCTGAAAAAGGTCATTCGAAGTGCTTGTGGGCCTTGTCGAGCTATCATGCGAGTCCTGAGGTCGATCACAGGGTCTGTGATTCCGGGACTAGGCCAGCTGAGTTTCCAGCGTCTCTGCGGTCCCTCCTCAAGCACATCGGCAATGTCTCGCAGTTTCAGGCCCTGAAATCGGGTGAGTTTAATATGCATCAATCAGTCAGTCAACTTACATCTGTTCTCGTCCTATACCAGCAGAAACCACGTAAGCGCAGCTCCCTCCACCAACCACCGGGACTAGTCACAATTGGCTCTCCAAGTGAATCTCCATTTACGGTGGTGAAGCATATCTGTCTGATTCCGAGATGATCCTCTTCAACATAGATCTTTTGCAGCTTGGTCCAATGTTGCGCAGCATCATAAATCATAACTTCACCTGGCTGGGCCTCATTGCGATCGTGTGGCTTACCATCAATGGGAATCTTATCTTCTTCAGTACCATTGCGCATTTGGAGAATGCGGTGGATGTCCTCGAAGTCAAAATCTGACCGTGTGCAGTTACGGAGTTGTTGTATATACTGGATGCCATCCACTTGGATGTAACGCCCGTACACATCATGCTCAAAATCAAGAAATGCCTCGCGTGCTTGGCCCTGGTCGATAAAAGACTCATACCATTTTCCTTTGAAGAGTTGCTCCTGGGTGTGGATTGTTGCAAACTCCCGCAAGAGGTAAGTCGCAATGCTCTCCCATATTTCATAGGGAAGATCTTTTGGCCAAGACCCTCCTTTCAACTTCATTGTTAGCTGGTGTTGTAGCCAGTCTTTGCGACGTTGTTTCTCGTCACTTGTTGGCTCGTAGCTATACTCCCGAGATGATAACAGGTTAGGCGATAGGCCATAAGGATTGATTTTATGACAGTCTACATGTATAGAAGGCGTCTTGAAGCCATTACGGAAGCAGGTGCTCTTCATACACATGCATACTGGAGCCCTTTTTGTTAGGCCCTTGGTGTCACGATCGCCTAGAAAGTATGAACCAGGTCTGAAAGGCAGACCGTCGGTTGGTTTCCCGGCAGCCATCACTAAAACAAGTACTTAGCCATCACCTTGAGAAAATGTGGAAAGTATCCGACATACCTGGACGTATAAGTTCATTCACTTCTAAATCAAACTGGCAAAGACGACAACGTCTTTCAGCAAGGCATATTGGGAGAGGTGGTGGCGGTCCAGGAATGCCACGCCGTCCTGGGACAGGCCCTGGTGAGTTACTACGGCTGCGACTTCCACTTCGACTCCTACTTCTGCTCCTACTCCGACTCCGGCTTCGACTCCGGTTTCGAGTATCTGAGGCATGACTACCGCCTGATGCTCGGGAGGATGCAGCCGAAGGAGCTCTTGAGGAAGCCCTGGACGGGGTTGCCGATGGCGCTCTTGAGGCTTGCCTGGAGGAAGCTTCCGAGGGATTGCGAGTGGAAACGTGAGATCTGGTAACGGAGGCAGCGGGAGACGAAGCACGAGACGACGCCCGGGACGCCGAGGCCGACATCAGGCGATGCGTGAACTGACTGCTCTTGAATCTATTCAAGACTGCCAAACATCCGTTTACTTGGTAAGTTGGGTAAAGAAATCCAAGGAATAGCTCCTGAGAGCGTGAACAAGCTTATATGCAACGGCTTCTGGACCTTGTAAGCGGCTCCAGCTGGGTGGAGTCAACAGTCGTGTAAGTGACAGCCCTCCGTGAGCTGCACTCGGCGGTCTTGGCTACAACAGCTGTCAGCAGCCAACACCGATGACTCTTGTCAGTGCCTCATGAGGATTTCTGGACACTGGGATGAAAAAGTCAAAGGCGCATTCGCGGGGGAATCATCCTGGATTGGGCTGTAGCCTGCAACGTGCCTCCTCCCCTCCTCACCAAGTAGATGCCGAAATGGGCGCTTATCTTATCGCCACGTGCAGTTGGGGTCCAAAAAATTGAAGCTTCATGATACGACACATACGAACTTAGCACTTTACCTTTTCCCTCCTGATCCTGCCGAAGCTGTAGATGAGGAGTTCAAGCTGTCCACAATGCCGTTGGTTGATCCGGTGACAATGTCCTCCTCAATCGCGAAAGCGAGCAAGTCCGCGAAGCCGGCAGACGACAGCTCGCCGCTGCAGCCGATCCGTGTCAATTCAGCCCCTATTGCACAGGCTGTTCGGTTTGCAAGCCCCGGGCTCCTCGTCACGATGTTCACCGCGGCTTTCAGCAGCCTCGTAGCCGACCCCGTCTCGGCCATGTCGAAGTACCTGCCGGTCATTGGTGCGCTACAAGTTCTGTACGCGTTCATCTGCTTGCCTGTAGCTGGTGTGCAGTCCGTGAAGGTCAAGAAACACCGGCCAGGGGAGAAGAAGAAAGCCAGTTCAGATGCGGCTGGTCCGAACATCATTGTGGTTTGTTCTACCCTGTCTTGATTCATAGAGAGACGTGGGCTCAATTGACGTGAAACGTGATAGGCGTCGCTGCTCTCCTTTATCCTCACCACTCTCGCTACGCCTCTCCTATACATCGCGATGATCCTCTTCGGCGCGCCAGTCCTCACCCATACGCCCCACACCCTCCTCTGTGCCGCCCATCTCGCGATTCTGACCCTATTCCCGCTCTTTTATGTTCATGGGGTGGATTCATCAGCATGGCTGGCCGTTGCAGGTCTGAAGGCACCGATCGATGAGACTCTTGGCGGTCTTGTAGGAGGTTTCCTTGGTGCATGGCTGGGTGCCGTGCCCATCCCTTTGGACTGGGACCGAGAATGGCAAAAATGGCCTGTGACAATTCTCTGCGGCATTTACGGAGGCTACATTGTTGGTAGGATTATTGGAGGCACACTCGCATTTGGAAAGAAGTTCTAAGTCGATAGATATTGGGGACGACGTATCATGGAGATTCACGAAGTATCCAGGTTATTTTGCAGATCGACGTATCATGGCGTAGAGCCAGGGGTGCTCCGGTCCATATACCCTGGCAAGCTCAGAGCATACAGGCACTATCTGGAGCACCGGGACTGCCACATGGAGTCAGACTGTCCGGGGCGACTTGATAATCATCTGATCTGGACTTTCTGGTTGAGAGGAAGTGACATCGGTAGCTTTCTCAAAGTGGCTGGGTTTACCGCCTAGCGAGTTCGGGAGCAAGGTAATAGGGACCGCTGGCTCTGTTAGAAGAACTGAGCATCAATGGGTTGCCAATTCATGCCCTATTGCTAGCTGTATATTGCTCCTCCATTTGAACGAGTGGCTGGCATGGAAATAGTATCAAAATAAAGCCAGCAATTACATCTACAATAATAGGTGGTAGACAGAAGAATATTCATAAACCACCCATACCAACCTCTTCTCTCTTCAGCAGAGGGAATCAATTGGCGATACAGGTTTAACTACATCATCGAGAATCTAGCATGCGGCTTAACTTGTCTAGGGATTGGGGAGATAGAGCGCGGCTACGACGTCTTCAGCCTTGCCGCAATCCCGGGTGCCAAGCATGGGAGTTGTTTGCCAAGCAGCAGGGGTAACGTAACAGGGGCAAGTCGGAAGTGTCGGCACAGTACTCTGGACAATTCAGATCAGATACACGTGTTTTTTGCTGTGGGTAATGACGATATGTTGCGGTGATATCAGAGAATTAGCCACAGTTAAGAACGCATTCTTGAACTTGGAGGCGAGAGGTTCTCTTCAGCATCTAAGCCGATCGAGTTGATCTGAGATCTAGACTACCATGGACGTTACGGCAAAAATAGATGCATCTGCAGCTTTACATAGCACCAACGCTGATAAACGTCAGGATCGAGTAAACGCGATGTGGGGAAGTGACACCGCCACAACGCCACACCCCATTTGAGCTGTTGTCCAATAAAGTCTAGAAAATCTCTGATTAGCGCGATCATCAGCCACAGTCAATGCCGTCACTCTGTGACGTCTGCAGGCAGCTGAGAAAACAGCGTGCGTTGACGGTTCCGGTGCTGGTTCCGGTATTGGTAACAAACACCACTGTGGTGGCCCGGGTGGGATCATAATCCGGCACGAGGACAACTGTACAAGGGGCAATTGCAATGCCCAGATGCTGTATCAAGGACTGATGCATGATTGTACCTAGGTATGCTGGAATAAGACTGCTCAAACCTGTAATTCCCAACGGCGCTGCTCGCCCCTGTCTGTGATGATCGCAATTGATCCCTGACCCCTCCTCCCCGGCACACCGCGGTCAGGACTCGGGTACAGGGTCGTGGCCATGCCCTGCCAGAGCCATGAGAGGTGGCGCTTCTAGCAGCAATTTAGCTGGCGGACGGTGGCTGAATGCAGGAGGTAGGTCTGAAGAAGCGAGCGAGATTGTGTTTGTGCAATGAAAACCTGGCAGCACAGTACATACATAGTAGGGGCCAATGCGATCCTGGCAAGGTGTATGACGCAGTTGGGAGCTGGGTCGTGCGCTTTGCCATGGTTTCCATTCCATCTTGTGACAAGTTGACCTGCAGAACGGAGAACTGCCTGGGAAGCGCCTCAGCCACTCATTCTCTCATGCGATCCACTGCCCAGTCGACATTTTGGACTAGACAGCCCACTAGCTACCTAGGACCTGACTGACTTACTGGCGGACGGATTGCGCTGCCTTACCTCACAGCTCACTCTCCCCGTTCTTCTACCGTATATAACCATCCCCCTCCTGCTCTCCCGCTTGCCTTTCCCAAAACATCTCCACCTAAACAATAATCACAAAGAACAAAGACCTCTCCGTTTGTTCTCGAGACACCCCATCACCAATCGCCACCCACACCAACAGATCACAGCATCAACAATCCATCACCATGCCTTTCACAGCCAGGTAAGCTCTCCGGTCGCAGGCCTGGTGCTTACACATCGCTAGCCCATCCCCCCGAGTGCAGAAATGATTACTGACACTGCTGTTCCAGCGACATCTGCAAGATCATTCTTGCCGTCATCCTCCCCCCTCTTGGTGTCTTCCTTGAGCGCGGATGCAACGCCGACTTCTTCATCAACATTCTGTTGACGATTCTGGGTTACCTACCTGGTATCATCCACGCTCTGTATGTTCTCCCCAGGCCCAGGCTCAGGCCGCAACCGAGCCTCGGATCTTCCGGATTGCGCGGACCCTTGCTAACAAAACACCACAGGTACATTATTCTCAAATATTAGAGCTCCAATGATACCCATCCGTGCGGCGCTTGAATCCACGTCTGAATTGGGACCGTTGTTTGCGACAATCGACAAGGTGGTACTGCCCACCAGAAATCGGTGGCCGGAAATGACGTTCTCGGCAGTCGGCGGTTTCGAGCTAAGCTAAGGCGGTTCTGCGTGGACCGCACAACAGCCTGTCCTCCTTCCTTCTTCACGGCCGAACACTTTCCTACGGCTCATTGGGGTTTTCGAAATGCTTGTGTCTAGACGGTTTCTTCCGATTCTTACTTCTGCGACCGAAGGCTTCCTGGCATCTATTTTTCTCACGAAGTTTTCCTAAGCAGCATTGATTTCTCTCTTGGTGGTACCGTGGCAGGGCATGTCTGGATTCCGAGGGGCTTTTGGCAGGTGTCAGAACATGATGAGGTAGCTCGCTAATTAATGATTCGATACCCTTGTTACCTTCACGACAAAACCAATACTATCTTGCCGGAGGTTTCTCCATCTCAATTGTCTTCTAATATCTATGATTCTACTGTGATCAATTGATTGTCAACGGTGATAATTTTCTTTGTTTGACTGATCGGCGCCATCAGCCCTGTTTTTCTTGGCGGACACAAGCTGCTGCCAAAGCTCTTAATCCTGGAAAATGATGTCACATCTTGCGACTCCAGCGCATTTCTGAAGCGCTGCCCATTGACTGCGCAGCATGAAACATTGCTTGACAAGAACCAGCTGCCATAGATATTTCGACGCCAGCAATTGTTGCTGAGCACAAGCAGAGGCTATTTGGTGCTTCTTCTAATGCCCACTAATGCCCTAAGATGGGCCAGGCATGTTGACATCTGCAGAAGCTTATGGCGATTGGTGAGTTCCATCTCTTCTATATGTAGGTATCCCCTCCCTTTCATCTCAATATGCTGTTCCCATGGTATGATCCTTGGATCGCCCACGAAGTGCTCAAAGGCGATATATTCTGAGAGGTGAAGTCTACTCGCTGTGCCAGTCTATGTCTGGTCAGGCCGACTTAAAGGCTCCGCAGCTTGAAATAGCCCGGCTTTAAGTTCGTTGATATAGGTATGATCAGGCTCTTCCAACCTTAAAGGACAAAATCTGTGTGTTGTTAGTAGAGGTATCAAGCAAATTGGGAAGAATATACCTACATCGTTCTTGCCCACTCCGACCGGGTCATCCTCTGCGACTCTCATACCGCCAACTCCTTCTATATATGCTATTGGCGCATCTCCCATAACCTTCTTCGCAACGTCTGCAACTGTGCTATTCTTCTTGACAAGCACGCAATCCCTGAATACAACCTTGGAGTCTGCTTGGCCTGAAGTAAACGTTGACGTGTTCCTCACAGGAAACACAGGGACCAGACCGAGGATGTCGGCAGCCTTTGACAAGACTTGCACGACACCTGTAGAGCCAAACCGGTACAGCACCATATCCTTGAGGTTCTCTATCCTTGTCTTGTTCTTATCATCCAGCTCTTTCAGCCCGCCGCCGTCAGGATCACCATCTGCTATTAGGTCTTCCCTCGTGTCCACAAACTCGCTGCCCTCTGTATACCGTATATACCCTTGTTTTGCGAGTTTTCGCAGGAAGATCTCTGAGATGGCGGAGCACAGGACGATGCTATTCGGGTCTTGCATCTTGGCGATCTTGGCGATGTTCTTGTCGGCGTCTGGGTGGTCGATCTTGTTGAGCGCAATCACCGTCGGGAACTTCTCATCTGTAAAGGCGTTGACCACGCGGTCGACCGTCTCCTCGCTCCAATGCTCTAGTGGCTCCTTGAGGGCCAGTTTGTCCAGTGTGCGCGCCACCAGTCTGCTTGTCGATCCGTATCCGGAGAATTGCGCCTGCAGCGTCTCGACCGCCGTCGCCTTGACGGCCACATGCCGCCGCTTGATGGATCCCCAGCGCTCCCACAGGTTGCCCTTGATCCAAGCCACTATCTCGGACCTCAGCCAGGCGATGTCAACTGAAGGGTCGTACCCCCGTGTTACTTTCCCTTCCGCATCTGTGGTTCCCGATGCGTCGACGACATGAATGAGCGCATCCGCATGGCGCAGGTCGTCAAGGAACTTGTTGCCCAACCCCTTGCCCTCATGTGCGCCGGGTACGAGTCCAGCCACATCTAAAAGTTCTATGGGTACGGACCGGCGTCCGCCCACACACGATCCATAGTTGGGTTTACATCGGTCGGAGACGCCGTGTCTTGCGCATGCGCAGTCGATTTGTAGGTAGCCGATCGCTCGTTGAGGGTCAATGGTCGTGAAGCTGGTGAAGTATTGCTGTCAGTAACTGGCATGGTCCATTCGCTACCGGGAGAACGTACGGAAAGTTTCCTAGGGCGCAGCATCAGCGGGCATGTTCATCTCGACGGAAGTGGCATGTGCCAGTCTACCCACCAACTTTTGACGAAGCATCAGTGAGGGAGTTCAAGGTGCTAGACTTCCCTGCACTGGGCTTGCCTACAAGGCCGATCAGGGGGTCTCTTGGCATAACGAAGACCAGCTCAGGATATCAAGTTGTCTATATCCCAACGGAGACCGGTGTTCTGGACTGAGGGGTCCGGTGCTCGCAGCCGGCGAAATCCACGATAAGATTTTGTCTGTCGCACGATGCTGAACCAACCCTTCCGCGTGGCGGGAACCCCACTACGGCGAAAAGGTAGCTTAGATTGGCGGGGCACATCGGCGCTATCACGTCGCTGTAGGCCGGCGCTTTACTAAGGGTCGCAGCGCCCCTAACGCCTCGGAAAACGGTCACCGCGGGATTGCGGTGATTCTCGAGACATCGAGGAAAATAGCCGAACCCCTCTGTCAGGCACATACAAGATAGTGCCCCTTCCCTCCTCCTTGGCCAATTCCTGAAAATTATGGTTCGAACAGAGCTGCCCATCGATGTGCTTCCAGCATGGTTGGCCCTCAATGATGTCTCCTTCTTCGATGTCAAGATTACGCAGACCGATGGCAAAGGCTATGGTCTCCTTGCTGAACGGTCCCTGACCACCGCGGAGGACACCTATGATGTTCCTTCGCTTCTCAGCGTGCCGCATGAGCTTGTCCTGAATGCAGAAGCTGTGGAAGAGTACGCCAAAGAGGACAGGAATTTCAGGTTACTTTTGGATGCAGTTGGCCATCAAGTATTACCTTCGCCATCATGTCCATATTATACATGAAGCTAATGTCAAGATAGTCGTCACGTGGGGACATACTGTTGTTCTTACTAGTACAGCTGGTCCTGTCTTCGAGAACTGTGAAGAGCCCCGTTGGTGTGTCGAATCCATGGACGGAATATGTCAAGTTCCTGCCGAACTTCGTTCCTGTCCCGACGTTATGGACGGACGAGGAACGAAGTTTGCTTACTGGAACATCACTTGAGGTATGAGCCATGCCACGTTTACATTTTGAATAACAATGTGGGGGTCTTTCACTTGCATCAGGCACATGCCGTCTCTAGTCTTAGGGCTGATGTTCAACAGTCTGCAGTGACGGCTAAGTTGCTAGCATTGACTCACGAGTTCGATGCAATGAGAGAGAAGTCGTCGGCTATCGAGTGCTGGGATGTACTCTTATGGGATAGTGGTGCAGTGCACCTTACAGATTGGTATCTCGTCGATGCCTGGTATCGATCTCGAGTGCTAGAACTGCCAATGTCAGGAGAGTCGATGGTGCCCTGTGTGGATATGGTCAACCACTCCAGCCAAGCCAATTCTTACTACGATGAGAATGCCAAACAGGAAGCCACCCTCCTCCTTCGGCCGGGACACCAGATTTCCACGGGGGACGAAATCACGATCAGCTATGGCGAATCGAAGACCGCGGCAGAGATGCTGTTTAGCTACGGATTCATTGATCCGCAATCGACGGCAGAGGGCCTCACGCTACCCCTGGATCCTATGGATGATGATCCTCTTGCACAGGCAAAATTGCACATATTCGGCGAGCAACCGACCGTGAAGCTGAGAGGGACTGATGAGCGGATGCAATGGGAAAGTCCATTCGCTTATCTAATGTGCGTCAATGAGGAAGATGGACTGGAATTTCGGGTCCTCCAGGGGACAGACGGATCGCGGCAACTGAAGGTGTTTTGGCAGGAAGAGGACGTGACGGATTCGGCCAAGGGCTTCGAGACACTCATCGAGAAGCATCCACACTGCGCAATCTTCAAGCTTAGGGTAGCTACCGTGCTTGCGGAGCGCCTAGCGGATCAGCTGGAGCAGCTGTGCTCTTCTCAAGCTCTTGACTCATCGTCAAGTGCGGCTATCGTGGCTCCTCGACCAGGTTGTCTAGAATCCGCATTGTTGCTACGAGAAATCGAGACCATGATCCTCGAGAATGCGCTGAAGGCACTTGACCAACAGGTAAGGATGATCCATGTCATGAACGCGAGTCGTGATTGTGCGTCCCTCCTGCATTAGATGGCGTCTTATTGGGCATGGGCTAGGCGCACCAGCCCAGCCATTGTGGATGACGTTGCAGTGGACTACTGTGCTAGGCAAACATGCTGACTGGTGTATCACTCAGAAATCCGAGCTTTTGGCGGATGAGACCGTGGTGGCATATCTCGGATCGATGGAGATTTCCCAAAACGACCTAGTCGGGGATGAGGGCGCCCAATCCGAGGACGACTTCAGCTGAAGCTCCCAGCTCAACAGAAAGCAAAATCAGTTCATCCCTTTGTTGGCTCGCAACGCTCGCCTGCAATGGTCCCAAGCTTTTTGACGATCGCGGGAAATGTACCCAAGATTTTGAAATTCCTGGGGACTCCATAGTCACATTACGAGGCGGTGGAGCGCAAGACTTGGGGAAGGACGTGGAGACAAGTGTTGGTCCGCCTCACCGAGCGAGGCCCCCCAGGATCTTTGCAAACCAAATGTGCCTCATCTGAGCAGCGATGACTGCAGGCCAAGCTTGTCGTCGTCCCGTTGCATTCTCGTCTCCGAGTAATTCCAGCCAAGGCTGAGAAGCCGAAAATCCTCGTGCTTGTCTTCATTGCCGGTACCCTGTGAAGTGAGATGGACGGCCACAGTGCATGATGCGGCTTCAAACCACACACAAGCTCGGAGGATTTTTTTTACAGTGACAAGTCTAGTTTACTCTTATCTGGAGCTGCCGCCGTGCCTGCCTTCGAGCTCTACTTCAAAACCTGCTGGAGTCTAGAGAACGGACCGGCTATCCTTGGAAACGTGTCAAGGCAATCTCGAGGACCCAAAAAGCGTCGTGCTTATTTCTGTCCGCATATACCAAAATAAGCAAGCTCGTGTAAGTCCATCATCTATCTCACACCCCTCTGCAGCAAAGGTGTCCGGTCCGCACGCACTAGGCTGGTTGTCTGGTAAGGGGTACCTCGCAGGCCCCGCGACTTCCGCCCATCCTAGGGGCGACGACATTTTGCCGGAAGTCCATCTCAGCAAGGTGCGGGGATCTTTGCAGGACTAGATGGCGGGCCCCCGTGCGCGCTCAGGATGGGCTTGAGATGGGCAATGTTGGGATTGCTTGCTTGCTGGCCGGCCATTATCTCGACAGACATGCAGGAAGCGAGTTGCCCGCATGCGTCGTTGCTCTTCTCGCCTCTAGTCTGTTGTTGAGAGGTCCGGAGGCGAAGACACCTCGAGTCCGTACTTGCATGACGATCTTCGTTCTGACTCTTAATCTCATCGGGAAGGATCTGGATGGTCCCCTTAACCCAGCTTGTGTGCATGGAGCATGCTCGGTGATAGATAGATAGATAGCTAAATGGACACTATACCATGCAAAGAAAGAGCCAGCAAGACCTAGCGCCTCCATTCGTCCCCCAACGGGAAGTGGGCGATCGACAAACAAGAGGAGGCAGAATTAGTCGCGCTTTCCGGCTATGATCGTGAGCTCTGTGGCTGGGCCCGTTGTGATCGAGGCAAATCAGGAACAGGCTGTTTCAAGCAGGCTGACGACAAGACCCTGTGTGTGTGTGTGTGCGTGTGTGTTGTTTGGAGGGCATGCAAACATGCAGCAACAGAAATGCTTCACCGCGAATTCAAGCTTTTCCAGACCGCAATTCATGGCAGAAGGAAATAAAAAGGCTTGGATTTGGGATGGGTGATAAGAAGGGGGGTTCCCAGCAGGGTTTGTGACGATCCGGGAGCGGGAAGGATATTCTACGAGTTCCGAGACGAGACGAGTCGAGACGAAGCATGGATGGACATATGGGCATTTATGTCTGTGTCACCTACGCTGTATAGTACCACAGATGGGGGACCTGTCTCTGCTATTCACGGCCATTCCGTGCTATTGATATGTGCCTGGCTAACGGTCAATAAAAAAGACATTCCCATGAATCAATTCCATCCGAAAGAAGCCACCGGTGTGTGTTTCGCAGTGCTTGTTTGATTCGTCGGGTCACTGTTTCGAGATGATGGGCAAAGCCCTTCTCCAAATAGTTAGCGTCATGGAGGGGGGGGGTTGTGCGATGACAGCGTTGGCAGACGTCAAATCGGGCTGTTCGAGATGTCATTTGTCCATCATCTCAGGCCAACAGCAGGCAACAAGTGCATGTTCGCCCACAACTCGGGCTTGCCAATCATCGTGATGCCATGCGAACCATCTCGCTATATGGAGGGAGGCGAAATGCCCAGCGTGCAAAGCCACCGATGTAGATGGCACATGATCAAGATCAGTCAGTGGTCGAGGTATGAATGGGCATAGCATGACATAGTAGGGCCCAGCACCAGCGCTAGCCCGAGCATTCCGGCACTTGTTGGCGCTGTTAGTTAGTCAGTTAGTTAGTCTCTGGTCTACAACAGGTAGTTTTAACCACACGCTGCATCTATCTACTATGTATGATTGATGTGTGCAGGACAGAGTAAGACAGGCATGCAGTTTGACGATACACAGCAGCCAGGCGTGCCAGCGATAGAATACCATGGCTGTGGGAAAAGTGACAGAAAAAAAAAGGGTCAGGGTCTGGGGTACGGGTCAGACAATGGAGTGAATTGGAGTGGGCTTGATGGGGGATGCTGGGGATGCTGGTAGGCCGCATCCGACACACGATCATGCCATTTCACCGTGGTCGATTGCGGGGGATCCAGGAATCCCAGGGTCCCTGGCGCAACCCAAGGTATGATCGTGATGGTCTGCCTTGCCTGTCTTGCCTGTCCTGCCTGTCTCGACAGAGTCAGAGTCTGGGGTTCCCATCCTGGAGAAAAGCTGGAGAGTTCTAGAGCACCGGTGGCGTGGAACTCTGCGGCCATTGGCTTGCTGGAGATGGTGATTCTTCAAGAATCAAGATGCCCTCGCCCGGTGGTGCCATTCTGAAGCAGCCCTCGCCGATTTGGGCCAGTTGGCTGCCAGCTAGCGTCCCCGGGATATCTCGAGATGCGCTCCGGGATGGCCCTCGGGGGTGTGTAGGAGCGTGCAAGAGGGCAAGAGGGCTCGAGTAGACTTTCTACAGTAGGCTAGATGCGGTAGGCAGGACGAGGTACATCCTGCATAGTACATAGTAGATAGGGATGGGGATGGAGGGACGATGGGGCCATCTGGCACTTAGCACGCACGCAGGGCCTTGGGTGAAGAGAGTACCGGTACGTATTGTGTGAGATAATGTCTACTGCATAGTAAGTGTCGCCTTTTTGGTGTTTGAAGGTTTGGGCTACGTACGCTGTAGCTCGAGTGTAGGTACGTAGAGGGATGATGTGGGCAGACTGAGTCTGAGGTGATTGGGCTGTGCCAGAAACACCAGCATCCATGGATGACCTCGAGACCAGATCTCCCCAGTACTCCCCAGTACTCCCCAGATTCCCCCTCGTGGTTCGCAATCAGCCCTCACCAACTCGCTAACAAGTCACTGGCTGCAGCATACTCTAGGTATCCTTGTCGCTGTACCCGCCCCCATGTCTGCTGATCCAATCGCTGACCGGCCGTTTCTTCTTCGACTCCGCAAAGGGGACCCTCCAGGTTCCCCCCCCCCCTGCCCCATCCTTCCTTCCCTTTCTGAGTAGAGTATTCACAATTACTGCGCACGCACACACGCACACGCACTCGGCCTTTCCTTTTACCCTCCGCCCATCCATCCTCCTCCTCCATTCATTCCCTCTCTTCACTCTATCTATTCCATATTCTACACTAGACTAGACTCAACTAACGACCACCACCACCACCGCCGCACCCCCCTCTCTACCGACGCTACACAGCACGGTACATTCCCTGTTGATCCTCTTGCCTGGGGTTGTCCTGGCCTGTCCTTTAAAACATCCGCTCGTCCCACCTCTCCGATCGATCCCGCACTTCCCTCCCCTTCGAAAGACTTTCGCCGCCTTCTCCTTTCGATCTCGCCGTTCTTCTTCTTCCTCTTCTTCGTCGTCATCGTCGTCGTCTTATGATAGGAGTCTCGGTTTCCACATCTACAAGAAATGAGCCGGTGAGGCCGTCTTGCTGCGATCCCCACCATCTGAAGAGCCATCGTGCCACATGAGTCAATTCCTGTCGACATATCAACCCCGATAGACGACTTTTAAAGACAACTCTAGAACTTATACACCGGAAAAGAAACCCCCTCGACCGCGAGTCGACAAATCTCCACTCAACATGCCTGGAATTCTGCCTATGAAGGTCATCAAGGTGGGCACCAGCTCCCAGAGCCGGATCGCCCAGGCCTGTGACCGCTGCCGCAGCAAGAAGATCCGCTGCGACGGCATCCGGCCGTGCTGCTCACAATGCGCCAACGTCGGCTTCGAGTGCCGCACCAGCGACAAGCTCAGCAGGCGCGCCTTCCCCCGCGGCTACACCGAGTCGCTGGAGGAGCGCGTGCGCGTGCTCGAAGCGGAGGTCCGGGACCTGAAGGACCTGCTGGATGAGAAGGATGAGAAGATTGATATGCTGTCCAAGATGCATGGCAACCGCCGGCCGTCCATCGGCTCATCGTCTGCGGGCTCGCCGCCGGATCTCAGGAAAGACGCTGCTTCGCAGCCGAAGGAGGACACATTCCGCATCCAAGCTTCACCATTGCTGCTTGGAGTCGAGAACTCAGATTCATATTTCATGGGTGCCTCAAGTGGTCGAGGCTTCATCGGTCAGTATCCTTTTACAATACGCGTATACTCGGTGCGATGACAACTAACAAACTTCTACAGAAGCCTTCAAGCGCAAGATGCAGGAAAGCGGAAAGTCATGCTCCGAATTCAACACGGAAGCCTTCCTACACATTCAGGGTTGCTATCCTCTCGTGACTAAACCGCCTGGTCAAACTATGAGGGTGCCTCCTCGACTCTTCTCTGACAGATGTGTCAATGTCTACTTCCAGGAATGGGCTCCGCTCTTCCCGGTCATTCACAAACCGACCTTCCTCCGGATCTACGAGGAGTTTGTTGCCGACCCTGACAAGGTAAAGAACAATCACAAACTGGCGCAGCTGTATCTTGTGTTCGGTATTGCTGCTCTCTCAAGCGATAAGCCAGATCTTGATCAGATTGCTGCCTGCGAACAACAATGGCAACGATCTCTTGAGACCATCCTCATGGACAACACCATGAACACCCTGCAATGCTTGGTTCTTGCTCTCATGTACTGCACCGTCAGAGCCGACTACAAGCGCCTGCAACATTACAAGGGCATTGCTGTTGGCTTGTCACATAGACTCGGTCTACACCAGAGCCAGAAGCGCTTTTCTTTCGGCGCTCTCACAATTGAGACTCGCAAGAAGGTCTTCTGGACACTGTACACTCTCGACTGGTAGGTTGCTCGTCACCTTTATCTTTTTGATATGCCTCGCTGACCTGTCGCTTAGCTTCTCTGCTGCAATGCTTGGCCTCCCGAAACTGTTGAAGGAGGATGACATCCATGCTGAATACCCCTCTGACACGGATGACGAGTACGTGACTGAGAAGGGATTCCAGCCAACCCTGCCTGGCGAGTATACACGACTCTCAAGCGCACTGGCCCTCTTCCGAGCCTCCCGCATTCTCGCGAAGGTTCTGGAGAAGAATTATCCTGCGGCTACCTCTCATGAGCTCTCACTGCAGCAGATGTCTGCTTTGGAAACTGAGCTTGATGCGTGGTCTGAGAACCTCCCCCAACATTTGAAGCTCACCTTCAAGCAAGACAAGCCATCGACAGATGTCACTGGCAGCCGCTCTCCACTACTAGCCCTTGCATACAATTACATTAGGACACTCATTTACCGTCCAGCAGTTGGTTCCAGTCTCGGTTCCAAGGCCGCTCCTGCAGTCATCTCAGTCGGAGACTCGAGCAAGCATATCATCCAGATTGTTGAGCTGCTTGAGGAGAGGAGCATGTCATTCTCTTTCTGCCTCAACAAGTCTGACCTACTGATCCTTTGCGGCATGTCATTGCTCTACCAGAGCCTTGACCTGAAGCAGGACAGCAAGCTGATGAAGGACAGTGAGAAGCTTACCAACTCTGTCATCAAGGTCATCGAGAAGACCAAGGCACCTGGAACATATGACTTCAAGAGAGTGGCTGCTATGCTCATCGCTGTTGATGAACCAGCGCAACCATCACTGCCTACTCCTCCCAGACATAGCCCCGAGACTTGCATGGCTGCACCGCCTCTGCAAAGAGCTTCACCACCTGCTCAGCTCTCCAAGAAGGGTCAACAGTATCCTCTTGGAAGGCATGCAAGTGCAAGCATGAGCGAAACCGACCTGCTTCTACAACAAGAGAAGATTCGAAGAATGACAATGCCCAACATCCACCCTGGAAGGTCGGAGCTACGTCGCTCTGGATCTCGTGCCTCTTTCGACAACACCCGACCGGATGCTTCATTGCTTCAGCGTCGTGATCATCGACTCTCAATGTCGCAAGCTGCCATGCTAGCACGTGTAGCACCCACACAAAAGTCAAACCAGAACCTAGATTACCTCTCTTTGAGCAATACGCCCACAGGCTCACAGCCATCTTCCCCAGTTCAGGCTCGTCTACAGCAGGCAACGAGTGCCGCCAACAACCATCTATACTCACAATTGAACCAGAAAGTTTCCGGCGTATCGGCTTCCGATTGGGAGGCACTGCTAGGTCAAATGGACGGCGGCCAGCTCAACGTCTATGACGCTATCTATGGCGGGCCTGCTCTCACCATAACCGAGACCCCAGCGTCTGCGTCATCAAATTATGGTGGGTGGTCTCCCGACTCAATAGACCTGTCCAGCTTCAATCTTGGTGACTTCGGCTCAAATCCCGCACCCGCACAGAGCGTTCTCAGCTTCAGTGATGAGAGCCTGAGCTCAGGAGAGGAGATCGCGCCGAGTGAGCTGGGTCTCAGCGTCAGCAGCCTGGACTACCGGAACGGGCTGCTCCCGACGTCGTGTACGACTACCGAAGGCTTCATTCTAGACGGTCTTGATGGCAACTTCGGGCTATAAATCTGTCCATATTTCATCGTCCTTCCAGGGACTGACTGACTGAACATTTTTTTAACGATTTACGGTGTCTATTTAATGAGTATAACTTGCCACACGGATCAAGCGGGTATATATGGTTTCAGGGTTCACGGAATATCTGGAGATTGGGTTAAAGGGGGGTCCGTCTATTCTTACGGTGTCGCTGAGTCGCTCAGATTTGTGCTGCGGCACTGGGTCTTCTTTCTCAAAACGGGGATGGGGGCGGCCTGACGCTTTTTGTTGTCTTGTATTGCTTCTTCGTTCGGACAAGTGAAACATTGCTTAATAACCACGGTCTTTTTCCCTTTGTTCAACTTTTAACTACGCGTGCGCGTCCTGCTGGTCTAGCTAGATAGTCTCCTTGGACGGACAGGAGAGGAAATGCGCGAGATCAATACGTCTAATCAGCTACAATTAGCTGGAGTGTTTTGATAGGCGACGAATCTGAAAAGTTGATGCAAAACAACGTGTGTGCTGTTTCTTCCCACTCTTCACAGTGAATACATTCTTGTGCAAGTGACATCGGATAGATCGTAGATCGGACTAACGATGAAGCACAATGCTACGATTACCTTCGAATGATGCTCTCCCCCCAAATGACGTTGCGCCAGGGTCCTCCTCTGAACCCCAACACAGACCCAAGGCCTAGACCTCTGTAGTGTGCCGGGAGGAGCAGCGCTGGTCAGATGGTTCCCCGGCAGCAGCGGGCGGCACTCGAGCAGGTTACTGAAGTGCGGCGTGCGTGCCGTAGTGTAGATACCTGGACTAGCTCGACTACGGGCGCCGCCCTTATTCGAAAGCGGATCTGGTGATCTCGTGAGAGACCTCGTCTGTCGCAGCCTGGGTCTGGGCGGGCGGTGATGACTTACGACAGGTAGAGACATGCATTGAAGCGATGATCTCGATCAGACCCCCCCGTTGAAAGAGAGCAATTACGGTACACGGCTCCTCAGACGGAGTGGAGTGGTGGTGGCTTCGGTGATTGACCCTGCTGTCCAAACAGGGCAATGCAACACTGCCGTTAACGTTAGACGCCAGCGGTGTCATCGGACTGTATGAGAAGAAAGTCTTCTCTAGATTGCTATTTGTTCTTCTTTTACTGCTGCTTGCTTCGAGACTTGTTCCATGCCATGGCAATATGCAGCAAATCTCGAGATCCCGCCGACCTGCTTGAATATATAGCTTTAATCTAGTATGCCGAGCTGCCACTGCCCTACCTGCCACTTTGAGAGGGCGCAATCAATCAGGGCTCCTCCTGCGCGATGGGGGAGGACGGGGATGGGATGGGATGGCTGGCATCCTCTCAGTTTAGCCTGAAGTGTCTCCTCTCCAATTCAGTCCATCACGATCGTCTGTCTCCAATATGGATGTTACACAGGCTTAAAGTAATAGCAGACAAGTAGATGCTATAGCACAGAGGAGGGGTGGAGGAGCTGAGAGGCGTTCTCACCTCACTGCTCTCAGCTCCGGGGACGGAAAAGCAGCCTCCCGGGGCCTAGACTGCAGAGGCACGCGCAAGTCAGGTCAGGAGCGCGGGGGAGCAGCCACCCCGGACCCGATTTCTCGATTAGGTTGTCAAGTCTGCATTTGAATGGTGTGCAGTATGTATGTATGTATGTGTGTGTGTGTCAGTGTAGTCAGGCAGCATGAGAATACGCAAGGAGTAATGTGGCTGAGGAACAGAGGAGCGTCTGCTGTGTTGGTTGATCAGTATTAGTGAGCTCGCCCGGAAGACATCGGTGTCGGGGGCTTCGATGCACCGCTCTCCCCGCCACCGAGCGCCTCTCCGACTCAGCCAGCTCGCGCCTAAACGACATAGTCAACGTTTTGCAAAACGGGCCTGGATCTTTCTTCTCGAACGGGCAGAAACGCCTTCCGCTGCATGTCTCACAGACGCCGCTTTGCCCAGCGCCCAGTTCTCGGCTCGAGACTGTCGGAATAGCAAACGACATCGCGTGTCAGACATTCGAGGTGTCCGATCTTTCCTGGGCTGGCTCGCTGGCCCAGATAGATATATGATCATTCGCCGGGACTGGCGGATGCCGGCATGAGGCACGACTAATAGTCGTTTACCTAGAACGGTCGACGCGGGAAGGGTGCACGACGAACGGCGTGACGTGACGGATCGATTGGATATGGTGCTGAACCCCGGGGGTTTGGGAGACCCAGCACCGACGGACGGTGGCGCAAACAGTTGCCCACCGACTGACTGAGTGACGACAGAAGAAGCAGCAGCAGCAGCTTTGCATGAGTAGGTAGGAAACTCCATTAGTTTAGCTTGAATACCTCGGCGGAGGAGGGAGATAGGGCTGTTGCGGCTTGCCGTAAAATCCGGGGGCGCCCTCTCGTTGCTTAACGCCTGCCTCAGACTTATAACACACGCCTGGCAGTTTGCAGTTGCGGGCAATGTTTCGAAACATCGTGCCATTTTTGGAATAACGTTGGAGACACTTGGAAACGTGCCGTCGATCTTTTTGCATTTGCTGCGTGATATAATCGCCTCTCTGGCAGCTCGAACGACTTCACTCTCAGTCCTTCTGGAGGCCATCCCCAGCGCCAAGACTGCAACTGCTTAACCTTAAATCCATCGTTGCGGTGTCCCGAAGACCATCGACCTGATCGACAGGGCCATATTCTCATGACGTCCGCCGCCGAAAAGCTCCCGCTCCTGGAGGCCAAGATGGCCATCCCGCCAGGTATGTCAATCTCCAGTCTGCCTGCGGTCCGGCAGACGTCTTTCTTAGTGCCCGAGGGTAAATCGAGCCGGAGCCCGGGGAGTGGACGCATGTAATCTACTTGCAGCCCCCAATGCGCCGGAAGGATTCCCGGGCGGGAGGGCGGTTGGTGGACAGCCGCCCCGAGTCCGCGAAATTACACGGAGGATCCGAATGCTGACACTTCACTTTTGCGCCGACGCACAGCTTCCTTTACTAGCGCTTACAGCGCCGGCCGGGGCAGCGACCGGCGAAGGCTTCCGCAGGCCATCGCGCATCGCGGCTACAAGGCTGCGTATCCAGAAAACACGATGGGCGCCTTTCGCGGCGCTGTAGCGGTCGGAGCGCTTGCGCTCGAGACGGACCTGCACTTGTCGCGGGACGGGGTCGTTGTATTGTCCCACGTACGTGTTTGAATTCTGACCTCCCCCTCCCCCCCCGGCCCCCCCTTCTTCAAAATCCTTGCTTCGAAATGAGATGCTATACGGCTTCCTCTTCATGTTATCAGAAGCATTTTCTCGAAGCTATTCACACACTGCGAGCTTGCAAGAAAGACATGTTTGGAGGAAGGCATGCAAAGGCTGACAAACTGAAACCAACAGGATGCGACTCTTCAACGCTGCTTCGGCGAGAAGACAAAGCTCAGCGAATGCGACTGGAGCTATCTCAGCACAGTCAGGACAGTACGGCAGCCTCATTCACCAATGCCACGGCTCTCCGATCTACTAGAATACCTCGCACAACCGGGACTCGAGGACGTATGGGTGCTCCTCGATATAAAGGTTTGTTCTGGGCCCTCAAAGTCTCCGGTGATGGCAACTAACACGTATTTCAGAGAGACGACGACGCTGCTGAACTGCTAAGAAGGACGGCGGAAACAATTGCTTCTGTTCCAGCCTCCAGACCATGGAGTCAGAGGTTGATATTAGGGTGTTGGACAGTAAGCAGAAGCCAGAGTATTTGGATACGCCCACGTAAGCTGACAAGAGTTCTAGGCGAAATACATGAAAGTATGCAGGAAGTTCCTACCAGGCTTCCCAATCACCTACATCGGCTTCTCCATCGTATACGCCAGGCAATACCTGAAGGTCCCTAACGTCTCCTTCAACATGCTGCAGAAGGCTTTAGTAGGCGGCTGCGGAACGCGCTTCATCCAGGACGCCAAGGCCGCGGGCAGGCCCATCTACGTGTGGACTGTGAACGAAGAAGAGCAGATGGAGTGGAGTATAGAGCAGGGCGTAGACGGTGTCATCACGGACGACCCGAAGCTGTTCCTTGATGTGTGTGAGCGATACAAGGAGCCGGTGGACGAGCCAGAGGCGGCCGTTGTGAGCAGGAGAACATCCAGAAGGAGGAAAGGAGGTCTAGTACGTCGATGGTTCAAGTGGGTTGTCATACAAGTTATTCTCGCCATATTGAACACAATGATGTTCTTCAAGGTGGGCCCTCCTAGGAGAGAGCTACGAAGGGCATTAGAGCCATAGACAACAACAGGAAGAACCTGCTTATGAGATTACGAAAATGAAAGAAATCACATGTACAATGCCTACAGGTGATTACTAGGCATCAGAAAGAGGACTATTGATTGAGAACATTTTACTGTGTTAAATTGTTTACTGGTTACTGTGAATTTACAATGGTATTATGTCTCATTGTGTATCTTGTAGTGTATTGCACAGAGTGATCTGAGCTGAATCTGATCAAATAAATTACATGTACAAAAATATTCATTGCAAGACTTTATTCATCACTTATTAGTCCACCTGAATATTATTCAGGTTTTCTACGTGGACTCTGAGGCTCGGTGAGGTTTGCATAGGTGAAAGCACTGAGAGTGAGCACCAGCCGAGCAGCACCAGCTGTCCTACAGCTGGCTGACAGCTGCCAGTCAGCCCCACCACAAACCACACCAGGCTAGGGCTAATTTTCGTGGATTTTGCAAATCCCACATGGAATTCGCGGAAACTTTTTCGACTTCTCACGACACTCCTCTAATACTACCCACCACCACCAAACGCGCAGGATTCGACTTCTTTGCGCTCATCCAACCAAAAATACCAAGAAGCAATGGCTCCTCAAATAGTATGTACATGACACCGCTTTGCTGTTGGCCCAGTCTCTCTCTCCGTGCAGATTGCCGGCTGGAAACCAGAGAGATCATGGCGTGAAACAGTAGGCTAAGGTCATTCTCCTCACAGAAGAAAGTCGGCGCCAAGGGCAAGTCCCCCAAGGTGACCAAGAAGGTAAGCAAACATGCTGCAGGTCCTCTGCTGCAATGCCCGGGTTCTAACAGACGGACAGTTCATCATCAACGCCTCGCAGCCGGCCAGCGACAAGATCTTCGATGTCTCTGCCTTCGAGAAGTTCCTGAACGAGCGCATCAAGGTCGACGGCCGTGTCGGTAACCTGGGCGACACCATTGCCATCTCCCAGCAGGGTGACGGCAAGATCGAGATCATTGCCCACAATGAGCTCTCTGGCCGCTACCTCAAGTACCTGTAAGATTCGCACTCGAAACGGGACGTTGCGCCAAACAGAAATACTGACAGTGTGGGCGCAGGACCAAGAAGTTCCTCAAGAAGATGCAGCTCCGTGATTGGCTCCGCGTCGTCTCCACCTCCAAGGGTGTCTACGAGCTCAAGTTCTTCAACGTCGTTAACGACGAGGCCGATGAGGACGACGAGTAAGCCATTGATAATCAAAAAGGTGGATGGATGTTATGGCAGACCGCATGGCGACATGAAACGGTCAGACCAGATCGGGATTAGCATAGAATGGCGCCGAATAGAGCTATCTGCTTCCTGATACCATCGATTCGAGAATGCTGTGAATACATTGGATATCTCTTTCTATGTGATATGTTGATGACTATACTACACACCACCATGCGCCCCGTACAATAGCCCTTAGGGCAGAGACCGCATAACACTTTCAAAGGCGACCAGAGCCGCTGCGTTTGCTGGGAAAGCGCGCAAGAAGCACGGCAGGAAACCTCTCCAATAGCCTCTCCAACCCGACTCCCTGTACACAGCAACAGCAGCGTCCTTCCATCTCATGAACTTCCGTGTCCCGTCATTAAGACCACCGCCCAGCGGATCCGTCATGATCCGCTGCTTGACCACGTCGCTCGGGTAGCTCGTCAGCCAGAAGACCTGGGCGCTCAGCCCCCCGGCCCAGAAGTTGATGGCGGGCGCGCTGAGCGACGTGCCCTCCTTCATCCAGCGGGTGAAGATGTCGTAGCTGCCCCACCAGAAGAAGAAGAAAGACCGAAACAGCAACGTGGCCGTCAGCCCGTGATAGACGCCGCTCACGCCGTGGTACCTATAGATCTTGCGCAGGCAGTCGATGGGCCCGCTGTACAGCCGCTGGCTCTTCTTGGCCGCGTACTGGATCTGCAGCCGCGCCTTGACGTGCTCGACCGGCGCGGCGATGAAGCTCACGGTGCTGCCGGCCATGATGCCCGCCAGACCGTGGCCATGGGCGGGCAGGGGCACGTTGGGGTCGTGGAGCGGGTGCCAGGGCGGGTTGAACAGATTGTCCTTCAGGAGACGGCGATACACCGTCAGACTGCCAAGCATGACGCTGTCCATGAACATCCAGCCAACCAGCGGAGGCGTGGCGCCCTTGTAGAGCCCAAACACGCCCTCATTGCGAATTGTCTGGAGGACGCATTGCAGTGGCCCGGAGAAGCGCGATGAGTCGGTCGTCTGCAGACGGACCTTGATTGTGTCAAAGGGATGACCGACTGGAACACCACATTAGCGTTACGGTCCCAGATAGTATTCGCAAACTCAATTGACCCGAGAGCTTGAGATCTAGTGAGCTTACCGGAGAGCTTCGCGATGCCGGAGAAGACCCCGGCGACGAAGCCTTTGTAGTTCTTGACGGCCTCAGCCGGCGGCTTTTCCTTCACTTCCGCCGCCGCCATGGACATGCTACATCTGACTTCAGAAGATGAATCAGATCACAGTAGCAGTCACCTGGCACTTCATTCTATCCGCAGTTGTAATGGGTTAGAAAAAGACCATCGCAGGAGTTGCGAGGTCGGCCACAAGATGAAGTCAGAAGCTCGTCTTACAGTGGGGCAGCTTACTGGAATTAGGGAAAAGCATGCCCTGAGCTCCGGTTGCATTTAATAATTAGCGATCCTTTAGTGGACCACAAGCTGCATTCCTGTCACCGCGGGGTAGCTTGAGAGGTGACTTCTAGAAGTCAAACTGCACAAATTTAATTCTAGATGTCATGTAGGAGAGGCGATTCTCTATAGATAGCTAACTGATCTATGTAAGACTCGCAATGCCTCCATAACTCAGCTCCAACAATGATCACCAAGCTTGAAGCTCGTGACCAAATGGCTTCTGGAGCAGCTGAAGTTGATACAATGTGACATTGCACTCCAATGCCCAAACAGATCGAGGTCACCGGAGATGCGTTAGATTCCCCGAAGACTCCCAAATGTAGCCAATACCACAATGTGGGCAGCAAAGCGATGCAGGACAACAGTGGGCATCTCATAGTAGCTCAAAGCCTCGTATAACACTTGATCCTTGCCTTTTTGTTAGACCTAAGCGTGTGGCTTGATATGGGTTCACGATGTAGATGCCGGCTGTGGTATGAGGTTGCGTAGAGATAGATCATAGACTACGTCCTCAACCTTCTTCACTGCATACTTGACACCGTCCACCTTCTTCCGTAGGATGTCGTTCTTGAGGTTCAGCAGCTGGAACCCGGCATGCATGTCCTTGACGAAGTTGCTGATCTTGACAGCAAGCTCATTGTCTCCAAGGGTGACGGAGTTGACAGCCAGACGGCTGAGTTCATCAGTAAGACTGGTGATGGCCATCAGATACTCCTCGATTGTGATGTGGAAAGCGTCACGGTCCTTGAGATTCACCGGCACTATGTCACAGAAATGTCAGCTTCATTGCCACGGTCGTGCCCAGGTCTATCATATCAAACCGTACCTTTGAAAATATCTCCAACCTCCTCCAGGGTCAACAGACGGCCGACCTCGCCATGCTTTCCGGTGTCAAGGCTGCCTCCGATCCAGCTATCAAGCAAGACAGTGAGTATAGCATCTTGAACCGCCCTTGTCCACTTGAAGTTGTACCTGCAAAATTGAGCAGCTGCGTCGTGGAGTGTACCGTTATAAGGAGAACTCACTTGTAGTAAGGATAATTTGAGGCAAGATCGCGAAGGCTGACCACATCGTCAATCTCTGCCTTGATGGCAGCCTCAACTTGAGAGATCAAATCGCCGTCTACATCATGTCAGCTCAAACCTTCACAGTCGCACTTAGGCTACCCACAACGAGCTCGTGGGGTCGAATGAACCCGGGAGAGCAGTCCCTGCGCATAGGATACATCTCGCTCGAGCTTCTGAATGATATGACTTAGATCATCGCGTGCCTTGGTGTCCTCATCGATCTTCGCCTTTAGCTGCTCGAAGAGCTGAGGGTCGATCATCCCGGCCATGCTGATTGGAGGTGTTCGTCACGACAGCCGTTTGCAGTAGTTGTTTTGGCCAGAAATTTTCGCTGGGTGAAGCTTATGGCAATTGCGTCCTCATATACAGATATGCTGAACTTAGTCACCGGCATTTACGTTTGGCAGGTACAATTGGATTAGCAAGGCGGGCCAACTGTGATCTTCGTCTACGCAGAATACTCGATGTCGACATGTGGGATTTTGGGACATCATGCTGGGAGAGCACCACACATTTGAGATCCTCACAACACCAGCGAAGCACTATTTACAGCTACCTAGATTCATTTGCATTTGACCACTAGCTTATGGCTTCTTCTTCGCATCCCGGGCAAGCCCAAGAAGTGCAATGAAAAAGGAGAGTTCGCGTCACTCGGAGGCAGTGTGATACCGAGGACACAGTGGAGGTCGGCCGTGGGCAAGCCCAGAGGACCATCCTCCCAAAGACAAAAATTAGGATAATCACGATTCTACTCCGTAGAGTAGTTTCAGAGATTAAACTGAAAAGAACAGATACTACACTTGATCTAAGCCAAAAGGCAAAGAGAGCTAAAGAAAAAAGAAGAGAAAAATTCCAAAAGGCGGGTGAGCTGGCGGGATTATATACCTAGATCTGTGGTTGGTCCGTGCGAGCGTGCAAACTTTCCTTCACCGCCTGCGAGCTCCCCGACCGCCTAGCTTTCTGCCGGCCGTAATTCTTGAAGCTGATCCAAGCTCCTATGAGGCTCTCTCCATCTATGACTGGGATGACAACAAAATGAAGGTCATCCACGAACACAGTCATGTCAGAAATACTATGAGTTATTGGACGTGCTAGACCCACAGCTGTAGTAAATTTCTCACACTGCTCGCACACAATGAAGATACGAGAGTCGAAGCGCTGCCACAGTTTTCATTAACCAAGATATTCATCTACCTACACCAGAGCCTATCATAGCTCATCTTGCCTTCGGCATCTTCTTCTCCTCCATAGCTTCAATTTCCTTCTTCTTGTAAAAGTGTGGCGCTAATTCCTGCAGCCACTTCAATTCAATAGGAAGGCATGATCTCATGTACTCTTTGCTTGTTTGCACAAGCTCGTGGTAGATGATGGTCTTCGGTGGCGGGTCTACTTCCTTTAGAACGCTTGACGGGTGAACCCATACACTGCTGTTGTTTTTCATTGTCCGGTACCCATCACCTCTCCTATCAATCCTCACGGCGTTGGGAAAGAAGCCAGCCGTGATGGCCCGCTGTATGGGACGTAAATTGCTTGCTCCGCAGGTGGATATCGTCACCTCGACCCGATCGCAGAGCTTGACGAGTTGGTCACGCACATCGCGGGCACGGGTCAGCGAGCGCTGCTGGAGGAAATTTTCCTTGGACCAGATCTGAGAGAAGTCGCTATCCACCCACTGATTCCAGACATTGAGAAGAGTGACATGGTCTCCGCCTTCCTTGACAGTGAAACGCCGCCGTGCACTGTCGGCATGGATTTTCTTGTCTTTCGGTCGGAAGAACAGCGCAGATGCCTCACTCAGCATCGAAACGATAGACAGAACCTCCTCTACGCAACCTTCCTTGTCCGCGGCAAGCACGGCTTTTGCAAGCATAGGATCGGTTGGGAACTCTGCCATTTGCCTTCCCATCTTTGTGAGCTCGCCCTTGTGATTGAGTGCTTGGAGAGCATATAGCTGGTCCAACGCCCCAATGAGAGCTTCTGTCGGGGGTGGATCCATGAAGTCAAAGTCCAAGAGCTTGTCAATACCAAGAGACTTGAGCTGAAGGACAATGCTGTTCAGATTAGTCCGTTGAATTTCTGGAGTCGGGGACTCGTCCATTTCATTCATATACGAATACTTGGTGTAAAGCCGGAAACATTTACCGGGTCCAACACGACCAGCACGGCCGCTTCGTTGGTTGGCAGACGCTCTTGAACAAGGGACGGCAACCAAGTTTGACATTCTTGTCGCTGGATTATAAATATTCTCCTTGACGTAGCCAGGGTCAATGACATACACGATGCCATCAATAGTCAAACTAGTTTCGGCGATATTGGTGGCTAAGACAACCTTCCTGGCGTTAGGCGGTGTCGGCTCGAAGATCTTAGCCTGGAGATCTGATGGTAAATTGGCGTAAATAGGACAGATGATCAACTCCTTGATCCGACCACCCAATTTGCGTGCGGTGTCCGTAATTTGTTGTTCTGCAGCCTCGATCTCATCCTGACCAGTTAGGAAGACCAGGATATCGCCTGCGCCCTGGGTAGTGTGGATTTGGAAAATTGTTGTAATAGCAGCAGCCAGGTAGTTGGCTTCGGGAGCAGGAGTGTAGTAGATATCGACAGGGTACCGACGACCAGGAATGTTGAAGATAGGGGCGTCATCGAAATACGATGCAAATTTGGCCGCATTCATAGTCGCAGATGAAATGAGTAGCTTCAGATCAGATCTTTCCCGTGCCAAATCCTTCAGGAGGGCCAACAAGATGTCGGTATGAACAGTTCTCTCGTGAGCCTCGTCAACCATGATAGCCGAGAAGCTTGAAAGATGAGGTTCAACCATCATTTTCCGTAACAGCATACCATCAGTCATGTACTCGACAATGGTTTTGTCGGATGTGTTGTCCTCGAAACGAATCGAGTACCCAACCTCGTTGCCAACCTTGACGTCCATTTCGTCGGCCACCCGAGCTGCAACACTCATTGCTGCAACTCTTCGAGGTTGTGTACATCCAACTTTCATGCCATCCTTGGTGTAGCCTGCTTCGTGAAGATACTGCGGTAGCTGAGTTGTCTTTCCACTACCAGTTTCTCCAACGATAACAAGAATCTGGTACTCCTCCAGTGCTGCTATAAACTCGTCTCGATATGCGTAAATCGGGAGGCTTTTCCTAGTCTCTTGGATCGAAAGCTGCTTCTTTTCTGCAGCATCGATCTGTGCCTGAAGAAATCTCTGCTCCTTGGTCATCTGCTCCCCAGCCATCGTGAAGTCCAGCTTCCACTTCACATACTGGTCTTCATCTAGTACATAGTCATACTGGCCGTCATCTTCGCGTTCTGCTCGCTGTATCTGGGCTTTCGCCTTAGAAGCCTGCTCCCGCTCCCACTCCTCATGCTCCGTGACAAACTTCTCCTGGCCATACTCGTCTTTTTCGACATATCTCTTGTATAGTGCGTCCTCCTTCTTCTTCCTATCAATCTTTCCTTTTTGTGTGATGTAGTCCTCCGGCATGTAATATCCATCGCGGTGATCATCAATTTTCAACCGCTCTTCTGCGAGCCGAAGGACCTCCCTGTTCTTCGCGAACTCGGCCTTTTCCTTCTCAGACAGCCTAGCGCCACTGCGCAACTCTGCTGTTTCTTCGGCAACTTGTTTCCGTAGCAGAGCCAGACGCTCTGCCTCACGCTTCTTCAGGTAGTCCTGTCGGGAACGTTCTCGGAGATCAGGCAAAGCTTCGTCGCGCGCCTTTGAGTCGTCCGCCAGCTTCCGGCGCCGATCCAAGGCATCCTCGACGACCTTCTTGCTGCTCTTGCCGTCGTCCTTGTCGCGCAGCCTCCTGGCGAAAGCATCACGCTCCTCGCGGTCCCGGCGAGCCTCCTTCTCCGAGTCGTCCAACGGCGTGTCTGAACGGTCGCCATCGTCATGAGACAGCTTGACTCGTTTCGAAGCCGACTCGCGGAACTCTGGCTCCTCAGCTTCTCGAGCCTCCTCCTCGGGGTCTGCTTCCTCGTCGCCCCAGCGATCGTCAAAGTCGTCCTCTTTGCGCCGGTGCCTGTCCCGTCGTCGTTCGCGGTGCTCCGAACGGTGCTTGCGCTCCTTTTTCTTCGAGACCGCCGGCTCGGGGTCGTCCATGGGGACGAAGGCATATTTCTTCGAGCTCATCTTGGCGGTGGGGAACGTGGTAGACGGACGAACAGCGTCTCGATCCCGCCGCCTTGCGTGTCTAGAGTCTACCCTTAGCTACAGAACGTCGAAGCTGTCGTGCGACCAGACAAATTATCGGGCCAATGGGGGCTAGAACTGTGATGCTTGCCGGGGCAGTAGATAAGTACGCCGTCTGGCGAAGACATCTGCAGCGCTTGAAAGTCTCTCGCTAGCAGCGAGCAAGGGGTCTGGAGGTGACCCACAAAAAAGTCGGTTCAAAGAGCAGCGATAAGAGATACGCGACGCACCCTGGCCAGTTAACACGCTGGTATTTTCGCAGTGTAAGGAAGCTTCTATAAGCCACATCCACCTGCGCAAGTGGCCACATTGACAGCACTCGTACAAAGGCACGTTTGTTTCTCTGTTTTCCACCTCGGAGTCGTTCATTACCCTAGCCTGTCCCTTGGTTCTTCTCTTGACTCTCATGGGGCCAATCCCCATTGCAAATTGAACAATACCTCCTGTCTAAGCGATATCGATCCGGGAGTCGAGATGTTCGCTCGAGGGGCAGCACTGCTGCTCCTATTGTGCCTGCTGCAGCTCGTGCTCTGTGCCGAAGACTTTTACAAGGTTGGTACAAGCAATATGGTAGTCCAAGCATGATATCCTAACACATTCAGGTCTTGGGCATAAAAAAGGACGCGACGGATAAGCAAATCAAGTCTGCATACAGACAGCTCAGCAAGAAGTACCATCCTGACAAGAACCCGTACGTACTCACATCTAACCCCCCTTTTCGAGCGTTCCATGTACAGTAGGGGCTAACAATGGTTCAGGGGTGACGAAACGGCCAAAGACAAGTTCGTCGAAGTGTCTGAAGCTTACGAAGCACTGATCGACCCCGAGTCGCGCCGCATCTACGACCAATATGGGTACGAGGGCCTGAAGCAGCGACAGCAGGGCGGCGGTGGCGGCGGCCATCACGACCCCTTCGATCTCTTCAGCCGCTTCTTCGGCGGTGGCGGGCACTTCGGCGGGCACGGGGTGCGCAAGGGCCACAATGCAGAGGTCAAGATCGGCATCTCGCTTCGCGACTTCTACAGCGGGCGCGATACCGAGTTCCAGTGGGAGAAGCAGCAGATCTGCGAGGAGTGCGAGGGCACGGGCTCGCAGGACGGCGTTGTCGAGACGTGCGGCGTGTGCGGCGGCCACGGCATACGTATCGTGAAGCACCAGCTCGCGCCCGGCATGTTCCAGCAGATCCAGACGCAGTGCGACGCTTGCGGCGGACGTGGCAAGACGATCAAGCACAAGTGTCCTGTCTGCGGCGGGCAGAGGGTCGTGAGAAAGCCTACAACCGTCCAAGTTACCATCCCCAAGGGCGCACCAAATGGTGCCCGCCTGGTGTATGAGAACGAGGCCGACGCCAGTCCGGACTATGAAGCTGGCGATCTTGTCGTGATGCTAGTGGAGAAGGACCCCGATATGGAGAATGACAATCCCGACCATGTGGACGGCGCATTCTTCCGCAGGAGAGACAACGACCTGTTCTGGAAGGAAGTTATATCACTGCGGGAGGCTTGGATGGGTGACTGGTCCCGAAATTTGACGCACCTCGACGGACATCTCGTTCGCCTGGGTCGCGAGCGCGGTGAAGTGGTGCAGCCTGGTCATGTCGAAAGAGTTCAGGGCCAAGGCATGCCCAAGTACCACGAGGATGGCGACAGCGTGTACCATACGACTGAATACGGAGATTTATATGTGGAATACGTGGTGATCATACCGGATCAGATGGAGAAGGGCATGGAGAAGGAGTTCTGGTCTGTTTTCCAGAAGTGGCGGGGCAAGGTAGGCGTTGATTTACATAAGGACAGCGGGCGGCCAGATACAGCAGCTGACCATGGGCATACTCATGAGGAGTTATAATGATGTAGCATGATATCAAAAGGAAGAATAGACCAAGTTCCAACAGCTCCAAGAGCATCAACATCAGTACTGACCTGTATCACTGAAGCCCCTGCCCTAAAAATGTTCACTTTCACGTCAGCTGTGCCTCACGATAGGCGGGATCAATACACCAATTAGCACCATATGTATATGTAAATTTTCGTATGTACAAGATGAAGCTGACTGTCAAGCAACTAGGCCGTGACATGCTACATATTTTCTCTTCCGAGCCTCTCCCAATGCAACTGAGCGGGATACGTGCCTTTGCCCGGCCAAATGAAAGTAACCAAACAGCGAACATCAAGAATCGAACTCATCATCCCACAGTAGAGACAGGCAATGTCGGGACTGCTAGAGCCTCTGCATTGATATTGGCCGCCTTAGTCCGAGGTAGGCTCAGGGGCTGGGCTAGAGGTTCCCTTGCCCTTGCCCTTGCCAGTCGGGACGCCTGAGGGGATCGAGAAGCTTCCGGTTGGGCGTCCCTTCCCCTTGCCGGTTCCGGTCGGGATGGGGATCGAAAAGGTGCCAGTTGGGATTCCAGTTGGGAAGCCTCCAGTTGGGCGAGGAGGACGAGATGCGGTGCCGGTAGGATGAGGGATGCTAAGAGTCGGGACTGGGAAGCTGGGGGCTGTGTCTTGTCAATATCTCAACTTGGCGTGAGGTGATGTTCATCATGATCTGATAACGTACCGCCAGACTCCTGCTTCTTGGCCATGCCATTGGGCAGAGCAACGGCAGCGCCAACAAGAGCGAGGGCAACGAGGGAGAACTTCATTTTGTCGGTGAGACGAGATGTTGAATTCGGAAAAGATTGTGAGTTGAGCTTTTACTTGGCGGAAGAAACTGGTGATGAGATGTAAGAAGAAACGACTCTTCACTGAAGGACGGCCAGATTTATAGATAGAATAGCTCTCGATTTAGACATAGACTTTGTCACTTCATCAACGCAAGCAGAGTGAAATCTTGCGTAAGGCTTCAGAGATATTAACTTATATTGACCGCGCAATCTTCTGGGGCGATGAAGTCACAAAGTCGGGCCTTCACCGTCCGGAGGAACTGACTCCAGTCATTATCCCTTACTCGCCAACCGTAGACGTTCCATGAGATTTTTTCATTGGCAAGGAAGTCACAGTTTGTGGATTTCTCCGGATGGATCAACGATTGATGAATGTAGCAGTGGCTCCCTGTTGTGATCCCTACTGTCGATGGCGAAAAAGCCCGAGGACTACGCTCACGGCGATGAGACCCTCTTACATTGCCAAGGACTGTCAAGCTACAGTTACACTGAAACGGAATGTGGGGATAGTGACCGAGACAATATCAAACTGCCGGCGCTAGAATGGAGCTTTAGGAGACAGGTCTAGTAAGTTTCAACCTTACGCTTCGTGAGCATCCACGTCCTACACTAAATCGTGAGTAATCGATGGGTACGAGTAATTCAAACTGGAACAATGTCCATGAATGCGGTACCGATTTGATCCACGTAGGAGAAAGGGGCAAAGTCACGGAATTGAGGCTTATCCAATACTCCAATCCTGACACCAAAGAGCTGTGTCACTGTATTCGTCATCAGGGGAAGAACCCACAGCGTCAGTAACAAGAATAGCACTTGTCCCCATTTTTGTGGATATGCACAAGTGATGGATCAGCTTGTGAAGAAATTTAAGGCGTATCTATCAGAGGGGAATAATGCTTGTATGCAATGTTCCAACGAAACGAAACGATGAAAAATATCTCGCAGAAAGGCGTGATTTAGCTCAGGGGTATTCAATGTCGTTCTGTAAGGACTCTGCGGAGCGGAGGCTGAAGACATTTACCAATGATGGCCGAGATCGACATATAGGAAACATCCAATATACATGGAGATGTCTCTCTCCACCAGTCTCAATGGCGCTCGCTCCTTGGGTCTATATGAAAACGTTGCACGGACAAAACTTACAGGTCAGGACCCCGGAGTCTGAGGTTGAAGGTCGGCAGGCTAAATGCAGGTCCAGTCAATGCTACCAGGATTTCTGCCAGATCAATGCTTGTGTGCTCTGATCTACCAAGGTCGCGGAATGTGGGGAAGGGCAAAGCCAGTCATCTTGGGACATGAGGGCTGATGTCGCCTTAATACCGTGATTACTCCCCGGTAATTGTACAGAATGAGCCGTTAGAAGCAGTTTTGCAACCTCGTCGTTTTCACGGAGGTGAAGAATTGTTGCATTAGACTGGAATTCACACAGTTCAGAGGTGGAAGAATTTTGAGCATAATTTCTGCTCACTGGGAACAATCAATGTCACATGGAATCTGAAGCCCGTTTCTCGCAATGTGTAAGTCGAGATGTTAGAGGGCGTCTGGGCCAGAGAAGATATAATGGGAAGTTTGAACGGTCCAGTGTTTGATTCCCATCAAGGCGTTCGCTGCAAAACCTTAGCAGTGCGTCCGTTAGAAAATACGTGGAGTCTCCCTTCTGCTTTTTGCCCATAGATAAATTTAGTGATTCAGTGATGCGATGGTATTGCGACTGTATTAAGTTGAGGAAGGTAAGGGTGAGGGGCTCCGTAGCTTGCACACGTCACGGCTTGTGACAAATTAAGTGCTGTTCGGGGTACCACACCCGAGTTTATCAAGAAGGGAAACACCGATACCACCACCGGAAAGGAGAAAAGCAACTCCGAGATGAAGAGACGATAATCACGTAATATGGTCTGTAATCTTGTCGGACATAATATGATGAGTACTGTAGAAGAGTTCTTCTTGGCTTTCACCATTGAGGGTGTGAGCCGCTTAACGAGTCAGCACAGTCTCCACAGATTGAGTGGCCGAGACCACCAGGTTGCAGCTTGACATCGTAGCAAATGTATCAAAAGCATAATCTCTACTCCGTATGACTATTATTATGTTGAAATGCTAGACCGGTGCACTGGTCGTAGTAACATGAGCTAAGATGGTGTTCTTCTGCGAAAGCTCAAGAAGAAGCGAGGACGGCAGGAGATTGTGGAAACGAGACTGCTGCCGACTTTACCTTCAACATGAGAGTAGACCACAATATGACAAGTGAAAAGAAGGAGTATCTATTGGACTGATCGCCTTTGAGATACTAGATTGTTGGCTAGTTCAAGCAGGAGTTGGAGGGCCTGATCTGTCTTGAAATCCGCAAACTGGAGAGTCAACAAACCGAAAAATGTGTGGCTGGCGCACTCTAAGCCCTCCCAGATGGCATAAAGCATTGTAGTCGTGAAGCCCATTGAACAATGAATATACATGGCCGGCTGCTTAGCTAGGCTTGCCATGCAATAACCTTACCGTCCATGTGAGTTTTGAGTTTGGAGAAGTGAACCGGAGTTCTCAAGCCATCAAATCGATGTTTGAGTTACGGGCCGTTTGAGGTTACCGAGACGCGGAAAACTTGGCAATAGAACTACGGGTTCATCCCCACCAATATTCACGTTGCTGGATGCGCTAAGACGGGGCTCCACTCGCGGCATCAGTGCAGTGGTTGCAGCAGCTATGACGAAATATCTGGCAGCACCTTGGCCAGGGTGTAAATCTCGAGTGAAGAGCGCTTCAGCCAAGACCTCCGAGATCCTGCTTTGACAAACCTCGAGATACCGATCGAGAGCACAAGCAGACACAGTCACAGTCACAGACACAGACACAGACACAGCGATACCGTGCCACACAAAATAGCCAACTAGCGGTCTGTTCCTGACAGTTGGGGTGGCTGATGCTTACTGAGGGGGAGGGGAGGAGGGAGCTTCTTGACGGAGGGGTTGCACAGCTGAATGGAGGGGCAGTTTTGGTCTCTCTCTCTCCCTCCGTATTTGATTCCGTTAGCTACAGGAGGCTAGAGTAGGTAGAGCAACCTTTGGAAGCAGAAACATCACCTCTCGTCGTCAGCGCCAGGCCACCCTCTCCCAGCCTTGAAAGAGCCTTCGAGGCCGTTCCACTGGCGAGAAGTGGGGAGATGACTGATCACAGGGCTACCTGTTTGTCTCTGCTATGACAGGGTGATTGGGCGCAAACTACACTGTCACTCCCGTGCCTTTCCGTCGCTCTCGGATTGATGAGAGATTCGGCATATGATATTGCTTGCATGCTGCTAAGGGTAGGGCCTGCTAGGTTCTCCACTTCCAACTCTTCTGCCCTATACTTGATCGTCGTAAGGAGGCAGGCTCTGAGCTCTGAGGCAAAGTCGACAGCAGTTTTTTTGGGTCAGATGCTGCATCTGGTGATAAGGGTACACCTGACACAAGACCGAGAGAGCGCAACTGCAGGTCACTATACGACTGCACCGCCGGCTGCGTTTTCCACTGCCACACTGCCAGATACTCTAAACGAAGTGACAAGAAACACTTCACTTCCTTGGAAGTCGTGATGTCTCATGCACTCTGGCATCAGATCGCAGCAGTAGTCGAAGCAGGATTCGTGCCTCTTTCTTGATCAGGAAGAGGAACAGTAGGCCCAAAGAGAGGCCAGAAAAACGGACCCCACCTGTGAAGGGTCTTTTCTTTCTTGCAGATTCCATCGTTTCTCTTCACCTTAGTCACACACACATACGGCGAGCGTAATCTCACGGGCTGACAAGTCAGTCCCAGACTAAAGCGAAGCCGTCTTGACTGGGTGCCGTTTGTGCCGCCGCTAGGAACGGTCCCAACCCTGGGGAGACTTTCCCAACGGCCCCTCCTCAAGTTTCCGTTGTCCCATCAGTTGGTGCCCGGTTGGCGCCCGTTAACGTTGTTAGGCATCATACTGCATAGTACACTGCAGTGTAAGTGTCCCTAGGTGGTAGGTAGGCACGGTAGGATACCGTCATTGCCCTGCCACCCAAAACGGTGGGTGGCCTTGCCTTCCCTCACCCTCCTTCTCCTCCTTGTCCTTGACCTGCCCATCCTACCTAACCCAAGATTGGACCCGTAGACCTGTCACCAGCCCAGCCATCCCAATAATCTCTCCCGTAATATACTACGGCTCAGCCGCTTCTTCTCCCTCCCAAGCTGCGTAACCTCTCCTGTCTTGTGCAAACCTGACGTTTCAGACTCATTTCTCCCGACATTTCTACCCTATAATTCCTGTTAGCACTTTCCAAACTTTCTCTTGAGCGTACGCAACCTATACATCCTAAACGTACGTATTCGTGCGCATCTCCTGCGATGCCCGAAGTCTATAGAGAGTCCCGCTATGTGCGGGAGCGGGACGACCCCTCCTCTGACGACGAGCGGTACAGCACCGTCCGCCGCTACAAAGTAGGCCCCAACAAGGTGGAGAAAGTCGAGCGCATCGAGCGCGAGCGCTACGACGACTACGACGACGACACTCGCTCGCGATACTCGGCCGCCCGTCCCAGCGGCGGCCCGCGAGGCTCCCAAGGCGATCTCCTCGAGGTCGAGCGGCGGGTCGAGCGGGAGCGGCAATACCTGCCTGAGCGACCCCGCTCAGCCTTCGAGCCTGGCCCTCCCCGCAACAGCACCACCGTCGTCAAGCGAGAAGTCATTGAGCGCGACCGTGAGCGGGACCGCGACCGAGACCGCGACTATTACTATGACGACCGCGACCGCGACCGCAGAGGCGGCACCGTGGTCGAGCGGGAGGTCATCAAGCGGGACTCGTCCGACCCCTACGACGGCGATCGGTCTCGCACCCTTGTGTCGCGGGAGGTCATCGAGCGCAACCGCGGCGACGAAGACCGGTACCGAGACCCCCGAGACGACAGAGATCGCTCGCGGACCGTCCTTTACGAGAGGACCAAGGAAGTCGAGCGCGACCGTGACCGTGAGCCACTGTCGGCCCGAGACTGGGACCGCCGGTCCAACGCCCCCTGGGATCGGGATGAGGAGGTGAGGTACGAAAAGGATGTCCGAGTCGAGCGGCGTGTGGACGACCGCCGCGATGATCGTCGCGAGGACCCGTATGGCGAAGTCGAGCACTATCGCAAGGAGACCGAATACTACGAGCCTGCGCCACCTCCGCAGCCTATTGTGATCCGGCAGCGAGCCCCTGAACAGAGAATTATCGTGCAGGAGGCCCCTGCACCACCACCAATTGTTGTTCGCGAAGAAAATCGTGAAGTAGTCCGCCGCGACCCCCGCGAGGATGAGTACTATTACAAGCGTCGCGAAGTCGGCCCCTATAGGGGGGAGAGAGTCGAGGAGGAGTACGCTGTCGAGCGCTATGATCGCCGCGACCGCCGCCGTGAACGACGTCACAGCGACGGCGAGATGTCTGATGATGACTACTATCTGAAGCGTACTGTCATCCGCAAGGACCGTAGCCGCAGCCCCGATGAGCATCGCAAACTACATCTTGCTGAAGGTGCCCTGGCAGGAGCCGGTATTGCCGCTCTTGCCGCCTCTCGCCGCAACGGCGAAGGTGATTTCCAGGAGCATCGGGGTCGCAAGGTGCTGGCTGGCGCCGCCCTTGGTGCTCTGGGCACAGAGGTCGTCAAGCGTGCCCGTAGCGCCTACCAGGACCGCTTTGGGGAGGACGAAGACCATGTTTCCCCCGAGCGCCACTCCAAACTCAAGACCGGCCTGGGCATTGCAGCTGCTGCTCTCGCCGTGGCTGGTGCTGCTAAGTACTACCAGTCGAACAAGGTCGAGAAGGAGGAGATGTACCGTGGACGTAGCCGGCACCGTGGAGGGTACTCTTCCGAGGAGTACAGTGTAAGTCGTTCGCGAAGCCGAAAGCGCAGCCGATCACGCGCCGGAAGCATCGCCAAGGCCGGAGCGGCCACAGCTGCGGTGGCCGGACTGGTGCAGCACTTCCGCTCCAAGTCTCGTGGAGGCAGCAAGTCGCGGTCACGCAGCCGGCTGCGAACCGGCGCGGAGATTGTGGCCGCCGGACTGGCTGGCGCCGCGGGTAAGAAGCTGTACGACCGGCACAAGGACAAGAAGGAGGACCAGCGCGAGCGCGAGCTCGAGGAAGATGAGTACTACGACAGAGAGCGCCGGCGGTCGCGGTCGCGCAGCAGGTCCGTCGCGCGAGCCCCTTACCCAAATCCCGGCACCGCTGATCCTGAGCTAGGCTTGGTTGAGTACGGCGCTCAGCCCCTGTACACAGAGCCGCCGTACCCAGAGTACGCGTACGGAGCGGCGGGGGCTAGGGACGGGTACGAGTCCGCAGCCGAGGAGGGTCGGAGACACCGGAGGCATAGGCATCGGTCGAGCTCGCGAGATAGGGTTTCTGTGTCGAGTGATAATGATAGACAGGAAGCTAAGAAGAAGAGAAGTCGAAGTCGCCTCAGAGACCTGGCAACAGGCGCCGCGGCAGCTGGAGCTGCAGCCATTGGGCTCAAGAAGTATGGCGAGAGTAAGGAGAAAAAGGGGCGGGAGCGGGAGCGGGAGTCTAGGGAGAGGGACGATAGAGATCGTGAGCGCGACCGTGATCGTGAACGTGATCGAGATCGAGAGCGGGACCGCGAACGCAGAGATAGGGACCGTGAACGTAGACGTGAGTAACCCATTCCTGTGTAATTATCACTCCTGCTATCATGAGCTGTATTTACTGACGTTTCGGATCAGGCTATGAGGAAGAGACAGCCGCCGATTATGACGATGCCTACGATGCTCAGCGACCGCCTTCTCCTCCTCATGCGTCTGGCGGTGCCTACTATCCCCCTCCCCCTGCTGCACCTGCGGCGCCCCCTGCTGCCGCTGCCCCTTATGGTGCCGGATTTACACAACATCCTAACATTGCAACTACCAATCTGAACGAAGGATATCAACCATATCACCCTGCCGACTACACCGGCTACCCACCGCCGCCGCCCGGACCTCCACCGAGTCACCCGCAGACGCCTACGGGATTTCCCCCGCCGCCAACCGGTGGGCATGCTGCGGGCGATAATGTGAGTCAAGTTCCTCCCAGTGCCACCACGAGAAACTTAAACGGTCGCTCCGACCGTCGTGACGAGGGTGCGTCTGATCTCGGTGCTGCCCCTCCTTTGCCTCCATAGCCGCCTCGGGCAGAGGAAGCACGCTCGGTCTAGCCCAGCCCGTCTCCTATCGACTCTTTGCTGACATGGTTCATATAGATGGTGTAAACCCTTCTTCGAGCCGGGCTGTCCCCCGTCCACGCTCTCCATCTCCGTCTGATTCCGATACGGTTATTGAGAAGCCCACTGAGTCTCATGTCCAATTCATTCCTCTTTCGCCGCAATCGTCAAGGACGCTGCGCCAGCTTCATAGGGAGCAGCAAGCGAAAGAGTCTGAAGAGTCCCCCCGAGATGTAGACGATGACGACGCCAATGACAGGCAAGTTGTCTCTACAAGGTCTCGCCGGCGACGAAACTCAGATCCATCTTCGGACCGACCACTCGTATCCCGCCGTCGGCGGACGGCCGTCTCGGACGACGACGAAGATGAGGAGGAAGTGATTGAGGTTCTTCCTGACCGTTTTGACTCCCAGGGCAAGCCCCTTGACGCGCGTGGCAGGCGCATTCCGCAGTGGACGTCGCGCCAGGGGGACTTTGAGTACCGTAGCCCCAAGGGTCAACAGGGGTGGAACGCGAGGGGCCAATGGGCCGTGGCCGGCACGGATGGCGAGGCAGTCGAGAAGATTGTTGAAGATCTCCAGGGTGTTTTGGCGGGTAGGCGTAGCAGCTGGCTGGGGCTGGCAAGGGATATCTTAGGCGGTGGGCTTCTCCAACAAGGCGGTGCTTCGGAAGGCAATGGTGGCGGTGGTGGTGAAGGGAGGCGACGGATCGAGCGTGATGCCTATGATGACGGTGAGGACGACTACGACGACGGCCAGCGGAGGAGACGGAGAAGGAAAAGGAGGGACACGTTTCCGGATTGAGCTTCATGACTTTATGACTGGCCCATGTCTTCCCATCTCAGCATTTCTTCTTAGTTTTACGTCTACTCATGTTTAGATGATTCATGTTGTCTGATTATCTCATTGGATGGACTGATGAATGTTACGGGCTCGATAGGAGGGTTATTTCATTACAATTCTCTCTACTGCTGGTGGCTCTCTGATCAGGGTTGGGTTTCGGAAGGCGTCCTTCCAGACTTGTACTTCTCTTCACTAGAAAAGCAAGTGCTTCACTTCAGCAGTGGGAAAGGCATTTTTGATATCAGAAATCTACATCACGATCACGGCTTACACGTTACGATTACGACTTACGACTATATTTTTCCTATGCCGAAATGGGTCAAAGCAATGCTTGTGGTGGTGGTAGCGTATCACGCGCTCAAATATAATTGCTGGTCATGCATGACACTGCGTCCTTGGGACATTGCTACTTGTTGGTGAATCTTGAAAAGTGACCTCGAACGTGTGTACCTCTTCTCAGATCATTGAATATCTTGATGTGTCTCGGGAGATCGACATGTCATTGACAGTTGGCTCACCCATCTCGGGAGTTGACTGGTCAATAATTAGAGGGCGCGCAACTCAACTCGGCTCGGCACCACCGCAGATGGAAGGCATGGCCCTAGGTACGTCACAGTCGACTGACGATGCTTCAGCTGGCCCAGGATATCTATCGATGATCAGTCAAATAGTCCCGGACCAGCTATGTCTTGGACCATCATCTGGGAGATCGATACACACGACACGGCCTGTGCGCATGGGCAGTGCTGGATGTAGAAAGAGCCCAAATCTGGTGGCGCCGGCAGCCATGAACTGTGGGTTCTAGACCCTCGACTGCGAACTGCGAACTGCTCCTAGTGGCCGGAGCACTGACAGGTTTGGAGGCTCAGCCACGCCAACTACCGCCTGCAAGCCGCAAATAGCCACTGTCGCGCGTGGAGCAGAGGAGGGGATATTGATCAGTCACATGGGAGAGAGGGACCGGTACACGGCCAAAATGTTGTGAAAGAAGCAATGATGATGATGTTGTGTCTAGGGCTCATGGAGGAGGGGGGTTCGGGATCTCCACCCAATCTGCCTTGTCTATTGAGACTATCCACACTGCTATAGATGCAGTACATGTACAGTACACCGTTCTTTACTTGCTGCCCCTGGATAGCAATCGGCAGCGGAGTTTCGAAACCTTCGGCTCGGAGGTGTGGAGTAGTGGGGATTCTCTCTTGTGTGTCTCTCTCTCAGCCAACACACGGCTTTTCAGCTCTTCTTCAGCAGGATTCCGACAATACCCATGTCCAGCGCAAACCCCCAGATGATCGATGAGATCGTCCCAAGTCGCGGCGGGGAAGAAGGCATATGCTTGGTAAGTCGATAATGTGAGTTGAAACAATAGGGCGAGCCGGCGGTCCTCCGGGCCATGAGGAACTTACTGCATAGTATTACATGATGCAAGGCTGCCAATCTGTAGTAGGTAGGAGGGTAGGAGGTAGGTACTGTACAAAGCCCAAGTACGGTTCATAGACAACTCCCCTATCGACCCTGCAGTCATTCAATGGTTGATCCGAAGACCCTGGAGCGGGATGATAGGTGCTCCGGGAATTGAGGTAGCTTGGTGCGAGTAAGCCGGCCCTCGGGCCTTTAGGTACTGGAGATACGGCGTACTACGCTGTGTATCCGTAGTCATGATTCATTCAACATGCCGCATTCGATGACACCCACTTCACGATCCCCATGCTGGCCAGATTGCGACCCTGAATCGCCAATGAGAGGGATGCCCCGGGCAATGTGCACGGGACGAGTCTACTATGCGCAGCATGTGCCTCTTGCCGAACAACCCGGGTGCCCAGTTCCCAGCACGCAAGACGCAAAGCGACCCCTACTACTACTCAGTATGCAGTAGCTCGCAATGATGCCAGACATAGTGCAGACGACGCTATCTGGGCGCTGCCCTCTCATTAGCCCGTCGCGGTGGGTATCGGGTATCTAATCAATTTAGATCTCCCCAAAGGCCCGTACTAAGGGCAGCTACTGAGAATGAACGGGTAGAGGATATCTTAGGGCAGGATCTTCTCTGCTGGGCAGATCAGGGTCCTCCTCGGCGCTGTCTCCCCTTGCCTCCGAGCGGCCTTCTGCTCTACTATGCAGTATACTGTATACCTAGGGAGACAGGCTCGGAACTGCCCCTGTGCCCTGCTTTTCACCTCAGTCCCATCCTTGGCAGCGCCGCCATTCTTGCTCGCTCCTGGTCCCTCATTAGCATCCATCTCGTCGCTCACAAGTATGAGCGATTTGAATTAGCATTGGAATTGGCTATCGGATCTTCCCCCGTTACGGTCCCTTATCCTGTGCCGCTCCCGTGCTAGACTGGATTATGAATCATTATCTGCCCAAGGTACCTCTAGGCCAGCTTCGGTGCCGATAATCGTTACGCGGCTCACCCCGACCACCGGGTAGTATCTCTTCTCCTGAACCATCTCTAGACGTCCCGCAATATGGGAACCTGAAGAGGACACTTCCTAGTGCTTGCCATTCTACACGCGCCCGTGTCGTTCACCCCGGGCAACATCGTCAGCTAGGAAGAGCGGCGAGCGGCACATACCCCCTTATCAGAAAGCTCCGGATCGCCACAAATCTCCGGCGCCTTTCACGTTTGGTACCTAGCATAGACCGCCGAGGCTGCGGTCACCAGCCAGCAGGATGGTTGAGCATCATCGTCCTGTCCAGACCAGCGCCGTGTATATACTCGGAGCGGCGCAGTTCCCTGCCATCCCGCCACCATCACCGCCATCCCCGGTCACCCCCGAGGCGTCGGAGCTATGCACACCCATAGAGGCTTTGGATCTGGACCAAGCAGGTCCCGCCGAGGACTTGGAAGAAGAAGAAGAAGAAGGAGAGATCCCCGAGTATGATGAGAGGTTGGCAGGTGCTATCCACGTACTCAGTACCGAAGCCACGGCGCTGCAGTCCCTGACAAGCCTCTATGCAACCGACCGGACTGTTAGAGATGGCTTCAACAAAGCGGTAGAGGCCATCACTCGGCACCAGGGGGACAGGGGGAAGCTTGTTGTCGTCGGCGTGGGCAAGTCCGGCCACATAGCGAAGAAGCTGGTCGCGACATTCAACAGCTTGGCTATCCACGCCAACTTTCTTCATCCGACCGAGGCTCTGCACGGCGACCTGGGCCAGATCGGCCGGCACGACACGATCATGTTCATCACCTTCTCCGGCAAGACGCCGGAGCTGCTCACGCTCCTACCGCACATTGATAGGTCGCTGCCCTTGATCGTCCTCACGTCCCACACCCGGCCCGAAGCATGCGAGCTGGTGAGACAGCGCCCGGACATCATTCTCCTGCCGGCGCCGATCCACGAGCCCGAGACTGTCTCGTTCGGCGTCTCGGCGCCCACCACCTCGACGACCATGGCGCTTGCCGTCGGCGACGCCCTGGCCATCGTCGCGTCGCGCGAGATCCACCCCAGCGTGTGCTCCGTGTTCGCCAAGAACCACCCGGGCGGCGCCATCGGCGCGGCCTTCAAGAAGCCGCAGACAGTCAAGGAGCTCGCCGTGTCGTGGCACGACATCCCCTGCGTCGGCGGCGGCGGCGCCAAGGCCAAGGCCAAGGGCAAGCGGCCGGGGCCGGTCACGGCGGGCGACGTGCTCAAGGCCGGGTACGCCTCGGAGACGGGCTGGGTGCGCGTGCACGACGAGGAGGTCGTGTCGCCGCGGCGCATGCAGCGGCTGAGCGCGTCGGAGCTCGCGCGGCCCCTCGACGAGCTGCCGTGGCTGGCGGTCGGGCGGCGCAACTTCATCTCGCTCTGCTCGAGCACGCGGCCCCAGCGCGCGCTCGACTGGATCCAGAGCATCCAGCTGTCCGGCGAGGACGGCGAGGACGCGTGCGATGCGGACTCGATCATTGCGGTGCTGGAGAAGGGCGAGATCGTCGGCGTGCTGGAGGTTGCGCAGCTGCTGGAGGCGAATCTGGCATGAGCACGGGGGAGGGGAAAGGGCAATGACAGACCAGACAGTATGATGATGACGAGCAGGACATTTGCATTATGGCTTCTGACCGGAAGCTCTAAAATGGAAGGCCTTTTTTTTTTTTCTCATTTTCGAATTATTCAACATCGCATTGGCGTTCAAAGGCGCGAAAGGGGACCATTTTGGGTACAGAACTGTGCGAGCCATGAAGCTCTGCTTGGATAGATTCATAGATTTATTGGACATTAATTATTGATGTGGTGAAATGGTATCTATACGAGACTGTATCCGAATCTTCGTGTCTATGAGCCTAAGATCCCATGCTTTTCCCAACAAAATCCTATGGAAGTACCTCCTGGAGTGGCATGAAATAGTACCCATGTGAATATGAAAATGGTACATCTGGTCGTAAACATGTAGCGCCCTGGGCTATTCAGTCGCTTTCGCTTTCACTTTCTTCAGCGTCGGAATCCTCCTCGTCGGTGTCGACCTCTGACCCAGATTCGGCATCAGACCCCGAGGAAGACGATGAGGAGCTACTAGAGGATGTTTCGACTTCGCCCTGAACGGGCGCCATATCCATCTCATCATCCGAGTCCCCAGAAGAACTGCTACTGCTGCTACTGCTCTCATCAGAGTCAGATTCCGAATCAGAGTCTGATGAGCTGCTGTCATCATCAGCAGTCCGCAGCTTTCGCTTCCGACGGATGCTTCGCTGTGATCCGTCGTTCAGCTTAACTCTCTTCTCAGTGGCGTTGTCGCCGGTCTCCTGACTGGACGACTCAGTGGCAGTCGTGCTTGCACCTGTTGATGTTGAGCTCTCTCCAGCGTCTGACAGCTCGTCGACCACCATTTCTGCGCGCATGCGCTTCAACACTCTACGCTTCACGTCGTCGTCTGCCGTGCGCATAACAAAGTCGACCTCGTCAAAGCTCGCCGAACTGCCATTGTCTCTCTGCTGTTGCAATAGTCTGCCGAGGATCTCGTCGTATTGCTGTTGCTTGCCCGCCTTGTCCTCCGCACTGCCTGGAAACCCCCCCGGCCCTTCCTCCATGTCCTTTTTCTTGATCTCCTCGGCCGTTTCGCGCAATCTCGTCCTCACGAAGCCTTTGAGGTCACGGATGTATGCGTAGAACGACCTGATGTCGGCCGAGGGGACTGAACTGGGGTCGAAGGCGTATTTGATTAGCAAGGTCTGGTGGTTCTTGTTGAACTTCCACGTCTCTCGGGAAGTCCTCCACTGTCTTAGATACGCCAATGCTGGCTCAAGACTGAATCCTTCCACAGGGGTAGTACGGGCGTTGCCTGTCTTTGGCCTTTTCGCCTTCTTCTTTTTCTTCTTCTCGGCGCTTGCGACGTTTGTACTGGCCTTCGCAGGCTCCTCAGACGGTTTGGTGTCGTCGGTGAAGGTGACCGACTTCTGCTTCCTCAATGACGGCGACGATGTCACCTGGGGTTCGTCCTTGCGGAGTCTCTTGCTGGCACCTCGGTCGGGGGTAGGGTAGGAGGCCGAGGGGATTTGTTTCCTTTTGTTGAGGCTAGATGGAGGTGCAGCATAGGAATTGGGCCGCTGGGGAGACGCAACCTGATTTGCATGAGCGGGATGTTGCGGCGCCGCAGGGCTTCCATCAGATGCAGCTCCCTTGAGCTTGAGGCCCAATCGTTTCCAGGCCGGGACTCGCTGCGCTGGCGCGCCCTGGGTGGTGGCAGACATGACCAGACCGGACCACCAGATAGACAAGTCTCGAGAGGGCGGAAAAGAAGTCAAACAATTTTGCTATATGATCCTAGGCAAGTCTTATGGAAAAAGAGGGACTGAAACTTGGTTTCTCGAATCTCAGACGTAGTGGGAAAAGAGCGGCACAATTGGCGGTGCTAATAGGCTGGGCAGGCGGAGCACAGGGAGAGTCCCTCTTTACATGCAGCAATATTGAAGCCCGATCAATGAATTCTGAGATCGCCTCAGTTTTTTTTCTTGTTTGCTACAGTAGGAAAAGGGTCTTATCGTAGCGCGGGGCCGGGGGTATGGTCACTGATAAGCAGCAAGGGCGATGTGGTACTCTGTAGGTGCAATCTGGCTGCTGACATAAGGCATTGCCTTTGAAATGGAAGCACTGACCATGCCATTGACGCCTCAGGCTTCAGCTAGGTCCAGCCTTCCTCCAGGCAAGCTCCTGCAACGCGTCGATCTGAGGGAGCTTCATCACCAAACGACGAAGCTGGCCTCTGCCTTGTGACGACCTCTCCACGAACAACACCATACTCCATTCCCGAGCATTATCAACCAAGGACATAAGTCCATCTTCTTCATTGACGACTGACAAGCTTATTTTCGCCCAGAGCCGCTTACCAAGATGTCGGGTACGTTGCATTCCGCCCAGAGCTCAGCTCTCACGGCGCTGCCGGTGCGCATGCAGCAGCAACAGCTAACAATCCATCTCAAACAGGCAGCGCAGGATTCGACAGACACATCACAATCTTCTCCGAGCAGGGAAGATTGTACCAAGTCGGTATGGACTCTCCTAACCCTAGATAGGACTCCGTTCGAGCTTCGGACCGACTAGCATCTCGATATGTCGGCTTTGGCAACGATGGTTTTGTGATGATACGGGACAATATTGAGCATGCTGACAGCTGGGATTTATGACAGAATATGCATTCAAGGCCATCACAGCTGCCAATATCATGTCAATAGGTGTGCGAGGCAAGGATTGTGCCGTCGTCCTATCCCAAAAGAAGGTCCCTGTATGCAAACCCCTTCCTCTGGGTCGCACCCCTGGCCAGAGCTGACCCGACAATCAGGATAAACTTATCGATCCGTCATCCGTATCACACATCTTCCAGCTGTCACCGTCCGTTGGCTGCGTCATGACCGGCTCTATTGCAGATGCGCGCGCATTCGCCCAGCGCGCACAGGGAGAGGCGGCTGAGTTCAAGTACAAGTATGGTTACGAGATGCCGTGTGACGCCTTGGCCAAGCGGCTCGCCAACATCAGCCAGGTCTACACCCAAAAGGTAAGATGATGACACAGCCACGATCATGCATGTGCTGCCGTTATGCTGACCGTGCTGCTCAGGCGTACATGCGGCCTTACGGCGTGGCAACAACCTTAATATCGGTCGACTCTGAGTTTGGACCCCAACTCTTCAAGTGCGACCCGGCGGGCTACTACATTGGCTACAAGGGTACTGCTGCCGGGCCGAAGCAGCAGGAGGCGCTCAACCACCTCGAGAAGAAGCTCAAGAATAAGGATCACGCAGAGGGTTCTTGGGAAGAAGTTGTCGAGCTAGCAATCACGACTCTGAGCACCGTGCTCAGCATGGACTTCAAGAAGACCGAGATCGAAATCGGTATCGTGGGTGGCCCGCGCGCGGACGGCAGAGAAGGTACAGATCCTAGCTTCAGGACGTTGACAGAGGAGGAGATCGACGAGCGATTACAAGCCATCGCCGAGAAGGACTAGTGTGGGGGAAGATGTTGAGAGGTCGCGCTGGCCAGTGGTCGGTGCGTCCGAGAGACCGGCTTCCAAGAGGCATCATTCGCTGGTGGCGCCTTGGGGGCTCAATCTTAAGGGGCACGAGGGGGATGATTTGGGGTATTCAGAGACAAGGGAGGTGAGGTTCAATATCCCAACAACTCGTGCTCCTTGTGTGTTATTAGCCATCCTACCAATCGTCTTTAGAAATCAAAAGAGGAACGGGTTAACACCGGCCAGACCCGGAGCCAATGAAACAATCAAGCGAAGATTCATCTAAGCCATCCGTGGCTTTAGCTGACGGCTGAAGACGGTCTGAACCCCATCGGAAACCATGGGTGTGGCTTCGGACCGTCAAGCAAGCACGGTGTGATCACTGTTATGTGTCCTGACAGATTTGGAGACAGCGGGGAGGGCAGATCGTTGGCTGATCATCATGAGCCAAGCTCGCCCAATGAAGCTTTCACGGCATCCAAGTGGATGGCCTTGCTCGGAGTGCCACAACGGTCGCGATACACAAGAGACTACGGCAAGGTGACAGCCAGTTCCTATAGGGCGACCACTGGGATTGCGACAAGGAAGCCATTTGAGACAAGCCGACGGGATGGCGAGGTGGACGTGGTGGACGAGGTCCAATACATGGCGTACGCTCTGAAACCGGCAGGGCAATGATCGATGCCAATCTCCTTGCGTCATGCAGGCCCTCTTTTCGGGCCTGCCTGCACGTCTGTTTGCTCCCAGGGGACTGGTTGAGGCACATGAGATGAAAGTGGGTAAGGCTTCTGCAGGAGCTCAGCCTGCGGTAAGCCTGGGAGCTAGGAGGGAGGGAGGGAGGGAGAGAGAGACCTGGAGGGACTTTGATGCCCTGGGCACTCACTCACTCATTCTACGCAATGCTGTTCGTCAGTTGACTCATGGGACTTTTCTCCCGCCTCTCCACCGAGCCTACCTACTCCATGCCCGTGCTGTGGTACTGCTGGTGCTGGTGCTGGTGCTCCTGTGCTCCTGCGTCCTCCGTCCGTTGGTGCCCTCAATTTTTTTCCTTCTCCAGTCCAGTGGTGGTGGAGTACAGAATATGCTGGTCGTTGCTAACTAAGGCAGGCCCGTAGTAGGGCGCAAGGCAAGTTGAAGAACCTAATGCGGGTGAGGGTTCTAAAATATCGATTCAGCTCAGCCGAAAACGTGGGCAACGTCCAGGCGGCTGCGATTATTGGCTGAGCCACACAAGCTGCCTCCACCACCCACTGGCGGAAACCCTTGTCCGGCGCACCCTCTGCTTACTGGATTGGGCAGCTAGTGTGTCTGCGAGGCCGCTGAAAAGTCGCCTACCGAGGGCTATCCAGGGCTACCCAGGGCTACCCAGGGCTACCATACCGCATTGCGTGCCCCTGTCAAGTCCACCACCCCCCTTCCCCCAGCGCCGTCGCAAGCCACCAAAGAGGCTCTTCTCCCTCTCTGCCCTCTCTCATCCAGCCGAGCTCTCATGACCCGATCGTGAGCTATCATTTGCCGTGTCTGCTAACTCACTAACCACCAAACTAGACAGACGTGCCCAGGGCAGGAAATGCCAAGGGTGGAGATGCCCCGTGCCTGCAGCGAGCTGCACTGCAACTAAGTTCTACCTGGGTACGTACGCAGTAGGTAGGCAGGTATAGTACTATAGTACTACGTATGTAAGTCAAGTGCCCTCGATGGATATGGAGCTTCATGTTTGTACAGTACCTACATGTCGTCGCCGTACCCATAGGACTGTCGCATCGCTCCATGCACACTGCCAGGCCCCCTGCCGACTGATGGGATCATGATCGATGGTTCCCAGCTTGTCCAGGTTATGCTAGCTTTCCGCTCGCAACATCCACAAAGGCCCAGGGCGCGGCTAATATCTCCGATTTGATAGAACATGCCATCAGCGTGCATGCCTTGGTGGCAGCTGACGATGTAGTCAACCTTACCACTGCAGTCCTGGTGGCTGCTAGGGCCGTGGCAGGGTACAACCGGCCGAGTATTCGCGTAGCTCTACTTGAACCTTTACCTTGGAGGTAGTTCTACCGTGACGACTTCCATTCCTTTGACAACTTGACTCTTTTGTCTATGCCAAAAAGGCTCGTGCTGGTTTCCTCCTTTGCGGCCAACCTCCTCCCTCCTCCTTACAACTACTCCTACTCCTAATCATCCTCCACCGGCCGCGGGCTGCGACGACCTTGTACAAAAGGGTTGTAGGCTCGCTGTTCCGAAGCCATCATGAGCCCGTCGAGGAGGCAACAGAACCGCCAATCTTTCCTTTCCAGCCTTGTCATGCAGTTGCCGAATTAGGCCTTTCCTTTTTGTGCAGTAGACCTTTCCGTTTCGCAACTCCCTATCTAATTCCCGGTGGTGTCTGTTGCGATAAGTCTTCTCCAATTTCGAATTCGACTTCCTAGTTTCACTTACACTTTTCCAAACCATGGATGGACGTACGTATTACCCGATGCACTTTGTTTGATATACAATAGCGAAGTGGTCACCGCCTTTGGACATCACTAACACCAACCCAGTCAACGAGTACAGAACAGCACGGGTTGCAGAAGTCCTCTCCGATTTCCAGAACATACAATACTACATCGCCGCCGCTCCTGTAGACCCATTAAACATGGACGACTATTACACAGAAGGATGGGCAGCCCTACGACAATGTAATCTTGACGGCCAGCACATTCTGAACTGCGGTGCGGACACAAGCGTACCGCAGGCACGAGGCGGCCCGGAGGAACAGACAAAAGCAGAACTGCAGCAGTTCGTGATAAGCCCCCTGACAACTCGACAGTGCTTCTGTGGAACTGACAATCGCCCAAAAAGAGTCCTGCTTGATGCCTTTGCTCGACGGCACGAAGCCCAAAAGATCTACCTCCGACAAGCGGCAGCGCAGAGATGGGTTGACTATCGGGAGCAAGTCCTCAACGGGGGCCGACCACACTCTGGCAACCAGTCGCAGCTGCGGCAGATAGACCAGCAATTACGAGCAGTGCGTATTCGTCTCTTTGTCTCTCTCTCCCTCTTCGTTTTCTCATCTCGTCTTCCCTGTTGTTCACCCGGCCCTAAAACAAAACCACCAAAAAAAGTGCTCGTCAGACTCCGATGATGAGTGCCGCTAACCCGCGCGACGGAGGGTCCCGCCACGGCGGCTCCGAGAGCTTTCGAAACTGACAGAACCGCATTAGGAGCTCCAGACTATTACCGATGAAGCCATCTACTCCGAACTGCAGTCGTCCGACAGAGCAATGGGCCGCTGGACGGCCGAGGACCCGAGCATGCGTAGCGTGCAGCGCTGGGTCCGCGCAAGGCGCTAGAGACTCGTAGACACCGACGTCAGGGCTGGAACCTCGCACTAGCATACGAGCCGTCTCCTTGCTCTGGGGAGACTAATTGACGGGACAGAGATATTGGCTCGTCGTCTTCTTCTTCTTCTTCTCCTTCGTCTCGTGGGAGAAGTGAGACACCGCGTGGGAGACATTTTTGGATGGGATGGTTGGATAGGACGGACGCATGGATACCCCCTACTTGCTACGGAGCAACTGGAATGGAAATGGAATTGGAATGAGGGACGTCGTTCCCGAGCGAATCTAAAGATACCACTACACCACCACTACTACTACTACTGCCACCCAAACGGAAAGACAGAGAGATCGAAAATCAAGAAGACATAGGCACGAAACACACGAAACAGACAAGAGACACACCGGCGGCGTACTGGGACGGAAATAAAAGCGTGGACTTTCTTTTCTTCTACGTCACTGCCCCCTTCTCCTTGGGAGGTTCCACTTCACTTCACTTATACATATCACACCCCTCCCTTTCACTGTATATATTGCTACTGTGCCGCGCCAGGATGCGCGCTGTTTTTTTCTTCTGCGGAATCTCTTCGCGCATGCGCAAGTCGCCTTGGCCTTGCGAGGGACAAGGCAGAAACGGGTGGGAGTTGGGATGCTAACAAGAACGAGATCTAACCACCAAAGCAGAAAGAGAGAGTCAAGCACTCATAGATCGAGCTGCCTGGAGCAGAGCGGATTGAACTGCATAGCGCTGGGAAATGATGGATGAACGGTGGTATGGTATACTTCCTATACTACTAATACTAAAATATACAACATATTGATACATCTATGGTCTATGAAGCGTAATCGTGCCAATGGGAGTTGTCTTGATAGCACAACAAGACAGCCCTACGACGCACTGCCTTGGTGGGAACTCCCATTCCAGTAACACAAGCCATTCTTCATGTCGACTTGCTCTGTACGCACAAGGCAATGCCACTTATCGAAAGGATCATGCCCATAAGTGTGTCTAGTATCAGGAGGTCAGTTCGGCCAAGCCGGTGGGCCACCAGGAATGGGGCCGGGAAGGCGAGGGGGATGGCGTACTGCGACTAATGACCTTCTTCTCAACCCACCACTCGCCCACGACCGTGAACAGGAACGCCAGCGTGTTCACGATGGGCACGGTCAAGCTCAGCTCTGCGACCCGGTCTCGTTAGCAATGTGCCCCTATCTCCTCTTTGGTTTGGGTGTCAGTATGCGGCTCCATTCGGAGTGCGTCGCCGGCGTTTGATGCACCGGCACACCACCAGCACCAGCCAAGGCAGACACATTGTCATGTTTGGTGGACGGTGAAGCAGGCTGCGACATGACGAGCGAGCCGCACATAGCATGGCATGGCGTGGCATGGCATGGCAGAACACAGCAGGACAGAAGCAAAGGAAACCACCACTCACCAGCCTTGCCGATCAGCAGGAAGAACCACACGCTGCCGGTCAGGTTCAGCAGCAGCGGGACGGCATAGCGCGGGTTCCGCAGCAGGTCGACGACGGCGAAGAAGGCGCCGTAGGCCCTGGCCCTGAGCCAGCTGGCCCGGACGGCCGGCGAGTCGAGCAGCGGGTGCGGCGGGGGCCGGTGGTCCTTTGCGGCGCGGCGGATGAAGGGCGTGGTGAGGCCCCAGGCCATGCCGACCATGAGGAACCCTGCGATGTAGTTGAGCGGCCCGGGCTGCTGCTCTGCGGCTGAGGAGGCGGAGGCCATCTTCTGTGCCTTGCTTGTGTGTGCGAGAGGGAAGTGCGTGCTCTCGTGACTGACTCTCGCCAAGTAGGTACTATGCAGTAGGCAGGTGGATTGGTAGCTATTGCGAGGTAGCCAGCCAAGTCAAAGCCGCGCTGGGTTGGCTGGACTATTGAGCAATAGATCGATCAGGCGAGGCGAACATACCATACCACACCAGACTGCTGCACGACACTAAACCACCTAGCACGAGAGGTACAGTACTGCGTACAGTAGAGTACCTAACAGCGCAGCGAAGTGAGTAGACGAGGCAAAGAGGCTACGAGGTTGTTGCTGCAGGAGATCGGACAACGTGTGCGAGGGCTGCTTATCTGCAGCAGCCTTCAGCCTTATGATGCAAGTTAGGTTGGTTGTTTGTGGTGGAGGCACTCCGTTGAGAGGCGTTTTCTCATGTATGTCTATGTCGGTAGGCGTCTAAATCTGACGGCGGGATGGTGCGATGCGATGCGATGCGATGGGGGCGGATCCCGATACGGTGGCTCGGTGGCTCTCTTCAGGGTGCGAGGAAAGGACAACACAGCCGCGATGCTGCACTGACTGTGCTGTACTGTACGCTGTCCTCCGTAATGTCCGCCACGGCACTGAGAGCAATGTGGCTCGAGCGCCTGAAGCTGTCTTAAGGCTCTATGAGATTTATGTGGATCTGCTGGCCTGGGGAGCTCTTCAGATTGGGTGCTAATTAAGGCAGCTTACCTTAGAGCTTACCTGCCTGGTATGCTGCTGGTCTGTGCAGAGCTTGGTGCGACAGTGCCCTAATGACTCCCGTCCCTAAGACTAAGGTACCGGTACCCTTCAGCCGGGTCCGTCGTTCTTAATACATCTCAACTATTACTTTACCCTGTGTCACTCAAGAGACGTCACTTCGCCCTCTTGACGACATCAACCTCTTCAATCCTCGTCGATATTGTCTGCAGCAAAGCCTCACTTGATGCAGCTACGCTCGGACATCCCGCGCGATGATGCATCCATGTAGATGATGCACTCGGATGCGAGTCTCCTGTTCCACGAGGTGACAGCGTATCACTTAGCCCCTGCCAACCAGCCCATAATACGCCAGAGATGCCTTCAACGTGATGAAATACATCTGCCTACCAATAAAAAGTCGGTGCTACAATATGCACTTTGATGCACTTGAGCCTCAAACATCAAGAGAGAGAAAAGCGTCTGCCTGGCCGCGATGTCTGGCCTGGTTAGCACTCTTCAGCCGCACGTCATCTAACGACCAGTTCGACTAGCCTGCTACCACATGGCTGGCGGATTGCCTCATTGGGAACAACCTGTATGCCAGACTTGGATCGAATATCGCCCATTGCTACCTCAGACCACCACACCTCATGACACGTTGGCGCAGTCTTGCTCAGCATGTCGTTCGCCCGGCCAGCCTTAGCAGATACTTAGATATGAAGTCCTCGACTATGATGATATATCTCGTATCCGTTCCAATGAGGTTCGATGAGGCATCATGGTTTAAGGAGCACGAGCTTTATTTGCAGCCTCGTTTTATGAGCTTTGATCGCTTCATGGAAGCCTGATGACATGCTTGAAATCATGATACGACGAGATGGATGGTAAGGTCGAGGCACTATCGACGACCACTAGCTGTGTCAAATCTCCCTGGTTGGCAATACTATCCCGCAAGAGACTGTTCGACTGCATTGGGCCAGAAGACTTGTCCGGCATTGTGTGCCCGCTGGTCTGGGCAGCCGTTCAGATAGTCACAGGGACTATCTAGAGAGGGGCTCTGCCAGAAGCCAACTCGAGTTAGTATCTCTATGTACTGGTTGTGCTCTATTCTTCTCCTTTGCCTGATCATTCTGCTTTTTTGCATTATCTGTTCATCTGTTGCACAGGACTGGTTCAAGTTCTCCCCAACTTAGGAGCCTTATCGTTTTTGCTCCTGGCGTCTGTGCTCGTTGACATCACTACTTATGGAATGATTCATCAGGCTGTCCGACGCATGTAACTTCGATGAACAATTCCGCACGTTGGAAAGTTGTAGACGCCGTTAACGAGTGTTACCAACGGTCAAGAATGTCTAATCAATTCAGGGGTGAAGGATCTAGTGCGTGTCTCTTCGTCAGCGGCTCCAGTTCCCTCTCACGGCCCGAGCAATCTGAGCCGGGGTTGCCCAATCGGATCACCATTCTGTGATGATTCACGATCAAAGTTTCGTTGGTACCTGTGGGGAAATCTTAGTCTTGCCTCACAGGCGTGTTTGGACCCATTATTGCTTCTCCATGGTAATGATTTCTCGGTTCTCTAGCGAGACCCAAGCGGAGGGTTCTTCTGCTATCAAACCGCCTATCTATGGTCAGTTGCTCTAGCAAGTGCTAGTAATCAACAGTGAGTTGATGCTAATTGCATGGTTGAAAAGGCAGCCAACGCCAAGCGCTCGGAGTCAATGATGCTGGCGATTTCGACTACAGCACCCGGACAGCATGGTGTCTCAGACTCTTCGACCTTCCCCGGAACGACTCCTCCTTCGACTTCGCAGAGTTAGGCCTTTCTCTCCACAAAAACGAACGACAAGACGCCTCATTCTTCGAGATCTGCTGTTGTCTAGAATGCCTTAGACTTGGCTTGGTCAATGGCGCATGATAGGAGCCTTCTATCACGCCTGCTGTGGATCATCGTATCACCATGATCCATGGTTTTTGAGAACAAGAAGCAATCATGTTCACCACGATATGTTACGAAGCTAGAGCAAGCCTTGAACCCCAAACATATCACCACTGGCTGTCTAGCTCATGATCCTGACATTGTGTTCTCACCACCATTATAGTAGACGTCACGACTCTGATACTCTACGATGCCGATTCCAGTGATCGATAGCACAATGATCTAGGAAGCTCACAAGGCAGATCGTCGAAAGGAGATGATATATCATTTTAATGGGCTAGATACGATCAACATCGTACATCATTCATCGCCGATGCACTTGAGTCGTAGGCTCGGCAGCTTCGTCCACGACGTCAACATGTGCTCGAGCCTGATACCGGAACATTGTGAAATTGGGCCTAGAGATGTCTATAAGAAGGCTGCTGAAGCCCGATGTTCAATCAGTTCTCTTCATTATCAACAACAACATTACCATATATCCTATCAACACATCCACACTTTTTAAAGCCATCTTTGCAACGTCCCAGACTTCAAAATGACTGATGCTCAGATTGCCGGCGGCCACAAGGCCAACCTCAACAATCCTCACACCTCCGACGAGTCCAAGGAGCACTCCAAGAAGGTCCTCGAGAGCGACTACAACGGCGGAGATGGTAAATCTTGCCTACCACTATTTCTACACATTACAGCTTAACAACCTACCTAGTTCCCCGTTCCACCGATTCCGGTGACAAGAACCCCGGCAACGTTGCCGGTGGACTCAAGGCGTAAGTTCCTTCTGATATCCTCAGGCTCTACTTCTGTCTGCCTCCTGTTTTCTGGAGATGGGCGGGTGGGCTGACGACGACTGCTTGCTAACGAGGAGGCGCAGCACGTTGAAGAACCCGAAGGTGTCTGATGAGGCCAAGCAGGCGGCCCAGGAACGCCTCGACCAGATGGAGTAAGCTTGTTTCAAGCTTAATGCGTCTCGGATCGACCGCTCGCTAGTGGTGTTGAACGAAACATGCACACAATTCGCGAATGGGTGATGGATACTGGGACTGCAATTTTGAGTAGAATAGTTTAGATGCTTAGCTCTTAACTCCGACTAAGGAGTTGCACTAGAAACCAATACGAATTTGCTATTCTGCTTATATGGTTGCCTGGAACACTTGAACATTTGTGATCCACTTCACAAGACGGCTAAGAAAATCAGTCATTGTCATGCAGGTGGTTGTCATTCAACGCTTTGGAAATTCATTGGCCTATAATAAATCCGAATGCTTTGTACACTCGAGATTTCCGTCACTGGCAATATGTCTGGCAAGGTTCATCAATTGTATTTCTGAGATGGAAATTTCCTGGCCCTAGTTTACCAAAGCGGGTGTTGTTTCATTGCTGTGGGTGATGCCAATTGTTGCAGCTCTGCACTGCATGCTGGTAAATTCCTCGCATTACCGATTGCGATCACGATGGCAAGTTCTGAGACGACTGCGGGAGGATTATCAAGAGTCTTACACGCCTGATTACGCGTGCCAGCTCCTTCCATCTGTGCGTTGCATGCATGCTCATTGGAAGAAGTGCTCATCATGGTGGTGCAGCCAAGTTGGCGTTGCGGGGCAGTTGAGCTTTTCTTAGCAACGACTTGGTGTGTACTGTACTATGTAAGTGTAACTCCCCGAGACAAGGGCGCTTTAGGTTTTTCTGGATCTTTTGGCGGGGTTCAAACGTCAACGTTGTCGACAGCGGCTCTGCTTGGCAGCCGACGATCGGGCTGCAAACGGGACTTGACGATGCGGGTTTTGAGAGAGAAAGACTGCATTGCATTGCGGAGGTGGAGAGACAAAGAGACCCCTTCATTCTCAGTTTCAGATTGCCTGCGCGACTCTGGCATGCCAGATGCCGACTTCTGAAGTGCAGAGTTGTAGAGTACTGGTAGATGCAACTCAATTCGATTCGATGCAAAAGAAGAAGGCTGGCCAATGTGCTGCAGTGTTATTCGTCTTGTTTGAGGCGCTGGTGGGGGGTCCCGCAGTGGAATCGAATGGCTAGGCGGGCCAGGGCACCATAGCAGCGGAGCTCTCCCCTGTAGCGATCCCTGATCCGGCGCACTCGAGCCCTCGAACCCCTGCACCGGAGCCCGCCAGCCTCCCAGTTTTCAGTTTTCAGTGGGCAGAGATGCGACTCCAGCCACCGTCATCCCAGTGCTCGGACCAATTGGATCCCCAGCCACGCCGGCAGAGCTAGCGCAGGCCACCTGCACCTGCCCGCTGATTGATCCATTGTCCTGCGCTGGGGCTGCAGGTGCCGCTATAGCAGGGTATAGCACCACCCACTGCACTGCACTGCAGCTGGGCACCCGAAAACACAAACAAGGCCGCAGCACAATGCACTTTCTCTTCCCTTCTCCTCGCTTACACAAACAAACACAACGCTGCTCCTCTCTCTCGTTTCTCGAGTCGCACGTACGTAGGTAGATTCAATCTTTTGTCTCCTTGATCATCACCATCTTCATACATTAGATTTTCCTTTTATCCGCCTCGATGGTGCAGTGTGCGGCGGGCAATCTGTGACGAGTCAGCCCCTCTGGATATCCCCTCGTTGCCCGTTGCCCAGGAAAGTCAACAAAAGCAAAAGGCGAGGCTGCACCAAGGTAAACAGTCAGCCACCACCACCTCTCGACCAGCCAACACCACCGCTATTCTCGACTCCCAGCAGAGGCCCATGGTGCAGACTGTTCAGCGACAACAGAAAAGCCATCCATCATGATGGCCACCAAAGTCAAGTCTCATCCGCTCAATGGCGCGCATACAGCCGGCATCTTCTCCGACATGAGCATCGACGGCCCCGAGATCGGCACCCTTGTCATCATTGTCGACAGAGCAAAGAACCTTCCTAACAGGAAGACAATTGGGAAGCAAGACCCGTATTGTGCGGCCCGGCTCGGAAAGGAGGCAAAGAAGACCACCACCGACATCCGAGGAGGACAGACTCCCAGATGGTAAGTTGGACACCGTACCTGGCCACGAAGTAGGTAGCACATGCGACTGACACTTGTCTCACAGGGACCAAGAACTCCGCTTCACCGTCCACGACTCTCCAGACTATTACCAGCTCAAGGTCTCGGTGTTCAATGACGATAAGAAGACAGATCTCATCGGCGAGGCCTGGGTTGATCTGAGAGATATTGTCGTCTCAGGCGGAGGGCAGAACGATTTGTGGCAGAACCTGAGCTGCAAGGGCAAATATGCCGGAGAGATCAGGATTGAGCTTACCTACTATGACACAAGGCCCAAGCCTGACAAGCCCGCCGCGAAGCCCAAGCCGGTCGCCTCAGAAATGGACGCCCCAGGTTCTCAGAGGCCCGTGAAGCGCCGACCGCTTCCTTCAGATCCTTTTCGGGGCCCAGCTTCTGCACCGGCGACACCGGATCATATGCAGACACCGCCTAGGCCCCAACCAAACCCTCCCACGGCTTTCATACCAAAGCAATCGCCTCTTCAAGCTGTCGAATATGGTACGCCGCCGCCCCAGGCTCGCCATTTCCAGCCTCAACAGCAAGATCACTACTCCCCAGGCCCTCAGAACGATACATATGCAACACCGCCACTACGCATGAGCAATTCTGCTCCTCAACACCACAGGTCGGTCGAGGGACATGATACTTATCCTCTCCATCCTGATGATATGAGATATAGCCCTGATTATCGTGGCCTGCCTGAGCGCCCTGACCCAAGGGCTCAATATGGTCAGCCGCCCGACCAATTTGACCGTTCTCCGAGAGACGACCCTCACTGGGCACCGCCAGACGAGGATCGCCCTCCACCGCCTCCTGCACACAGGAGTAGGAACAACAGCGGCAACACTCAAGACATGGCATATCGGGGCGGTTACGAAGCACCCCCGCAACACGCAACGCCACCTACTATGAGGAAGGATGTTTTGCGCAATGAGGCACACCGAAACTCGGTTCCAGCCGCTTACCCCGGGAGACCGGTGTATAGGGCATATGACACAGCACCCTCACCCCCATCAAACTCTCCTTATGGGAACTCAGACCCGCATCAGCCATCTCCTCCACGGCATCATTCGTATGATTCAAGTTATGACTCTCACTACAGAGCTATGCAGCCAACAGTCGAGGACGCACCTGAGTCGCCCAGTCCCTCTGTGCAGGACCAATTCAGAAGAAGCGGATCTCGCATGCCCCAATATGACGAACCTGACTACAACCAGGTTCCTAGTCCGGCACCTTTGAATCTGAGTGGACGTCACAGTGCCTCGGCTGGTAGCTATGGCGCTGGGGCAATGGTCTCCCACAGACACCATGGTTCACACGACTATGAGCCGTCGGAACAATCGGTGGTGTCGAGGAACACCAACCCCAGCTCTTCTCAGGTGTCATACCACTCTCACAGTGCGCCACCAGCTCAAAACTACCCGTCATATCGGAGCGAACTAGACGATACTCAGGTCACCGGCCCAGCTAAGTACAATCTACCAGCTCTTCCGCCAGTCCCTCCCTCGCTAGTTCCAGGCGTCGATCCGGCCTTGTCAATGGAAGTGGCACATCGGATCAATGAGGACAGGAGGCAGGACCGCCGTTATCCTCAGCCCCTCGTCACGCCAACCAGAGGCCGTCAGATGAGCGATATGTCTCCGAACTATCCAGGACACGGAGGCTCTCCGCAACAGTTTTCTACACCTCAGCAGTCTTACGACCGAAGCCCCATATCATACTCAGGGGGGCCGTCACCACAAATCATCAAGCCACGAGCCATCTCTCCCAGTCCCAGTCCGACGGCTCAACACACTATTCGCCGAAAGTCTATTAGCCCTGCGCCTCCCACCGATGGGCGGCGTCTGTCCGGTATCCCGTTTGGCCCGGACTCATACGATGCCCTCAATCCGACATTGGCATCGTCTGCACCAAAGGAAGTATCGCGACCGGACTACAATGAGACAAATGGCAAGATCATCACCCATGACGGGAAGGAGGTTGATCCCTCTGATCATTTGCCAATGGAAACATGGGCCCCGGAGCCCGAGCCTAAGGGGAAGAAACCTGCACCCACCACATCATCTCGGCCGTCACCTTCGGGAGCTCAACCAATGCCCCCTGCCGGCCGTAGACCACTCAGAATTGCGAACAGGCCGCAATCAAGTGCAGTGCTTCCTCCGCCAGCACAGTACATATCTGCCGAGATACCGGAGCCGTCTCCACCACCTCCCACCGGGCGTAACCGTCTGCAGAAAAAGGCGAACCGCGCTTCTGTGCCTGTCATGTCTGGGGCTAACGGTGGCTCGAGCCCACTCGCTCCGCTACCACAGCACCAAGATAACTTCACTCCGCCGAGGCAGCTTCCTCGTGCAAGCACCTTCGACTATCCGAATGAGAACCATGCGCCAATGTACGGTAGCAGCCCCGGGGCGCGAAGCCATAGCAGCATCAGCGCCCCGCCAGTGCCCGCGAAGATTCCCATCTCCAAGAGCGGTGGCTTGCCTATGCTGCCATCCTCCGGCGGTCGGGGACCTGGGGGCGATGGTGACTGGGCGCTCATGGAGGAAATGAGTAGGATCGACATCGGCACTGGTCGGGCTCGCAGACATGGCCACAGAGGCTACTAAGTGCGTCGTAGGCATGTATTTGCTCTGCATGAGGGCCTTGCTCAGGATACCTATTCTTATTCGATGTACTTATATATAGGGTTTGATATGGAGGAGCTGGTACTTATAATATTGGTTGGGAAGGTCTCTACATGGTCATGTACGGTTACAGGCGGTTCGGTCAGGGTCTCTGGATTTTCGTATTGCATCTACATCGCCGTCGTTGAGAGAGGCGTAGAACTCCTCCCGACTTGGCTGACTTGATGGATGTATCATGATACCCAAAATAATAGATGTGTAACACTTCAAACCCTGATATTCACCACGGTGATACAATTCTAGATCTGCCTGACTACTTTCTTTTACGGCTTGCTAAAAGCAATTACCGTTGTGGTATATTGATCGTCTATACTGTATGTTCAAGTCCTTCCCTTTTTCCTGTCCAAACGCCAACGCAATGCAAGCAATTGATATGTAGTCTTCCCCCTAGCCATGCTCAGAGTCTCCTAAAATGTCCTTCCCTCAGCATCCACTATGCAGCGCCGCTCATTATGAGACTCTGCACCATGCCACCCGTTTGGCAGGCAATCTGAGAGCGCTCAACCTCCCGGCTGACGCGCCTCCGTAGCAGCCGAAACCCATCCGCCAACTCGGCCGAGCCGCCTACGAACTCGGCGTACAGGTCGAGCAGGTGCAGGCCAACGTCGACGCAGACAGAGACGTAGCGCGGGTCGATGACGTGGGCGCACACCCAGCGCAGCACAGGCTGGACGGTGGCCTCGTCGCGGCCCTCGAGGGCGTCGCGCAGGGCGCCGCGGTGCCGCAGCGCGACGAGCAGCGTCAGCACGTTGAGCGGCGAGCGGTCCTTGGCGGCCGGGTCGAGCACGCCGTCGAGGGCGGCGCCGTAGCGGCCCTGGCGCAGGTCCCTCTGCCAGCGGCGCTCCCTGGCCTTGCCGGGCTTGGGCCTGGTCTCGCCCTCGCCGCCGATGACAAAGTCGACGCCCTCGCCGAGCGCGCTCATCGTCTTCTTGACCTGGTCGGCGCGCTTGCGCTTCGCCGCCGCCGCGTCGTGCTGCTCGAGGGCGAGGGGCCCCGCGTCGCGCGCGGCCTGCTCGGCGCGGCGG